ACTCAGATTGAGGATTTCTCCAATATCATATTCAGACCTTGAGTCACTCAGCAAATATTAAAGTTCAGTCAAGTTTTTGGCATTCAGTTTTGTCAGAAGTACAAGGAAGTAAAAGTTAATAAGATGTTCTCAGCCAAGATGACCAAACAGAGAAAGTTATTCTTTCTTCAAACTTAACTCTTTACAAGCTGGTATAAATCTTTCTTTAAAAACTGTCATTTATAAAGGCATCATTTCATTTTTTTAATTTAACTTCACCTCTTTTAGATGAATTTTTTATTCAAAATCACAGAATTTTCACATTTACTGCTCAAATACCTTGCAGAGACGTGCGGTGAGGCAGCAGCCAGATGAGCCTCACTATGGATTGTGCAATGACTCCGCTAACTGTACCGTATTGCTATTTTTCTGTATGTCATTATTAAAATGTTGAAATGAACTAAATCTCCACAGTTTAGCTGATGTATACAATGTACGGTTGTTTTTGTGTGTGTTAATAATCAAAGAAAGACCAAAAGTATCCTTTATAAGTAAAGGTAAGACCATAATAACATTTTTTAAATATGTTTTTTTGTGTGCTACAGTTTGTATGTGTGAGGAAAGCTGATATGGGGTTTTAAACATAACCTGTTAGCTGCTGCCAATCAAATGGTGACTAAGCTACTCTGAAAGGTTCCTATGTTTGTAAATCTGATTGTGATAAAGTCAGTGCCTCACCAGCCATGAACCTCACTGCATCTCACTGCTGGTATGTCTATTTATGACCGTCAGATGAGTTAAATTTTTAGTAAACACATGCACAAACCCTAATTTCAGTGTAATGGGATGTTGTGTAAAACGCAAATTACAATGATTTGAAAATCCTTTTCCACCTAAATTCAACTGAACACTCTCCAGAGATAAGATATTTAATATCCAAACTGATAAACTTTATTTTGTAAAAAAAATTGTAAAAAACACATTCCCAAAAAGCTGGTATAGTTTTTCATAAATAAGGATGGGGTCAGGTTCACCACTTTGTCAAAAACTGTGTGAGCAAATTGTTCACTTCAACATCTACAAGTTTAAACTCTACCGTACAAAGCCAAAGCCTGATATCAATAACAGCCTGAAACGCTGCCGGCTTCTCTAAACCAGGCTTGATGCAAAGTGGAAAAGTGGATACAACACATTTGATCAATATTTTGTATTTTTTGGAAATAAAAGCTTGTGTGTGTCATCAAGTCTCATTAAAAAAACAGCTGCTCAACATTCATCCATCAGTCATAGTAAGCTCCTTTTTACTTCGAGGAGGAAGTCCTTTTCACAGTTACACTTTCAATCACTGAAGTCCTCGCTTTCAGGTTTTAGCCAGTCTTATCATTTCAAACAGCTGGTTGTCGTCATCATTTGTCTTACTGTTTATTTGCTGAGCGATAAAAGCTCTTCAGAAAGGGTTTTATCCAACTTATGCAGAGCATCGATCAGGATGGAGTTTGCTTTTTGTCCCTTTCTTTGCACTGAGTCAAACACATCTCTTGCCTTATCTGCTCTGATTTTTAATATCCTGATTGACTGCATCTCACCATCATTTATAATCTCATGCTCCAGGAGTACATCTAGAATCTGGTCCAGAACAGTTTCAGACACTCTGTTTACAAACTGTGTCCTATTTAAGCCTTGACTTGGACCTGGGAGATTCTGCTGTGCCAGGACCCTGTCCTGTGGTGAAACCCTGTCCTGTGCCCAGACCCCTTCCTGCGCTAAGACCATGTCCTTTGCCAGGACCCTTTCCTGTGGTGAGACCCTGTCCTTTGGGGGTTCCATCCTTAAATCTGGAAAGGGAGCAGAGAAGAGACAACTGATCAATAACGTTACATTTCTGAGAAGTTCAAATAGTATAGCAAATAGCATAAAAATAAATGTTAAGATCTCTGGTAAGGTATAGCGTTTTCGAAGAGCAAATCACTTCTCATGCTTTTTATTCTAGGATTTGTGCATGTTTGTCAGAATTTTATGACAGTAACTCTTGTCCTTGTACTGAAATAGATCCTTTTCATCCATTAATATGAATAAATAGAGCTTGCTTACTGTTTATGGCATGTAAAAATGTTTAAAATACCAACAGAGATGTGATTCTACCAGATTTATCAGTTGATTAAGGTAAAAGAAGGAGCACAGGCTGCAGATATTGTTACACATTAACATAACCTTTAAGGAGGAATTGGTGCGGCTGAAATTCTGATTTATGCTACACTCGTCACTGTGCTCAGCTTTTCCTGCTTCTTCATCCTTTGTTAGTGACATCCTTGACCATCAAAAATGAATGTGAAGGTTTAAATTTTTAAAAAGTATTTTAAAAATTATATACACATATATATTCTAAATGTTTACAACCAAGCGACAATCCTGCCCTGCACAGTACTATCATGATTGGCAAACCATTTGCTGGGAGTTTTGGCGCGGTGGACAGGTGCTAAATCTTACCAGAAAAGGAAGTCAGCATCTCCATAAAGTGTGTCTGTAGATAGAAGTATAAAGTGCTCTAAAATCTACTGGTAGACTTTAAGCCATGTTGCCTTTGGACGTGATCAATCAAAGTAAGTAAACACAGACGAGTGGCATGGCACCCCAAATCATCACAGATAGCAGAAGACCCTTCTGATGGTAGCTTGGGTTCAGGAGGAGCTTAACGTTAGCTATTACAGCTTAACAACTATTATATTTTTCTTTTGGGAATCAATTAAGTTCTTCTTATCTCATCTTATTAGGGATATGGCAGGTGAAGCTACTTTCCTGATAGCATCAGTAAAAAGTGATTCTTGAAGCTCTGACACCAGCCTCAGTCCACTTCTTGTGGACCACTACCAAGTTCTTGAATCAACTCTCCTGGCTATCCTCTCAAGAATCATCTGTCTACTAAAGATGTACAGGATGGATGTGGACCACCTGCTCTAGTCTGTCACTGTGGTCCAAAACAAGAGCGGGTGCTGCTAAGGGGTGAATCATGCATTACCTGTCAGGTACACATCACGTTTCCAGACTTCTCTCTTGTTGTCGTCCTGCACAGTCAGAGTCACTTTCTCTGGCTTTGAAGTAAGGAAAACTTCAAATGTTGGGCAAAAATTTGGTCCATAATCTCCAAAAAAAGGTGCATGCTAAAAAAATAGCAGTATATGCGACAGGTTCTATAATTTCATCATACAGCCAAGATTGCTCCAATGATTATTCGGTTTATCAATACAGGATGTGAATGAAATGGTCTCACCTCAGGTTGTCTGTCGTATTCCTCAGGTTGACAGTGGACACTATAACTTTGATCACAGTGTAGGTGGCAGTAAGGAGAGGTCCTGACCAGCTTAGCTTCTCCTTGTTGGGCGACTACCTACAGAGAAAATAAATGTTTTATGATTTATTCTACGTATATTAATTTTATAAGAGAACACATTTGAGAACAAAAACGTGGACTGACGAACTGTTTAGCATATGTCAACAAAAAACTTTCAGATTTCAGTGAAACCTTTTTTTAAGTTGCATTTTCATGCATTCTTGCCTCTGTTAGTTAGGACAGCTTAAGAAAGACCGTAAACATGGAGAACAGAGAGTAGGGTTGGTGACTAGGAGATGGACCAGCAACTGCCAGAACGAGGACTATAGCCACAAAAAAGCTTTTCTTTCTGCAGGACTGAAAGATTCAGAAGATCTTTTGTACCTACAGCCATCAGACTTTGCAATTCTTTTATAAATAGTATGACTTTTTGAGACATGACAAATAAGACTACAGACAACTGAATTTTCCTTCAGGGATAAATAAAGTTATTCTTATTCTTATGTAAACATAAGTCATCCATGTTATTCATTAACAACCCAGAATGTTGGTGTAACATTGAACCTTACCTCTGCCAGAACAACGTTGTGTTGTAGCAGAAACACCTCAAGAGCTTCGATCTTTGTTCCTCGAGGTCTGAGGAACAGCTGGATTTGGCCTTTTACTTTTCTGGAGATTTTTAGACACCTTTTAAGTTTATCCAACGCTACACCAAAGGCAGAAAGGTGAGAGACATCGACCATCACATAAGAGTTTGTGATCTTCATCGGCTTTAAGATGCTCATTCCTTCATCGGTGATGTGGACAATACATAACAGGCCTTCAACAAGTAGCACTGAGGAGATAAAGAGCGAGTCAACTTTAGTTTCCAAAAGTCCTGATTTTTCTCCAAGTATATCCAAACTTAAAATCCCTGATCCTTCAAATATAATCTCATGTGAGTTTTGATTTACTTTTTAGTCTCTGTTTCCCTCTCAACCCCTAGATCCCTGTTATTGTCTATGATTGCAATAAAGTTCATCTTTCAAAGAAAAATGTCAGATACTTAAATTTTACACCTTTTAACCTTCATATTAATGTAACATATATTCAAGCTTATGCAGTATCAATGTAAAAGAGAAATAAACATACTGGAAAGAAAAACTGAGAATAATCTCATCACCTAATACAATATTTTCATCTATTTTGTGCCACTACTGCAGGTTCAAAATGGCACAATATGGAATAATGTGGAATAATGTTTCTTATCAAGCTGATTATTTATTCATGTCACCTAGCTTTTTACTGTATTATCCACGTGTCCATTTGTGTTACTGCATTTATAGTATTCAGTATATTTTATCCTACCCTAAAGCCTGACCAGGGACAAAGACTGCAAATTAGCTAAAGCTAGACATCTTGTATGCATCACATTTTCCATTTTTTGTGGCAATGTTGTGTGTATTGTCCCTGTTGAATAAACATTAAATAGATTAAAAAGAATTGCACTGTTCACACTTACATGAAAAAATCAGATATGTGTCACATATGGTTAAAAAAATCAGAATTAACCTGCAGTGTAAACATAGCCTCTCTCTTCCTCAAAAGCAGAGCATGGGTGCAGACCCTCCCGTCAAAAAATCTCTGTGTTTCATTCTAAAATTATGTGTTAATCTGGGATTACAACACTTTTGCTTTTTTGTGTGTGTTTTTGAGTATGATGAGGAAGAACTTTTTCTTCATTTTCACCTCTGGTCCATTTTTTCTTGCAGGTTGTTAGCACTTACAGCTGCAGAAGACAGGCCAGCTGTTAGCCTTTAGTGCTCTCTTACAATCTTCTTAGGGTTGGCACCTTCAATGCATTTGTCGTTTGGGCTTTCATTTTTCATGTTTTTTCATTTAGCCCCCAAACACATGGTGGCCAAACAACAAAAAACCTGATATTTCAAGGGTTAACATCTTTAAAGTTACCAAATATGTATATATTTACATATAAATATTATATATGAATATTTCATATAAATGTTTGGGGATCACATTGGTTTTTGTGATTTTACTCACGCACTGTTTCTATCTTTTAATATCCCGCTCCTTGTTTTCCAGCCTCATGTATCTTCTCCCTGATTACCCTTACCTGTGTCTCATTCTCCCTGATTGTCTGGATTGTCTGTGTATTTAGTCCCCCCTGTGTTCTCCCTCCTGTTGCCAGTTGGTTGTGCTTTCCCTCATGTTACCTTTGTTCAAGCATTTTTCTAGTGTTCGACTCTCCGTGTATTTTCGACCTCTGCCTGTTTCTCAACTCTGCCTTCTGCCTTCTGCCTCTTCCTTCTGATTGTTTGCCTGAACCTCCTGGATTTCTGTGTACCAAACTGTTTTTGGAATAAACGACGCGCCTTTTTCAACTCTGACTTGAGTCTGCACCAGATTCCTTTGTGTGTTGTTCATTGTGTCACTCTAAAAATTTGTACACTTATTTTGCAAAGCCTCTTCCTGGCACATACCAGTCCAGTAGTTTTAGTATAAAGAGGTACCTGAGGTTAATTTAACTGATTTAATTTCAAAGAAAGCACTGTGTTTACCTTCATCTGTTTCACAGTGTGGGAGCTGGAGCTGACACAAAGCATCCTCTGAACACTTTATGTCGAACAGCGGCCCTGCAGCTGTCTTTCCTGCTGAATCGAGGAAGCTGTTATCCCATTGGACAGTCTTATACTGAAGCTCTGCTTTCTTTTCCATGACAAACACCAGACCAGTCAAAGCACACTGGAACACACCTTGACCAGGACACCTGAACCTGCAGCAGCCAACAAGATTACATTAATATGAAAAGTTCTTTGATGGGGGGGTCTTGGATAGGGGTGGGTTGGGATTCCTTCAGCAATTTCTATCACTACTTAGGTCCCAAAAATGTAATAAGATAATATCTAAACTATATAAAGGTATTCAACAATCCAAGCAAGAGACCTCAGACTACATAAAGGTAAAATGGGAAAGAGAAGGAAATGTATCTATCTCAGTGGAAAGTTGGGAAAAAATATGCAAGTTTCAGTGGCATTCAACAGGGTCAAACATCTGGCGAGAGTTCTGTTGGAAGAACATTGCATGTTTCTTTTTAACACCAGTTCAGAAAAGATATCAGGGAAGTGGAGATGTTTGCTGGAGGCTTTGTGGGACCAAGGAAGCCAATCATTTCCATATTTTCTGGGACTGTCAGATTATTAAAAAATACTGGGAAGAGATTTATGGACATACTAAGAATTTGTTTGGCACAAGCATTGTATTTGATTTTGAATCAATGTACTTATGTGATATACAACATGAGAGTTGGAATTTCAATGACAGGAAACTTCTGAGTATTTTACTGGCAGCTAGTAAAAAATCTATCACAAGAAAATGGTTTAAGACAGACCCACCGACCATTGAGGACTGGATGGATGTTACACATGAGATTTATATATTTGGAAAAATTGTCATTTTCCCTCAAATTACGAAGAGAAAATTTTATCAAATGTGGTCTAATTGGACGGAGTACGTGAACCCATAAGATCAGATTTTGTCTAAATTTGTGATGAACCTGTTTATTTTCTCTTTGAAAACTAAGACACCTTTAACAACTAATGATGTCAGTGTGGGCTGTGTGTGTTTTTGTGACATGTGTTACAACAATGAGTGATATAGACATGAAAAACCTGAGAGGCACCATGGATAAAGACATTGAGACTTTCTACAGTTAAACATCCAGGATCAGTGTGGAAGGAATCATCGAAGTGTGATGTGAATACTTGTAATGAATCTTGCAATGTTTTAAAAGTCGCAAGAGATGTTTTGTGCACTTTGCATGTAAGGAATCTAAGTGCCTTTCAAATAAATTGAATAAAAAAAAGACAGAGTCCTGATGAGAGACAAAAGTGAAACAAAAAAAAAAGCTTTTTGATATATCAAATTGGTGATAAAATTCGGTAGCCTGAAAACAGGGTGTGCTGAGAGGATTATACACAGAAATTCATGAAGTCCTAATGCTCTCAATGTCCTATTTGCCTCTTCATGAAAGTTGTATAACTGAACCCGGGAGAATCCCTTGAGATAACCAATCGGCATGGAGACTCCACGCAGACAAATGTCAACAGTTGACCAGTAGAGGTCCAGTTGTCTGGAACATGGAGGACAAAGTTATTGTGATGGTGAGCAGCTATCCTGAGCTACACCATACAGCTTGATATAACAAAAGACTGAAATTGCATAAACCAAACCCACTTTGCTTGGGGGGCTTTATTTCATGAGTTTGGTTGTAGCAGGTTTCCTCTTTTTACTCCACAGTACGAGTTCTGCTTGTACATTCCATCAAATTGCATATTGTGCTGGTGTATGTCTGCCAGTGATCAACTAAGAAGAACTGTATGGATAACATCAGGTGCAAAGACTGTGGAGGTGGGGATAATTGAATAAAGATTTTGCATATTAAACTGGTTTTTGCCATAGAGAGTTTAGACAGAAATTAGACCGCCCACTCCTCAAATTATCCCAAATGAACAGACACCCTGTTGGGCCGCAGTTCATCGCAAAAAAAATAAAACAGTCTGAAGCCTTTGAAGATGAATTGAAATCGATTGTGCATTAGACTGTGCCAGCTCTTTACTCAGTGGCACAGGGATACTCAGGCCACTACCAGGCCCACCATACGGCTGGTCAGCATTGCGCCTGGTCTGAAAATGGCCATGAACATGCAGAGGTAAGGTTACTCCACCCAAGCAGTTCCACAGCAGAGTAGCGGGACTTAAGAGCAAGGAGTGGAGTAAACATGGGCAGAGAGAACCCCCAGTAATTATGTGCTACTGGCTAACAGGTGGAAGTAAGAAGACAAAAATGTTGATTTGATTTTTCTTTTAGGCTACAGTGGAAAATATGAAGTCACCCTGGGGGTTCTCACAGTGAATTTATATGCACAAGCCCTAAATATTTCACTACTAAGTGAAGTCTCAGCTAAGTTTCTGTGCAAAGCATGGAGTAAGCACCCTTGTACAGCTGGAGTCACAAGACCACAGAAACCTCTGACCTGTTGACTCAAGGCCTGACTCTGCTCACTTTGGTGAGGTCAACATGGAGTGTTTTATTCAGAAAATTAACTCCATATTTTAATGTCGTCCTGGTTTCTGATTCCCTGTCTTCCTAGATCTATCCTGCACTGATTGATGTGTCTGCTGCAGATTGGAGGAGCTGATATGGAACAGAAAGGCATCCCAGTGGAGCCGGTGGAAGCAGACATTACTCAAAATGCAAACCCATCAGCTCCGCTGCTGTGGCAGAGCAGAAAAGACAAAACATGAAGCTGGTAGAATTTGGCAGTAAACTGTCCTCAAATGACTTCTCTTCAATTCAGAAAGTGAATGAGCTAAAAAGCAAACTGGAGTAATCTTTTGTCATGATATGAGATTACCTGTATATAGATTCAATCTGTTCAGGTGTGAAGGGTAATGGAGCCTGGAAAAAAAAAACAATAAACGTGTTCCCTTTTTTGTAAAATAAAAATATGTTTTACAGTTTGATTAAATAAATAATTAACTATAAAGAGAAATGGCATTAGTGGCATTCGGCATTTTGAAAAAGTACAATCTACTGAACTTTAAGAACTTTGTGCAGCTTTCTTTCCTCAAATGAATTTTAAAATGTATTAATAATCTTGCCCCTGAACTCTTGTCCAAATTTGTTCAAAGGCAGAACAGTGAAGTAAACAAGGAGCACAGTGAATAGAAACTGTAGCATACAAAAACATAGGTCAACATTTGGACAGTCAGCTTTCTCTCTTCAAGGCTCTAAACCCTAAAATAAATTATCAACAGAAATCAAACTAATCACAGTTATAAAATCCGTCACTACATAGGTCAAGTGCTGGCTGAAAGTGAACCAGAGCTGTGATCATTCTTATACTGTCATTTTTTTTAAACTTCTTATTTGAACTGGTTTAAAGATTTTTTTTTTTATGTGGATATGTATTTTATTGTCCCGTACACTCTGTAAACTGTTGAGCCATTTTATGCTGAATTCTGTTTTATGAACTGTTTACTCAAAGGTTCAACAAGGGACAAGAGTTAGAAATTGCATTTGCAATAAATTCTCTGTGCTGCGCATCAGATACATGCACTGTTGTGGAACTATGTTAAACTGCATCATTGTCCCTATCAAATAAATTCAAATACCTCCACGTCTGTCCAGTCGTAACCTGCTCACCTTTTCGTCATCATCAGACAGGCAAAGCTTTTCCTTTGCATCCTTTTCAACACTGTACTCATCTGATGATGAGAGGAAACATTCGGACTTCAAGGCTATGACAAAGAAACAAGCAGAAAAAGAGTTTATGATATCAGACACAGTAAATCCTCAGCTATAGGCCTCTTTTGTTTGTTTTTACCGCCCAAGGTACCAGGCCTGAGGCAGTCTTCAATAAAAGACAGACCTTAAAGTAAATCAAGTCTCTGAAAATTATAAATGCTTTTAATTTACAGAGAGTGAGGCTCTTGTTCACTAACTTCATTCCAAAAGACATTACATTATTCTCAAAGCACAAAGGGTTTAATGCTCCTGTGTGTCGGTAATGTAAGCATTAGTTTAAATGGTTGCTCATGTTGATTTACACTTTACTGTCCGTGTAAATCAGCCTTATTGTCATGATTTTGCTGGTTTGGACACTTTTATGGCTCTGTGGAGTGTTTTTTTGTGTGTGGAGACTGTTCATCGCCAGATTATTCCCGCTCTCACAGTGGTATCAGAAAGCAGTGGCTCGTTCCTTTAACAAAGGAGACAAGGTGTTAGTTCTGTTGCCAGTACCCGGCTCTTCCCTGTCTGTCCGGTTCTCTGGTCCTTACCTTGTTGAAAAGAAAATCAGTGAAACAGACTATGCTGTCCGCACCCCTGACCGCAGGCGCCAGTCCCGAGTATGCCATGTTAACATGCTAAAGCGGTACCACTGTAGAGATGAACCCCCAACTGTGTCTCCTGAGCCTGCAGTTTTAGGCGTAGCGTAAACCTCCAAGGTCGGTGGGTTACAACCAATGCGACCCCGCAGGGCGCAAGACTAGAAAACTCTGAGGTGTTGTTGAATCTGCCTTCCTTTCTGTCTCACTTGCCAGAGAATCAGATGAGGGATATTGAGAAACTAATTTTGGATTTTCCATGTTTGTTTAATGACATTCCATCTCAAACGTCAGTTCTCCAGCATGACCTTAAACTAACGTCTCCTCTGCCCATTAAACAGCGGGCCTATAGGGTCAATCCTGTTAAGAGGGAGACCATGAAAAAGGAGGTTGAGTATTTGTTAGGCCATGGGTTTGCTAAGCCTTGCTCCAGTCCGTGGAGTTCCCCATGTCTGGTGGACACTAAGTCTGACGGAAGTCCAAGATTTTGCACTGATTTTCGTAAGGTGAATGCAGTAACGGTGCCCGATGCTCATCCACTTCCACTTATTGATGACTGTATTGATGAGATTGGTTCGTCCACCTATGTGAGTAAATTTGACATGCTCAAGGGATATTGGCAGGTTCCCTTGACAACTGAAGCATCCACGGTTTCTGCTTTTGTGACACCTGATTATTTCTGCCAGTACACAGTGATGCCCTTTGGTATGTGTAATGCCCCTGCTACCTTTCAGAGGCTCATTAATCTGGTACTGGGGGATGTCCCTAATTGCAAAGCATATTTAGATGATATTGTTGTGTACAGTTCAGACTGGACCTCACGTGTCAACCCTGAGAGACGTGTTTAGCCGTTTAGAAAACACTTTTAGTTCCTTATTAAAAATAAAAGAACCTTCCTGTTCACTTTAAAACATCTGTTTCCACCTTTGTCATTTTGAGTATAATGTTATAGTCCCTTTACCTTAGACCACCATCTGGGACATAACAGTCACACTGAACTTTTGGTGATTATTGGACAATTTCTCCTCTGAGTGACCCAGAAATAATAAATCCATGCATGAGTTTATTAACATGATGTTGACACTGCCATATTAATTACAAATGTTAGATCAGACTTGGTCTGACTTTTGATCAACCTCCCACGTACAGACTGAGCTGGAACAGACTTACGTGTGTTTGGTTTGTTTTTGGTTTTCCAACCATGTGTCCACACAGGGCCACCGTAGGTCGCAATACAGTGTGGTTGCTGTTTTAGGCTGTGTCTGAAATGGATCCCTAACCCCTATATAGGCGACTATATGGGGGTTGGCGCCATTTTGAAGGGTGTCCGAAACCTGAGTGATCAATTCCAGTGCCCGGTAGAGGCGACTCAAAATTTCCCATAAAGCATTTAAAAATGTAGTGACCATCCAATGGTCACTCACCGGTGGTGGGTATCCTGTCATGCATTGCGTCTTGCCATGTAGTGTCCGAAACCTCCAGTGATTGAGTTCACTACATATAGTCAACTATATAGTGAAACCCCATATGGGAGTAAGGGGTCAGGGATTTCAGACACAGCCACTATCTTGTTGACATTGATGTCATGACGTCATGTGTGTTTGGGCAAAAAAAGTTTAAGCCTTGGTTGAAGCTCCACATCGGCGTCCTATTTATTGTTGTCTTTGTCAGTGAACCCAGAATCTGCCGTTACGCTGCAATTACGGGCTACAGATGAATTATTTATTTTCTAAATAATATTTTGTTTGCTTGCTCCAGGAAGAAAGATGTTTATAAACTGTGAAATATGTCACATCTGTTATGGATATACATTAAAATGATGAAGACTCTTCATTCTGCTCATCACATACCGTGACTCACTGTACCAGTTAATCATAATGCAGGCCTTGAATCACTCATGATCTCAGTAATCTCGGACGCAGATTGAATATCAGTTATTAACTGAAGTTTCATTCTTTGTGTTCAGGTGTAGCTTGATGAATGGTAGACATGACTTCAATACTCACATTTTGTGTGCTCGTCAGCTGTGATACACCCCTTATCAGTCCTGTAGGATCGACCACAACCACAGAAGTTATGAGTGCTGTTATGAATACACTGCTTGTTCTTTAAGGTTGCCACCTTCAGACACCTATACCTAATAAACTTTGAAAAGTTGTTTCCCATTTTGGTTAAGGGGCTAATACAGTAAAAAAAATGAAGATGTCCCAATAGAGCATTAAATGAGTTCTTAACTGTTTTGAAAACCACTTTCACAGCAACAACTGCCTGAAAATTTTTATTTACCTAAGAGAATCCAGTCTGCAGTTTGGACTGTGGACAAGAACTAGAAGCAGCTCCACTTCTGAATCACTCAGGTAGTTCCCAGTCAGGTCCAGCTTTCTCAGATGGGATGGGTTGGCCTTTAGAGCTGAGGCTAGAGAAGCACAGCTGGTACTCAAATCGCATCTATTCAGTCTGACAATGAAAATAAAGTATGTCGTAAAGTATGTTGAAAAACTCTTAATATGGTTCAGGGTTATTTAATGATAAAAGCTAAACAACAGCTCTTTTCTCTATCGTCAGGCTAAGTCCATGGTGGTTGTTTCTAAACTAAATCTCAACATCTTTAGTAAATGAAAACAGTTCAGAAAAAGAAAAAGTATCTTTTTATTGATCAGCATAAAGTAAGTGCGGAGTCTTACGTAAGAGTCTCTAGTCTGCAGTTTGGACTCTGCAGATAATCACACAGATGCTCCACTCCTTCATCCTGCAGTTCATTGTCATCAAGTTGAAGCTCTCTTAGACTGGAGGGTTTGGACTTCAAAGCTGAGCCCAGAGAAATACAACTGAACTTTGACAAAGTGCACCAACTCAATCTAAAAATGAAAATAAATTAAATCAGCTCAGAAATGTTACCAACATCATCGGGTGTTGCTTTTTGTTTATAGCTGAAGGAAGTTAAGAATATCAAGAGTATCTTTTAAACATCCTAAAGATCAAACAATCTAATGAAGCTGGATGCAGACTAAAGAGCAGCTCTGATTATTATCTTTACATACCAATAACACATGGCCTGAAAGTCCACACCAGGTTCTGTAAACGTAGTTTGTGGGGAAACGTGCAGACTGGTAAGCAAACTCTGACATCTTGAAGGCAGACTGTTCATCTTAGTTAGAAAACCATAACATCCAAATGAACCCCAATATTGTTGTAGATTTACGGCTCTATTTTGGTGCCTCGCCGGAGACGTGCCGCAAGCGCAGCGTCAGTCAGATCCGCCGCGCTGACAAGGCGTTCCCAAGCACATTTTGGTATTTTGGTGAGCCGCGCAGCCCGGCGTAAGTATCCCCCCTCCCTTACTCAGCTCCTCCCAGCACCATAAGTCGTAGATGGGGAGGAGAGAGGGCGTGTAGTGGATTTAACACAGCCGAGACCTGTTTTCACCAATCACATAAGCTCCTCTCCTTGCCTTTAAATCCGCCACAGGCGAGGCGTATTACTATTTTCATGAAGTAGTCAAAGAGATCAAGAGATGTCTTAAGACAGAAATGCCACAAGATGGTAACAGAGGGCAGCCCCTCAACAAGTGTCCTCCACACCCTCTCATATAAGCACAGATGGATTTGGTGTGTGTAATGTTGGACCCACTGGTAAGACAAACACCCTTTTCCACAAATAAAGACACTCAAATAAAGTTGCTCGTATTCAAACCTCACGTGACAAAGGTGGGTTGAGCGCACTGATCACAACATAAACTCCAAAAATGGCATTAAAATCGGAACCATCTGTGCGTAAATGACGCATCGCGCTCCGTGGCCTGGCTCTGTCTTTCATAGATGTTGGCATATAAAATAAATTTGGCCCACAAAACTGAATATTATAATATCCGTATGTCGGCTTAAAGTAGATAACGCATCTGAGCACTGAAACAAATCATCTGTTCAGCTGCAGCAGCAGCAAGACGGACAGAGGACACGGAGACGTGTCCAGGTCGAGCTGTGCGAGAAATAAGAGGAAGAAGAAGAAAGAAAAGGAGGGAGACGAATTACATATCTTGTTAACTTCATCATGTGTGTTTATTTACTAGATATTTAATTTAATTTGATGCGGTTTCAGCTGTGTTGATTCGGTCAGGTTGTGTGTCCAAACGCGTGCCAAACGCGCTCATCAGATCAGATATAGATCAGAATATATCTATATAGATCTAAATGTATGTGCTGACTCAGATTAATAGTTGATGATGATTATTTATTGCACTGAAATGTGCCTGACACTGTGGAAACCTGCCGGTGAGGCATCAGTGACGTATGTCGATACGCCGCCGGTCTACCAAAATACTACTGGACCAGCTGCGTTCCACCTTGCGCTGAAAGCTGACCAGGTTTGAATCGGCGAGCTTTCAGCGCACTTTACACGCCGGTGGCGAGCACGAAAATGTCACTGCGCCAGCTGATTCTGTCGACACCTCCCCCTGCCACGCCACCACGCCCAGCTTGGCGGATCTCGGCTCGCCTCAGTGCGGCTCAGTCCACGAAAATACCAAACTGGCCGGGGCTCGCCGCCCTCCGCTGCCTCACCGGCGCGCACAAAAATAGAGCCCATGGTGTTTATCTGAAAATCACTGTTATGAACAACTTTGGTCTGGTTTCCGCCCACTCCATAGCATAGAAACAGCCTTGGTTAAAATCACCAACAATCCGCTCATGGCAGCTGACTCTGGACTCTCAATCTTTGTCATCCTCCTTGATCTGAGTGTGGCCTCCTAGATAGACTGGCTTCAATTGGAATTGATAACACACCTCTACACTGGTTTAAGTCATACTTTTCTGGCTGCACTCACTTTATACAATTTAAATCATTCCAATCACCTCTAGTATCTGCCGGTGTTCCCCAAGGTTCTGTTCTAGGCCCCCTTCTCTTCATCATCTATATACTTCGTCTTGGTCATATGTTCTGTAAACTCAGTATTTATTTCCACTGCTATGCAGATGACACCCAGTTTTATCTTTCCACTAATCCCGACTCCAACCTCCCTCCCTCCTCCCTCTGTGAATGCCTAAAGAAATCAAATCGTGGTTCTCTCACATCTTCCTAAAACTCAACAGTGATAAAACTCAAGTTCTTCTGACTGGCACTAAATCCACTTTAACCAAATCTGACAGTTCTTCTCTTACAATAGATCACTTCACAGTTTCTCCCTCCTCTCAGATTAAGAGTCTGGGTGTCATCCTCGACAGTACACTAACTTTCTAACCACACATCAGTAACATTACCAGGTCTGCATACTTCCTTCTGAGTAATATTAATCACCTTCGTTTATTCCTCACTTCCAGCTCTGCTGCTATTTTGGTTCACTCAGTGGTCACTTCGATTGCTGCAACTCCCTCCTCTTTGGTCTCCCCCAGAAAGCCTCCCACAGACTTCAGTTAGTCCACAATTCTGCCACCCGCATCATTTCCAGAACCCTATCCAGCAATCACATGTTCCAGTTCTTCAGCAGCTAAACTGGCTCAGCTATTGCATTGATTTTAAGATTTTGCCTCTGACTTTCAAAGCCATCCATAACCTCACCTCTCCGTACCTTTCTGACTTCCTTCTCATCAGGCCCCCCTGTCGCTCTCTCAGGCCCTCTTCTTCTCTCCACCTCACTGTCCCACTGTTTGACCACCATGGGCTCCAGAGCCTTTAGTCACTCTGCTCCCCGACTCTGAAACTCCCTCCCACCAGACATCTTTGATATCAACTCCCTCTATTTTTAAATCCCATCCTAAAACCCATCTTTATTAAATTAGCATATTCAGTCTGACTGATTTCTTTCAGTCAACCATCACTCTTTCATTCACTGTTCTAACTTATTTTGTGGACTTATTTCTTTTCTTGCTTTAACCTTCTCTTGTATGGTGACCTTGGGTGCTTGAAGTCGCCTGTAAAAAATGCAGCATTATTATCATTATTACTACCCTTAGCCAGTCAGAAAAAAAGCTTTTTTTCTTGGAACCCTATTCTTTGTCAATGTGCTGTTCATTCAACAAGGTTCACTGAGGGACTTTCTTGTTGTGCTTAGGGGTTTTAACTGCAGCTCAACATTTCTCCGAAAAACTACACAAGAAATGAATATTGCATTTTCATCAGTCAACAGCCAGGTACCAAATAAAAAGCCTTACCCCAGAGTCTCTAGCCTCCAGTCTGGACTTTGCAGAAAATCACACAGATGCTCCACTCCTGTATCAAACAGCTCATTTCCTCCAAGATCCAGCTCTATCAGATGGGAGGGGTTGGCCTTCAGTGCAGAGGCCAGAGAAGCACAGCTAACATTTGATAAACTGCAGTTGATCAATCTAAAAATAAAAATAACTTATGTGATGTTTTTGTGACTACATTTAGTGTTTGATTTTGTTTTCTGTAAAAGAAAACAAGATGCAGTTGATCAATCTAAAAATAAAAATAACTTATGTGATGTTTTTGTGACTACATTTAGTGTTTGATTTTGTTTTCTGTAACATTGTAACTAACATTGACTCATGCAAAAGTTCATCACAGGAGCTATGACAACATAGGATATATTAACATGTAGAATATTGAAATTGGTAACACAACCCATCAAAATTTTAACATGAAAGTTCAAAAAGAGCTCTATTCTTCCATGCAATATTACACTGCCAGGGAAGCAACAGGAGAGGATTTTTTTTCATGGATCAGTAGGACATACAATGGGAGGTCTGACCTGAGTGTCTCCAATCTGCAGTCTGGACTCTGGAGAAAACCACACAGCAGCTCTATCCCTGAATCCTGCACCTTGTTGGAGCTCAGGTCCAGCCGTCTCAGATGAGAAGGGTTGGACTTTAAAGCAGAGGCCAGAAAAATACAGCTGACCTCTGATAACTTGCAGCCTTGCAATCTATAAAATAAAAATAAATGATGTTTCTCCAGATTTTTTTTCCAGCATTCTGTAGTAATTATTTCTGTGTATAGAGCAGGGAAGAGTTTTAGAAATAAGAACAAACAAGGAAACACAAACAAACCTCACTCCACTGAAATAAATAAAAACAAAAAAAATACAGGTACACTTGTTTTTAGCAGGCTGTTAGATGATTAAACCCATTGAGGAGTACCCTTGTTATATCAACGCTTTCAGATCAATGCTCAACATTTCCCTATAACTGCCAATGAGCCAAAAAGGAAAGACAGCTGAGAGTGAAGGAAGAGCCTAACCTCAGAGCCTCTAGCTGACAGTTAGGACTCTGAAGATAATCAAACAGCAGCTCAACTCCTGAATCCTGCAGGTTTTTACTCAGGTTCAGCTCTCTCAGATGGGAGGGGTTAGACTGGAGAACTGGAACCAGAGAAGCACAGCCAGCCTCTGAAAATCTGTGGTCAGTCATCCTGAAAATAAAAATCATAGTCTGTTTGAAATTCTTTTAACACTTTTCATTTTTAATAGTCTTTTGTTTTTCCCCTGTTTTCCTTTCTTTTTGATGCTTAAGTTAGATTGGTCAAAACTTGAATGGGAGTCTCACAAGGTTCTGGTCTGGGACACTTTTGAGTTTGTACATTGATGACTGACTACAGTAATGTCTTGGGAGCAGGTTACCAGACATGTACCAATTATGTAGCCCTTAACGTATCCTAAGACTTCATTAGTGTGTTCAGCCTGGGATCATTTCATATAATGCAAGCTTTCTTTTTGATTAAGTCAAACTAGATCAAGTCTGGAATCACTTTACTTCAGTCAATGACGATCCAGACTAAGGCACTCTGATGAACAAAATCAGAATCCAGACTGAAGTCATACTGATTAACTAAATCAGGATCCACACTGGGATAATTTTTCTTATGGGTCAATCAGGATCTAGACTGGACTAATTCTGATTTATTCAACCTTGAAAAGGGAATTAAATTGCTGAAGTTATTTAGACTAAATGTAGACACATAGGACTCTATTTTCGTGCCCACTGGCGGCGTGGCAGAGGGTTGGCGGACCCCGCGCAGTGGTATTTTCGTCTGGCGGAGCCCGGTGGACAGCCAGTTTGGTATTTTTGTAGACTGAAGCGCACCAAGGTCCGCCAAGCTGGGTGTGGTGGCGCGGCAGGGGGAGGTGTCGACAGAAACAGCTGGCGCAGCGACATTTTCGTGCTCGCCGGTGGCATGGAAAGTGCGCTAAAAGCTCACCGATTCAAATCTGGTCAGCTTTTAGCACAGCTGGTCTAGTGGTATTTTGGTAGAACGACAGAGTAGTGTGCATACGTCACCGATGCCTCACCAGCAGGTTTCCACAGTGTCAGGCCCATTTCAGTGCAATAAATAATCAACAACAACCAATATTCTGAGTCAGCACATACATTTAGATCTATATAGATATATTCTGATCTATATCTTTTCTGATGAGCGCGTTTGGCACACGTTTGGACACTCAACCTGACCGAATCAACACAGCTGAAACAGCATTAAATTAAATTAAACATCTAGTAAACAGACACACATGATGAAGTTAACAAAACATGTAATTCATCTCCCTCCTTTTCTTTCTTCCTCTTCCTCTTATCTCTCGCGCAGCTCGACCTGGACATGTGTCCGTATCCTCTCCCCGTCCTGCTGCAGCTGCTGCTGCGGTGGCTGAACAGATGATTTGTTTCAGTGATCAGATGAGTTATTTAATTTAAGCCTACATATGAATATTATAATATTCGGTTTTGTGAGCCAAATTTATTTTATATGCCAACATCTATGAAAGAAAGAGCCAGGCCACGGAGCGCGATGCGTCATTTACGCACAAATGGTTCCGATTTTAATGCCATTGTTGGAGTTTATGTTTTGATCTGTGTGCACAACCCACTTTTGTCATGTGAGGTTTGAATATATGCAACTTTATGTGAGTGTCTTTATTTGTGCAAAGGGATGTTTGTCTTACCAGTGGGTCCAACATTACACTCACCAAATCCATCTGTGCTTATATGAGAGAGTGTGGAGGACGCCCTCTGCAGCGACACGTGTTGAGGGGCTGCCTTCTGTCGCCATCGTGTGGCATTGCTGTCTTCAGACATCTCTTGATCTCTTTGACTACTTCACAAAATTTGTAATACTCCTCGCCCGTGGTGGATTTAAAGTTGAGGAGAGGCGCTGATATGATTGGCGAAAACAGGTCTTGGCTGTGTTAAACCCACTCCACGCCTTCTCTCCTCCCTCTCTACAACTTACGCCACTGGGAGGAGCTGAGTTTGGGAGGGGGGATACTTACACCGGGCTGCGCCGCTCACCAAAGTACTAAAATGTTCTTGGGCACGGCGAGGAACGAAAATAGAGCCCATACTGTGTATTCTTGTGCCTTCTGTTTAAAGATTAGTTTTTTTGTTTTCTTTTACAAAATATCTTGTTTGCTGTTTTATAGTGTCTATTTTATTGAGTTCATCTTTAATCTCTTTTCTGTGTTGTTCAAATGTTTTTGTTCATATTCTGTTTTAAAGCACATTAATGACTGCATTTCTAATAATCCAAGGCTGTAAAAGTTGTAGTGTATGGCGTCAGCTTACCATAAGTTTTATTTTAATAATCAGCCAAGAGTTAAGAAATGGAGTCTGACCTCAGAGTCTCCAGTCTGTAGTTTGGACTCTGCAAAAAATCTGAGAGCGGTTTCCCTCCTAAATCCTGCAGCTCATAGTTTCCACTCAGGTCCAGCTCTCTCAGATGAGAGGGATTAGCTGTCAGAGCTGAGGCCAGAGAATCACAACTCGTCTTTGACAAACTGCACCAGCTCAACCTGAAAATGAAAACTAATGATGTTACTCTGACAACTTTTTTTTTCACAAATAAGTTTGAACAGTTTTTATTATTATTATTAAATTAGAGATAAGATTGAGATGTAAAATCTAAATCAAAAATGGAAACATACAAACACATTTTAATTGAATGCTGGGTAAATTTAAGCATTAAAGATAATCAGCTTTTTTCTTTACCATGATACGAATATTGTGTTCGTGCAATAAAGCAAACTAATGATAATGATTTCTTGCGTTGGGCTCTCGCCACCGCTTGCAGCATCAGCTCCGGCCTTAATAATTAATTAATGGCAGACTCTGACCTTAGAGTCTCCAGTCTACAGTCTGGATTTTGCAGATAATCACACAGGTGCTCCACTCCTGAATCCTGCAGTTTTGAGTTCCCACTCAGGTCCAGCTCTTTCAGATTGGAGGGGTTAGATTTCAGAGCTGAGGCCAGAGAAGCACAGCTGGTCTCTGACAAATAGCAGCGGCTCAGTCTGACGGTGAAAAGAAATGTCATTTGTTTAGACTTTTGTCAAGTCCATACAATGCTTTATCATTATTATTATTATTATTATTATTATTATTATTATTATTATTATAACTAGCTGGTGGGGGTGATAATGAAAGATATACAGGTAGTCTAACCCCTAAAAAACATAATGCAGGCTGAAACTGAAAGATGTCTTCTTCTTTTCAACATGCAGTTATTACGTCCAATGAGGTTAGACATTTTTAACCTAAGCATATTATTCTGCTGTCAAAAATAATGACTCAGAGCACAAAGTCTGACCTGAGAGTTCCTATTCGGCAGCCTGGACTCTGCAGATGAACACACAGAAGCTTCACTCCTGCATCCTGCAGAATACAGTTTTTACTCAGGTCAAGCTCCTGCAGATTGGAGGGGTTGGTTTTAAGAGCCAAGGCCAGAGATGTACAGCTGGCTTCTGACAAACTGCAGCCAAAAAGTCTAAAAATGAAAAGTGAATAATTTTGTCAGTAAAACCATTTAGAGTTTGTCATATCTTTTCAAAGCTTAAGAAAGCCCAAAATGTAGTGTATTGAACATTTGAAGACCAGACACCTGAATGAAACAAGATGCAGCCTGAGACACATTTAAGCTCAAGAAATACTTAGTTCTGTATTGTTAAGTTGTTATCTTATTTGAGTGATTCAGAGATATAGTCTTATAAAATTAAGCTCTTTAAACTGGAGCTCAATATATTCAGTCATAGAAAATACTCCAGAAATAAATTATACTTATTCAAGGAGCCACAGTAAGAAAATACAGAGTCTGACTTCAGCCTCTCCAGCCTGCAGTCTGGACTCTGCAGATAATCACTCAGGTGCTTCACTCCTGAATCCTGCAGTTTTGAGTTCCCACTCAGATCCAGCTCTCTCAGATGGGAGGGGTTGAACTTAAGAGCTAAAACTAGAGAAGCACAGCCAACTTGTGTCAAACTGCAGTCCCTTAGTCTAAAAAAAAAAACAAATAAAGATGTAGATCTTCAAAAAAGTTTATTTATTTATTTATTTTTTTATTTTAACCATCTTTAGAGAAAGTGAGGGTCTGACCTTAGAGTGTTCAGTGTGCAGTCTTGACTCTGTAGATAATCACACAGATGCTTAACTCCGGCATCCTGCAGCTCGTTGTCCCCCAGGTCCAGTTCTCTCAGATAGGTGGGGTTGGACGTCAAAGCCGTAGCCAGAGAAGCACAGCTGGTCCCTGACAAACTGCATTGTCTTAACCTGCATGTTTTTCAAATGTAGCTGGTTATGATCTTTTGTTAAAAAAAGAGATTTGTCTAAGCCTCTCATATACTTTTCACTTTGATGTTTTTCTACTTGTATGTTAGCCCTGATTGGGAAACAGCCTTTGAGTGCCTTGAAAAGACATGGGGTGCAGCAGTTTTTCTTTGTGTACTCTATCACAATAAATTAGGTGGTAAAAGATGATTCAGACTTGAATTCAGACTTAAGCTTTGGAAAGTCTGATCACCCCCAAAGACAATTTTCTCAATCATGAGCCACTTGTCAAAGAAAATCCCTTTTTTTCCCCCACTTTTTCTTTCTCATTGTAAATAACCCCAGCAATAATTATTTTAGTAACAAGAAAAGAAAAAACTACTGGCCTCAGAGCCTCCAGCCTGCAGTTTGGACTCTCCAGTCCAGAAGACAGCAGCTTCACTCCTGAGTCCGACAGCTTGTTCTTACTTAGCTCTAGCTCTCTCAGGAGGGAGGGGTTTGACTTCAGGGCTGAGGCGACCACTTCATAGTGAGTCTGTGATAGTCCACTGCTAGAGAGTCTGTTGGAAAACATACAGTACAGTGAAGTACATTTAAATGAAAAGTGGCACTCATACCAACCCCACAACCCACATAAAAATAAATTTAAAAAACTGCTGTCATAGCCATGCGTCCATGTCCTCCATCAAATAAGCCCTAATTAAGAGTTGTTTCATTTCATCCACATAATTATGTGTTGTTTGCTCAACATTGTGAACCTTGTCGTTCTACTTTCATTGTGTTTAGATGTGAAAGCTTTGAAACTGGTGTGAGGATTTCCTTTAACTCCCCTGAAACTATAACATTAAAATAAAGCTAAGAGCCATACGTTTTCAACTGTGTTTCAAGAGAAACCCAGTCTTGCATTGTAGAGGACAGAATAAGTAAAGGAGGAGCTGCTAGAGGTGTTGCAGCTGGTTATCTTTTGTGTCTGAGTCGATTCATCTATTTTAGTGCTTGTTCCTCTTAAAATTGAGCTTTATGCTTTAAACTGTGTGATCATCACAGCTGTCATACTTCTATGTGCTCTGGAAAGTTGTCAAGTAATCCAGCAGTTAGAAGGCGCCACTCAGACTCAAAAGATACCCAAAAAAGAAGAGGCAAAATAAGAAAAGATATTCTCACAAGGGGAAATTCCAAAATTTACAGCAGTGATAAAAACATGGTGATGTATATATATATAAAATTATATATATATGTATATATATATATATATATATATATATATATATATATATATATATATATATATATATAATTTTAAGTGAGAGGATAAGTGTTTTTTACTGCTGTTATGTACATGTTGATATATTACCATCGAAATTCGAGATATTTATATGTATGACTATATACACAGAATAAGGATATGTGTGGACAGAATATACATACAAATATGGTTTATTGCACACTGAGGTTGCTGTTGTGGAGTCTGACAGCTGCAGGAAGGAATGACCTGCGATACCTCTCTAGCACACTCTTGGGGTGGAGCATCTTGTCCCTCAAGGAGCTCCTCAGTGCAGGAGGTAGTGTTGCAGACTGCAGTTTAGTACTTCACAACATATGGATTTTATATTTCAGAACATATCGATGTTATGTTTGATGTTTTAAACAGTCTGTATAGACAGCATCAAGAGAAACCAACACCAGTCAGACTTAACTCCACTTCCTTTGTTTTAATTTTCATCTTTAATTTTACATCATCTGGCCTCATCTTTATGGTAAGTTTTGCAAGAAAGCTCAAAGAAAACTTATGGTATTAGTCAGCCCACTCCCAATTTTTTATCACACTACAGATACAGATCATTTTTTGGTTGAACAGACACTGATTTCAGATAATGTTGTTTTTAAACACCCTGACTTTCTGCATTCAAGTTTTATTTACTTACTTAGGACAGAATACTAATTAAGATTAAAAATCTTGTGTTCTGGGAAGAAAGGCAGTAGCACAGTTCCCCAAGTTTCTGACAGACAAGGAACAGCTACACTAGGGTGACCATATTCTGAATCCCCAAAATCAGGACACTACTACACGGGGCAGAGTCGCACACAAAATTTTGAGGGTTTTTTGGGTTGGGTCTAGTGTTTTTTTAACACGCTTTTAACGCAGTTAGTCCATGGTGCACAAACTCGAAACTTCCGTACAAAAGCCTAGACATTTGAAGGATTTTATAAACTCCACCCAGACAGGCCGGACAGCCCCCCAAAAGAGGACATGTCCAGTTAAAATAGGTCGTATGGTCACCCTAAGCTACATGAAAGTAAATGTAAGAGTAAATTCCTATAATTCAATAAAATTTGTCATGACAGATAAGAAGTGTCTGCCCCCAACTAAGGAGAGAGGTGTGTGTGTGTGTATCACACATCCTTGTAACCCAGAACAGACGTAGATGTGACAGTGATTATAGTCTCTTTTCTGGACTCAGAAGAAAGGCAGGATTTGATCCTAAAATGAAAACCCAGTTTTAATTTAAATATTCTCACCCGCTGCCAAATATGAGGCCAGGAGATGCTAAATAAAACTGGACTTTTATTTGACCCTCATCTGTACTTACATGGCCTTTCTGCAGTTCCTCACTGCTGGAATCAGTCTCCATCGTCCTTCCTCTGTTGTGTTGTACTTCTCCAGATTTAATTCATCCAGAACCTCCTCTGACATCTGCAGCATGTAAGCCAGAGCAGAGCAGTGGATCTCTGAGAGCTTGTACTCTGATGTGTTCCCTGACTTCAGGAAGTCTTGGATCTCCTGATTTATTGTCAGATCGTTCACTTCTACCAGACATTGGAAGATATTGATATTCCTGTCAGGAGATATTTTGGAGTTCATCTTCTTCAGGTTTTCAATGATTCTTTGGATTACTTCAGGACTGTTGTTTACCTGGCCCAGTAAGCATCTCAAGAGTCTCTGGTTTGACTCGAGGGACAGCCCATGAAGGAAGCGAACAAACAGATCTAGGTGGCCATTTTTACTTGTCAGGGATTTCTGCATTGCTGCTTGTAAGAGGGAGTCCAGGCTAAAATTAACGCTTTTTGCTTTGAGGAAAGCCTTCAGTTCTTTGTTTTTCTTGCTTGTGAAACAGTGGATCATGTAGACAGCGGCAAGAAACTCCTGAACGCTCAGATGAATGAAGCAGTAGACAGTTTGCTGGAAGATCACACTCTCTGGTTTAAAGATCTCTGTACAAACTCCTGAGTACACCAAGGCCTCTGAGACACCTAGACCACACTGCTCCAGGTCTTCTTGGTAGAACATGATTTTTCCTTCCTCCAGATTTTTAAAGGCCAGCCTCCCCAGCTTCAGAAGTATTTCCCGGTCAGCCTCCATCAGCTCCTGAGGACTTGTCTCATGACCCTCTTCATACTTGTGCTTCTTCCTCTTTGTCTGGACCAGCAGGAATTGTGAGTACATGTCAGTCAGGGTCTTGGGCAGCTCTCCTCTATCCCCTGTGCTCATCATGCGCTCCAGAACTTTAGCAGTGATCCAGCAGAAGACCGGGATCTGACACATGATGTGGAGGCTGCTGGAGGACTTGATGTGTGACATGATTCTTCTGGACAGATCTTCATCCCTGAACCTCTTCCTGAAGTACTCCTCCTTCTGGGCGTCAGTGAAGCCTCGTACTTCTGTTACCCTGTCCACACATGAAGGAGGGATCTGATTGGCTGCTGCAGGTCGAGAAGTTATCCAGATGAGAGCTGAGGGGAGCAGATTCCCACTGATGAGATTCATGAACAGGATGTTGATTGATGACTCCTGTGCGACATCAGAAACAACCTCATAGTGATAAAAATCCAGAGATAGTCTGCTTTCATCCAGACCGTCAAAGATGAACAGAAGTTTACAGACAGCCAGCGTCTCTGCTGCGACCTTCTGTAGTGTTGGATGGAAAACATGGAGCAGACTCAGAAGACTGTAGCGCTTATCTCTGACCAGGTTCAGCTCCCTGAATGAAAGCAGAACCACCAGACTGATGTCTTGGTTTTCTGAGCCCTCTGACCAGTCCAGGGTGAACTTCCGTACTGAGAAAGTTTTTCCAACACCAGCCACACCGTTGGTCAGAACCACTCTGATGTGTTTCTGTTGACCAGGTAGGGCCTTAAAGATCTCATGGCACTTAACTGGAGGGTCATGGTGGGCCTTGGATGTTGTCTCGAGCTGCCGCACCTCATGTTGGTTGTTCACCTCTTTACTCTGTCCCTCAGTGATGTAGAGCTCAGTGTAGATCCTGCTCAGGAGGGTGGTACTTCTGGCTTCATCAGTTCCCTCAGTCACATGTTCACATCTTTCCCTTAAGCTGATTCTGTGTTCATTTAAAACCTCCTGTAGGACTCCTCTCACTAGGAAGGACAAAGCAAAGTCAGTTATTTTTGTTTTTTTTAATCAATGCACAACACTAATTCTGTTGTAATCCCGGTTGTCAGAATGTGGTTTGTCATTGTCTTCCTTAAATATGAAGGTCTTCCCTGCAAAAGTCATTGCCTAGATGGCAGCAGATGTTGCTCCTAAAACTGTAGATATTGTTCAGCATGAATGGAGCCTTCAAAGATGTGGCAGCTACCCATGACATGGACTCTAATGATCCCCATACCATCAGGGAGGCTGGATTTGGACTGGGAGCTGATAGAAAAGCGACTCATGTGCTCCTATGAGTAGCAGAGGCAGTGTCCAAGATTTCAAGATCACAGTTTTCTACTTTGACCAAAGTCCCCTTACATGTAAAGAACAGTGGATCAACAAAGATTCCTGTTTATGTTAAATCTAATTATTTCAAATGGATGGAAATTTAAAATAATTTGGCCTACATATTACTGTGAGTGCATGTTAAAGAGGTAACCCAGATCTGCAACAAGTAAAGCTTATAAAACCGATCATTTGTGTGGACCTTCCATTCTTTTAACATGGACTATGGATAGGCAGCCTTTCAAGAGCCATGCTTGTTTTTTATTTAGTGTCACCTTAGGTTCACAGCCATCCAGTATTGGTTTTTGGCTCTTGAGTTGTTTACAATTCCTTTGGGTTCCTTTTTCCTTGTGCTTTGGATTCTTTAAAAAAAAAAAAAATCAAAACATTGCTTTTGTGCTGGATAACAGGCTCCAACATTATGCAAGCAAGACAACCAGGAGGCTTCCCCAAGCCACTATGTCCCCAGTCACTTTAGAACTGAAGAAGCCTTTTGGGAGAGAGGAGGAACATCTTCAAGAACCCCAAACAAGTCCAGTTGACCTTTCAACAAAAGATTGGATAACCATGACATGGATAAGTGAGAACCTACACAGATATTTGGTTTTGCAGTCTCTCACAGAGCAGAGACCCTATTCCCATCTTAACCTCCAAGAGGCTCAGCCTCTCTGGAGTGCCTTTTACTAAGTCATGTTACTTACTTGTCATGATTCAAATCATCAGTTGTTAGCTGTTATTTTGTTGAGAACATTCATACGCAGGTTTACGCTCTTACTTTGTCGGACTGTTGGAGATTCGGGTCCTGTTCTGCTTTTTTTTCCACTCTGCGGACAGGAGCTGTCTTCATGTGAACCAGACTGGTCTCTGTATGAGGTGAGACACTTTCTGCAGAACCAGTGTCCACAGCTGGTAGAGACAGGGTCCTTCAAGACATCCTGACACACAGCACAGTAGGATCGCTTACGTACTGTAGAAACATAAATCGCCCTGTGAAAACATTTTTCAGTTACTACATGATTTACTGACCACTGCCAAAAAACTTCCAGACTTTGCCATGTGACTGTATTCTTCAGTTTTGAGGGGAAAATGATTCCTCTTCAACTTTTAACCCTCCTGGTTTTCGCTTAAGGGATAGTTTGGTTTTTTCAAGTTGGTTTGTGTGAGACCACCTGTCATTAGTAAGTCCATTAGCCCCAGGGAATCTCCATCAGCTTGCCCTCTTTGTTGGGAAACAGGCCAGTGACCTGGAACCTAACCTGGGCTAGTAACAATTTGCAATGGTGTAATTTGAACAAACTCTAACCAAAGCATGAAGTGGAAATGTAAATATGCGCAGTATTTGGTCATTTATTGGGGCTTTACTTTGAAGTCAGAAAGCCTGTCAAAAGAAAACAAAAATACAACCAAACTCAAAAATGAGAGATTCTGACAGTAATGATAAGTTGCTGTTATTGTTACAATGAGAATGGACACAAGAGGACACTGTAATGAATCAAAGTTTTTGAAAGACTGGTGTTGCTCAGTGTCAAAGAAGAGGGTTTAGGGGTTCCTATGCTGACTGGAGAACAGGGAGACCCCAAGTTCCCTGATGGTGCAGCTGTAAACTGCAAACTGGGAAAACTCAATGCTGTCATGAGTGGGAATTGGTAACAACAGCACAATGAGACCTTTCTGGATCAGAGGATACCAGTGGATCACATGTGGCTGGATTCTGCATCTTTTACACCCAGAGTTCTCTGCCTCACTGAATGTTGCTTTTGTTATTTAGGGGTCAAACCAGAAAATCAGAAAGGTTTTTATGTTATAAATTATGTGAAAAAGAATTCAATATGTCTGTGATAGTTCTGACACATCCAGATGAATAAAAGTTAAATTCAACAAGCATCCAACAACTTTGGCTGCATCCAGCTGTTGCATGTAATAAACTTTGAAATACAGGATACAGAGACACAAGATTCCCATCCTGAGCATGATGTGACAAGAAGAAGGCCGCCATGGAAATGGAGTCCATACAAGGCTCCTACATACAGATAATCTTAAGCATGATGTCAAACCAAGACACACAGTTCCCAGTATTTCAATGATTCATACATCATAGACTTTTGCAACTGGTCGGCCTCTCAGGCACTGTTTTTAACTAGTTCACCTCTTATCTCACTGATCGACACTTCTTAGTAAGTATGGATACATGTTCCTCACAGACCCATAAAATTATGTGTGGGGTTCCCCAGGGGTCAATTTTAGGTCCAACTCAGTTATGCTGCTGATACACAACTGTACATGTCCGTGTCTCCTGATGATAGCGGGCCAATTGATGCCCTTTTAAATTGCATTTTAGACATCAAGTCCTGGATGGCAGCCAACTTCCTGCAGCTCAACCAGGACAAAACAGAGGTTTTAGTTATAGGTCCTGAAGGCCTGAGAGAGACACTTTTACCAAAACTACAAGATTTTAAAGTATCAACATCTGTAAAAAACCTGGGCATGATTTTCATCTCTGAGCTCAGTTTTATTCCACACATCAAAAACATGGCAAAGGTAGGTTTTTACCACCTTAAGAATATAGCCAGGGTCTGCCCGTTTCTCTCCCAGGCCAGCACGGAGGTGCTGATGCATGCTTTTCTCTCTTCTCGTTTAGATTATTGTAATGCCCTGCTCTCTGGCCTCCCAAAGAAGAACTTACATACACGTCAGCTTTTACAGAGTTCAGCTGCAAGAGTGCTGACAAGGGCCAGAGGGCGAGAGCATATAACGCCAGTTTTAGCATCGCTGCATTGGCTCCCCGTCTGTTTCAGGATTGATTTTAAGGTTCTTTTATTAGTTTTTAGATGTATTAATGGTCTTGGGCCCTCCTATTTATCTGACTTACTTTTACCATATCAACCCTCGCGGGCCCTGAGGTCCTCTGGCACAGGCCTTTTAACCTTACCCAGAGTCAAAACAAAAACACACAGGGAGGCGGCTTTCAGTTTTTATGGTCCCTGGTTGTGGAACAGCCTGCCGGAAAGCCTTAGGGCTTTAAAGTTTAAAAAGTTTAAAAAAAAAAAAAAAGTTTTTTAAAAAAGTTTTTACTTTTAACTTAAAAGTTTAAACTTTAAAGTTCCTAATGTTTATTTTATATCATTCCATTAATTATCTCTGTTCTTGTCTTTTTCTTTATTCCCATCACAGGTTTTTACTTCGTTTACCCCCTTTTTATATGGTAAAGAGCTTTTACTTTTTACTTATCTATTCATTTAATATTCTTGTTTTAGTCCATCAGGTTTTACTCTTTTCACCATTCTTATCTCTATTTTTATCTCCAGTGTTTCCTAAAGGTAGCTCTTTCCTCGCGTGATGTCTTGGTGTCAGGCCATGTATCTCTAGCAATATGTCTTAAAATCTCACACTGAGTGCGGTTGTGTGTGTGTATGTGAGGTTGAGTGAGGGTGGGTGTGTGTCTTTGTGTGCGTGTGGGTTCATGGGTGTGTGTGTGGATGGGAGGGTTGGGTTTTATTGTCATTATTGTTGTTTTTAGCCTCTGTGAGGCACTTTGAATTGCATTTTTTTGTATGAAAAGTGCCATATAAATAAAATTGAATTTGAAAATTTGAATTTGAATCATACTTGTAGTCATTAAGCTGACCAGTGCACTGCAGGGGGAGGAACATGTATGTGCTACATCCAAGAAAAGTGCAAAAACAGAAGAACTTTTCAACAGCAGAGTACCCAAACTTTTCCAATACAGCACGAACTTATACTGAGAGTGAAAGTATTGTTGGAGTTAGTTCAGTTAGTTGAAATGTAAGTCCTGTCGGTTGAATTTGTATTTCTCACAGGAAACTGCAGTGGGTCGGTTGTCTTACTGTGAGCATGAGGGTCCAGACTCTTCACTGGGCTCTTTAGTAAACTCTTCAGTGTCCTGGGGATCTCTCAGGCAAGACTGATCTTCCCCAGAAAAATTACTCATGTTTGGATCTGAAGTCTGGGAAAAGTTAAGCAGAAATGTTCCGTGAGAGCTGAAGAGACAGGAATCAAGAGAAACCAGCTTATTCACAGACACACGAGTGTACAGGAAACAGGGGCGCTTACACATACACACACACACACACACTTCGTTTAAACAAAAGTATAAACAAAACTGTTGAGCTCATACTGAGTGCTTTCTTTAACGGTTTACAGAGAAGAAGAAACATTTTACAAACATTTCAGGAAAACTCACTACGCACCAGCTGTTAGTTTTCTGCTCTCTTCTGTTTGCTCAATATGGAGTGCTGACATTACTCTTAGGTTTCATTTTTGGAGTTTTAACCCTGCACACTGAAGCCAGGCTCCAGAGTCTGGCTCCACCCTCCTTCACTTACAGGAAGGAAGCTTGATTTCTGTGTTGGAGTGTGTGTATACCTATTAACACCCAGAGCATTTCTTCCAGCTCTGCGTGTCAGTTCTTGCACCACTTTGGACAAAAGTGTCTGCTAAATGAAACTGCAGTTGTAATTGCAATGTGTGTGTGTCTCACAGCTTCCAGGCAAGGTGTTTTGTGCCAGTTTAAAGTTGAGGCATATTTTATATGTGAGAGCATCAAACTATGATTCACTCACATATTTCAGCATGTGGTGCGAATGTGACAATATTAAGTATTTATTAGTTCTAAAATCAATTTAAAACACAAACCCCAACTCCAACTCTAGTGAAGTTGAGATGTTGTTACTTTTCTTGAGGGAGCTCCCAAAAGGCTAAATAAAGTTGCATCTAATCTAATCTAATCTAATCTAATCTAATCTATCAATCCATCTTCAGGTCCAGCTCTTACCATAGGTGAAGGTAGGAACATAGATCCACCTATCGAGAGCGTCGCCTTTTAGCCTTTCCCCATCTTTTTCCAGCTGAGAACCATGTACTCAGATTTGGAGGTGCTGATTCTCATCCCAGCCACTTTACACTCAGTTGCAGAGCTATTCAGTGAGAGCTGGACGTCACAGCCTAATGTAGCCAACAGGACCATGTAATCAAAGTTAAAAAAAAGTCAAAGTCAGCTTTATTGTCAAATATGCTATAAAACAGCATACAGCATATATGAAATTACAGTCCTCTCGGACCCGCAGTGCAATAAGCAGTGTCACAATCCTGAGACCACCAAACTGGATCCCCTCAATGCCCTGGCTGCGTCTAGAGTCCCCCCCTTACTGAAAATGAGTCTAAATTACGGCTAGCTATACAGACCAAGCTCTGGCAACGGTCATATAGGGATCAAACAGCCCTTATCAGGGTGTCCAGGACCCCATACTCCCACAGCATCCCCCAGAGGGACACAGTCAAATGCGTTCTCTAAGTCCATAAAGCACATGTGGATTGGTTGGGCAAACTCCCATGCATCCTCAAGAATCCTGCTGAGGGTCTAGAACTGGTCCACAGTTCCGTGTCCAGGACAAAAAAATGCATTGCTCCTCTTGAATCTGAGGTTCGGCTATCCGACGGACCCTCCTATTCAAGACCCCTGAATACATGTTTCCAGGGAGGCTGAGGAGTGTGATCCCCCTGTAGTTGGAACACACCCTTCAATCCCCCTTCTAAAAAAGAGGGACCACCACCCTGTTATCAAATCAGTTACATTTTCTGATATAGTGACAACCCTGGGTTACACCGTATATCACCCATGGAGGCACCACTTCAAAAAGAAAACAGACTTCTTGGACTAACTCTCCCTGAAGAATGCAGCTGGGTTTAAATGACAGAGTTTGTGAGCAGCTTACGAACAGAGACTTAAAGCCCTGGTGCAGTTCTGCACGGCCCAACAGCAAGCCGCAGCAGCTTTCTTCCATGGGTCATGGACCTTGGTGAAGAAGTCATCCACTGACTCTGTAGGGGAGATATAATGCTGGCTGATTGCTGGTTAAATGTCTAACCACATCATTGTGCCAGATATATGACTAAATGCATATCATATGTGAAACAATAAAATAATTTTCTATTTTTATACATTCATAAAGATGATTGAAACGTTGCTGAAATTGTCCAGCAATGTCCAACCTTGTCTTATTTTTCAGCATGAGACCTAAACCAGCAGATAAACAAGAGGGTTAAAACAGGCTCAAAAGAACAAGCAGAACGGTTTCAAAGACCCTTAATTTACAATGAACAGACCAGGATGGGGGATTTTAAGCAGTAGGTATAGCTATGACTTTAGTTATCATCTGCAGAAATATTTTATTTCGATAATAACTCCTTTTCAAAAAGTAGTGGTTGCATTTGGGGTTAAAATCAAAAAAGGGTCTGGTTGCACGCCTCTACTGAGAGGGACCATAGCATAGACTGTGTATACTATGGACAACTTGGTTCCGCCTCCCGCCTGTATACGGATTTGAAGCCAGAAAGCTCTCGATATTTCCGATATTTTTCTTCATTTCCTGAAACCAGAGCTGTAGCTGCGCACATTCGGCCGCGCAGTCGCCAAGAGTCACTGTGATGACCCTTGGCTCAAACAGCGTATCCCCCCGGATGAGTTACGCAATCCCCGAACACCCATAGGCTGTACCAGGTATCAATCATAGAAAACATGAACCCCCTAATAACTTTTAAAAATGGAGCTTCACAGAAAAAAGAGGACTTAAGCACAAACCAGTCTTACAATAACTAGATGTCAACATCACAAGCAGGGGGGAGAAAAATGTATGTTCTGTGTAATAAATTTCTAAAGTTTGTCCACAGTCCCAAAAGCTTTGCTGGCGGAGGCGGGATTTATGACCTATACTGCAGCCCATCAATGGAGGGTGCTGTTCTCGGAGTGGCTTCACCCAGCGAGGAGGCAGACTCTGTCCATTCTTTATACAGTCTATGGACCATAGACTATAGCTGTGTCTCATTTCAGAGACCGCAACCGTCGAACGGCGTATTTGAAGCGTACGTGAGGCCATCACGCGGCATGAACGGTGTCCCATTTGGCACAAAATGCTAAGTGCGCTTCAAATTCGGTCTCAAAACCACACTGTCCCTGCCCCTTTTTCAAGCGTGCATTTATGCACGCTTTCGTGCCGTTGGTATCCCAGAATTCTTTGCGTGCCGCTGCACAGCTGCACATTTCGGGTGAGAGGCCGGACTCGCTTGGAGACGCAGCACGTCTTCAAAGAAAATAAAAGAAATCCAAAAACAGCAGACAGTCAGCTCAGGCTGTATGAGCGCATGATCTCTTAACTCACTAAAATCTGTAAACCAAACATTACAGTATTTAGATACGAACTGATCCGCTCTGCTACAACAATTGTAGCATCTCAACTGGATTTACAGACTCCATGAACGAGGACAGATGCACCGTGATGTGGGTTCAACTTTTAATTTTTTAACACACACACCACAGACACCGTAAGAGCTGAAATAAAACACAAAGCACAATTACACTCACACATTTTCATCTGGGCGCACTTGTCAATCACACACACAATGCTAGCAAACCGGACAACAAATCAATTAACACATGAACAGCCCCCACAAGCATACCTTTGCACCATCCAGTTAAGCGCTATTAACAATGTTCCGTCCTTTCCATGAAGTGGATTCGTGTACCATACTTGCAACATCTCCTTCTTCTCATAGCATGTGTCCCTCGTTTTCCATGATCAATCACTCAAAAGAACAAACACGGACGTCCTGGCCCTTTCAGAATAAAAAAATAAGCGCCGGAATTGCGCCTTCAAAACAAAAGCACCCAAAACCCAAACACTGCAACACATACACTAAACCACAAACAGGCAGACACAAAAGTGTTATGTGGGATGGTTCCCCTTTGTAAAATGAACAAATATGGGTCATTTACACTCCCACCAAATCATTAGTGTTTCAATAAGAATGACATAAACCACATGCAAACACAAATGATTTCTTACTTAAATGACCAGAAATGACCTTCAGGAAATGTTTGAAACCTTTAACACATTCCAAATGCGAGCATTAGCAACCTGAGTCACTTTCAAGCAACAAAACCAGTTTCTGGACTGGACGTTCAAGCACTGACTGCTTGGTGAGACGTTCACCTTTCCCTGCCTAGCCTCCCATCACCTAAGCAGATCTTAACTCTTCGAACCAAACCGTCTCTGTCCACCACTGTTTCTAGAACTTTGCCCAACCTCCACTCATTTCTGGGCAGATCGTCATCCTTCATCATCACCACATCCCCTATTTGAAGGTTTCTCTTTGGGTTGAACCAACGCTGTCTAATTGCAATGTTAGTTACATACTCCTTTCTCCAGCGGCTCCAAAACTGTTCAGCCAGGTATTGCACATGCCTCCACCTCTTCCTTGCATACACATCTTCTCTGTTGAACTTGCCAGGGGGAGGTAGAGCTGGAGTAGACTTCATGGTGAGTAGCTGGTTAGGGGTAGGTGGATCAAGACTGTTGGGATCATTCAGATTGTCAATAGTGAGGGGACGACTATTAACTAATGCCATTGCTTCATAGAAGAAGACTCTAAGAGAAGCATCATCCAGCCTTCCAGCAGACAGCGATAGCGTCGAGTTGAGAATGCTTTTGACCGTCCTAATCTGCCGCTCGCACACTCCACTGACATGGCTTGAAGCTGGAGCATTCAAAACAAAGTCACACTGATTTTCAGAGAGAAAGGCAGCTAGTCTGCCACTATCAACCTCATTTAAAGCTCTCTTCAGCTCGTTTTTGGCTCCCAGGAAATTGCTTCCTTGATCTGATCTGAGCTGCTGCACTGATCCACGTAACGCAATGAAACAGCGTAGTCCATTTATAAATGCATCTGTGGACATGTCATCTATCATTTCAATGTGAATGGCTCTAGAGAAGAAGCATGTAAAAAGAAAGCCATATCTTTTTCGCACACTTCGGCCCTGTTTGGTGTTAAAGGGCCCAAAGCAATCCATACCACAGTACGAAAAGGGGGAGATGGAACCACGCGCTCAGGAGGGAGATTGGCCATTCTTTGTTCCTCTGTGTGTCTCCTAAGCTTTCTACAAATGACATATCGGCGAAGATGAGCTGCCACCGCCCGACCGATCCCAAAGATCCAGTAGCCGTTTGATCTGATTTCATTTGTGGTCATGCCTTTGCCTTGATGTTTAACCTTGTCATGACAGTGGGCGATTATCATCTTTGTGACATGATGTTCCTTCGGCATGATCGCAGGGTGTTTGACAGCGTAAGGAAGATCTGAGTTTCTTAACCTTCCTCCCACCTTAATCGCTCCATCTTTGTCCAGAAAGGCCTCAAGCCGATGCAGCTTGTTATGAAGCGGCAGACATGAGCCTTTCTTCAACAACTGAAGCTCATCAAAACATGTCTGTCTCTGCACATCTTCGATAATGAGGCGCTCAGCATCCTCTCGTTCCGTCACTGTGGAAATACCATCTGATTTATCTTTCTTAATCCTTCGAAGGATCCGTGCCACTGCTCAAACTGCTCGCGACCAGGATGAGAAAGCTGACAAATGATCTGCCAGAAAGAATTGCTCTGTCGTTTCTGTGCTCAACACATGACCCCTTTTCTCCCACAGGCAGCTCTAGGATCACCTTTTGGGGTAGAAGCAGTTCCCTTTCCCATAAAAACTCTGGCCCTTTGAACCAATCTGATGCCATCAGTTCACTGACAGATAAGCCTCTGGAGGCGTAATCCGCCAGATTTTGTTCAGTTGGGACATATTTCCATTGCTCTTTAGTCGTGCTGAGGTGTATTTTTTGGATTCGATTAGCCACAAATGTGTGGAATCTACGAGCTTCATTGTTGATGGATCCCAACACAACTTTTGAATCTGTCCAAAAGTGCTCCTCAATGTTGGCACATCCAAGCTCTTCCTTCAGCACATCGCTGGTTTTCACTGAGATGACTGCGGCGGTTAGCTCTAGTCTTGGTACCGTGGTGACCTTGATTGGAGCTACACAGGATTTTGCCATGACTAGGGCGGAGTGGATGTTTCCTTCCTCGTCTCTCACTCTCACGTAGGAATACTGTCCATAGCCGCTCGTGCTTGCATCGGAGAAATGATGCAGCTCTCGCTTTGTAACTTTCCCAAAGTTTGCAGGTGCATAGCTGCGAGGTATATTAACATTTTTCAGATTGGCAAGGTCCCTTTTCCAACTCTCCCACCGTGGATGGAGTTCCTCAGTGAGAGGCTCATCCCAATCTGTGCCGCGCCTGCACATTTCTTGCAGCACCTTCTTTCCAGTGAGCAGGAACGGTGCTATCAACCCCAAAGGGTCATATAAAGAGGCCACTGTGGACAAGATTCCATGGCGCGTTGCAGGTTGGTCCTTGATGTCGACACTGAACTTCAAGCAGTCTGACTCAATGTGCCATTGAATGCCCAACACCCTCTCTGAAGGTAGGTCATCAAGAGTAAGATTGAGATCTTTGACTTCCGTTACACGCTCTGATGATGGTATACTTTGCAACACAACTCGGTCGTTGGACACAAATTTGTGCAGCCTAAGACCACCCTTTGCACAAAGCTCTCTGGCCTCTTTAGCAAGCTGGACTGCCTGTACTGTGCTGCTCGTGCTTGCAACCCCGTCATCGACATTAAAGCCAAGTGGGTATTGGTCTCTGTTCTCCATGGCCAGATGCTTCAAGCCGTAGTTGGCGCAACCTGGTGATGAGGCTGCGCCAAAGATATGTACCCTCATGCGGTACTCTTGAGGCCGTGCACTGAGATCTCCTTTCTTCCACCATAAGAAGCGCAAATAGTCTTGGTCCCTCTCACTCACATGAAACTGATGAAACATTTTCTCAATATCGCACATCAGTGCGATGGAGTGAAGACGAAAGCGAATGAGGACACCATTAAGCTTATTCATTAAGTCAGGTCCGGTAAGCAGATGGTCGTTCAGACTGGTTCCCTTGCATTTAGCAGCGCAGTCAAATACCACGCGCAGCTTGTCTGGCTTCCTTGGATGATAGATGCCATGATGTGGTATGTACCATGTTTCACCATCCTTTCCATCATCATGAACTTCCACTGCATCGCCCTTTTCTATGACTTCCTCCATAAACCTGATATATTGATTCTTGTACCTTTCATTCTTTGACAGCTTCTTCTTGACGTGATTGAGCCGCACAATGGCAAGCTGCTTGTTGTCAGGTAGATTGGGTCTCACCTTAAAGGGTAAGGGCATTTCATAGTGTCCTTGACTGTTTTTGGTGATGTCATTCTTTAGTTTGTCCAGGAACAGAATGTCATCTTGTGACACTGTTTTCACATCCTCTTTGGCGTCCTTAAAATCTGACTCCAGAACACGAATGGCGTCTGCAGGGGTGACTGGAGGACGTTCCTTGACAGAAATCCTGAAACACTGTCTCACCTCACAGGATGTGTTGAGGCTTGCTGAGGAACACCCCACAATGCTCCATCCCAAATCGGTCCTAACTGCATAAGGCTCATCATGTCCTCCAGACAGAACTTGTCTCGGTGCCATAGCCCTTGAACAGTTGTATCCAATTAAAAGACCAACCTCACAGTCTTTCAATGGGGGAATCTCGTCTACAACAAAGGAGAGATGACTCCATTGTTTGGCTGTTTCATTCGTTCGAATGTGAGTGCAGTTCACTGGGATACCATCCTTAGTATAGGCCGGAGGAAGGTCGATTTGAATGGAGGAGCTGTATCCTCGCACACGAAGCCCTGTGATTCTGTCACTTCTTAGAACTGTGCCGCAACCAATCATGGTGGTTAACTTCAGTTTAACTGGACAGGAGTCCACTTTCAGAGCACTGCTCACTTCACGGTCAATGAAGGTTGTATCAATCAATCAATCAATCAATCAATCAGAACCACAAGGGTAGCCAAAGTGCTGTACAATGACACATAAAAACAAATAAAACAATCAAAGAACAAGATAAAGCAAGCAGAAATACAGTAATGCAAAAGAATTAATAAGTGTATAAATAAGGAGGCTCACGGCAAGTGCTAAGATGATAAAAAACAAATTAACACTACAATGTACTAAAAGCCAATGAGTAAAAGTGCGTTTTTAAAAGGGATTTAAAAACAGGAAATGAGGAGGCCTGTCTAATTTTCAAGGTCAACTCATTCCAGAGCTTAGGGGCAGCAGCGGCAAATGCTCTGTCCCCTCTGAGCTTCAGCCTTGTACTGGGGATGGTCAGTAAAAGCTGATCCAACTTTGTGTGTCCAGCATTGCATAGACAAGCTTTTCTGTTCCTGGGTCATTTTTTGCTGACACCCACACAGGCATTATCATTGACGTGTTGGTAGATGGTCCATCTCGAACAGCAGAAACTGACATTGAGATTGCAGTAGCTTCTGTTCTATTTGGTCTGGTCTGAGAGGGGTGTACGTGAGGTGTGGACATCTCCCTTTTGACATGATTGTCATCGTGCAGGCACGTGGGATGCTTACCTTTGCATGTGTAGCAGGAATGTCGATGGCGGCAGTCCCTTGCACTATGACCAGGTTTGGTGCAGCCATAGCAAAGTTTATTTTCCTTTACATATTCTCGCCGTTCCTCCAGGGTTCTTTCCATGAACTTAGGACAGCCATGAAGTGCATGTTGATTGTCTTGACAGAATGCACAGGGGGAATTCATCTTTCCTTTGAATGTTCTTTGTTTGTCACCTTTGACTTCTCTTTGTGTGTTAAATACACTTGCCTTGTTCCTCTTGATGTCCCTATTACTTTCCTTTGACGAGCTGGATTCAGAAGTACGAAGGTGATAGGATTGCAGGCGATCTCTGCTTCCATTGCCATAAAGGTGGCAAATTCTTTGAAGCTGGGAAACTCTTGGCTTTTGTTCAACACTTCTGTAGCCTTTCGGTTCCAACTTGCAGCCATCCAATCTGGCAGCTTTTGAACTAGCTTTCTATTTTCTTCGCAGTCGTTCAGTATTTCAAGACTCTTCACGTGCCACATTGCATCTTGACAGGCGTTCAAGAAATCTGAAAAGTCTCTTAGGCCCATGGCATCCTTTGGCTGGATTTCTGGCCAGTTTGCGAGCCTCTCCCAGAACGCTCTTTGTATGATGAAGGCCTGGCCATATCTGTGGTCTAGTTTTTTCCACGCATCGTTGTAAGCTTCGTCATCATTACGATAGAAAGTTCCCTCAAGAGTCTGGCGAGCAGGCCCCCTCCACATATTTCCTCAAATAATAAAGCTTATCAGCTGATGAAATGGCTCTTGCATCAAAATGAGGCCTTCCACTCAAGGAACTGAATAGGATTGCCATTAAACACTGATGGCTCAGGAACCGGAAGTCTGTTAAGAGACATGCTGTCTTGCAAAGCCCGTGCAAGGGTGGACACATTCGCTTCAGGGGAGACATTGGGCTCTTGTCTGCTTACAGTGGAGGAAGCATGATGTCTTACTTCAGGACTGTTAGAGGGAGGAAAGTTTACTTCATTCGCTGCTTCAAGACTGTAGACTTGCAGTCTAGCATGAGCTGCCTTGACATCTTTCTCAGCCTGTAGGCGTTCTAGCTCGCACCTTTCCGCTTCGAGCTGCCTCCTTTGTTGCTCCTCTAAATGAAGTATTTTCTCCCTTTGCTTCTTTTCCATCAGCAATGCATCGTACTCAGCCTCCTTTGCTGCTAGATCTGCCGCAGCATCTACACATTTACTGTACTGACTGGTGCTTGATCTACAACTCATTCTTGAGACAGTGGACCCATAGATTGAATGCGCACAGCTTCGTTTAAGCAAGTCTTTGAGAGGACGTTGTGCTTGCTCTGCATCGAAATCTCCATCGATGCCTGTAAGTCTCTCGTAGGCAATCTTCCTGATATCTGTTGTTACTGCATCACATGCATCGACGCAACGTCTTAATTCAGTTGACACAGTGATGTGATCTCGTATTTGAAGGTAGGTGCTCATTATCGCATCTCTCTCTTTCTCCAGAGTCTCCACCAAGAATGACAGCTCGCTTTCACTGAGGTCCATCTTAAGCCGCTTCCTTGATTCACGGGCTTGAATCTTCCACCGTTCATACATTGAGACAAGCTTTCTTTCCTTTTTCTGTGCCTCATCTTTTAACAGATCAAGCATTTTAGGAGTTGGATTTTTTCGGACGGGTCGAGCGTCGAAGGTCCTCTGCTCCATCTCTCTGAGGTTGACCTTGGAGGTTAGTGAGAATTCTTTCTCTAATTTCAATTTCCTCCTCTAAGTTTTCCATTTCACAGGTCTCCAGAACTTCAGCATTAGCCTCCCTAAGCCTTTGTATTTCATGCTGTAAGCTGCTTATTTCATTTTCTAGCTCGACCTGTGGCGAATGGTCACTCTTTTCTGCCATTTTAAATGTGTCTTAATAAATTCTCTCAAATAAATCGTTTGTCTTTGCCCTTTTTACCTTGCTGAGAGAGGAGTAAGTATGTAATTACTGAAACTGCACAATCTGACCTTGAACTTATACAACAAGCTGACTAGAAAACGCTATACTATTCACCTCTCAACCACAAAGATAAACATGAACATGTGATCAAATCAGCACAGCAGGATTCAGCTTACCAAGTTGCTTGAGCTTAACCTCAATAGAAAGGAAGAATGATTAAATTTTCAATAATACTAGCAAACATAAAACTCTGAGGAAAGAATTTCACACCAAGTTAAGAAATCAATTCACAAATGTCCATGCAGTGGCAGTTGACGTCCGCTTCTTCTGGAACCGTGAATAACGTTGATCACCCAAGTTCTTGAAGATGATGATTAGTTCCTCTTTAAACAGTCAATCAGCTGTCTCATACCTCGAACGATGCTCACTGCTCCTTTGTGGCCGTTCATTGCATCAGACCATCACACCAAGCCTTAAGCCAACTGCCCGCAGACCGTAGTTCCTGTTCCGATGACCCAAAGGATGGCGCCGTAGTGCTGAATGAGAGTTCCGTAGCAGCAACTCGCCCCGTGATACGTCGTCAGAGACCTCTTGAAGATGCGGCGTTGCGGCAGGGTCGAAGCGGAGGGCTAGCTCTTACTGTAGCATCTCAACTGGATTTACAGACTCCATGAACGAGGACAGATGCACCGTGATGTGGGTTCAACTTTTAATTTTTTAACACACACACCACAGACACCGTAAGAGCTGAAATAAAACACAAAGCACAATTACACTCACACATTTTCATCCGGGCGCACTTGTCAATCACATACAAAATGCTAGCAAACCGGACAACAAATCAATTAACACATGAACAGCCCCCACAAACATACCTTTGCACCATCCAGTTAAGCGCTATTAACAATGTTCCGTCCTTTCCATGAAGTGGATTCGTGTACCATACTTGCAACATCTCCTTCTTCTCATAGCATGTGTCCCTCGTTTTCCATGATCAATCACTCAAAAGAACAAACATGGACGTCCTGGCCCTTTCAGAATAAAAAAAATAAGCGCCGGAATTGCGCCTTCAAAACAAAAGCACCCAAAACCCAAACACTGCAACACATACACTAAACCACAAACAGGCAGACACAAAAGTGTTATGTAGGATGGTTCCCCTTTGTAAAATGAACAAATATGGGTCATTTACAACAATCAAAACCATTAGAAATAAGAAAGCTGACAAAACTACAGCAGAGTATCATTGACACATTGAGTTCATTTATTTATTTATTAAGATTTAGAGATTAAAGTTGTAAACTTGGGAGAATAAAGTTATCAAGTAAATAAAGTCATAAAGCTGCTTTTGTGGAGGGGGAAATAACCGAAGCTGGTCATCTGCTGGGTTATTGGTGGATGCATCTGTGGGTCACTCAAAGAGCTTTTGTGTTTTTTTAAGAAACAATGCAACTGATGATCAACATTTGTGATCCAGAGGGAGTCGAACTCCGACGAGCACCATGTCTCTGACACCCGCGGTAACCTACACCCGCAGAGACAGCAACGCCTTATTATGGCATATGGATTCATATCATAGGCTAATAAAAAGCTCAATGCCATTCACGGCTATTTACGGCTGCATTGACGGATTTATCCGCAGCATATCCATATCTGCCTCTCCAAGTCCACCTGTTTTTTTTTCCCCCTGGAAAAGACGTATTTCTCATATATTCTTTTTTAAGTCTTTATACTTGTGACGATGTAATGCTGATGTGCCAAAGGATGAAGTATCTCCTTGTTTGTGAAACCTATACTGAAGCACAGTTCCTTTAATTACTTCATGGCCCAAATTTTAACAAGTCTCCTCTGAAAATAACAGGTTACGACTTTATTCTCATAAATTAATGACTTTATTCTCGTAAATTAATGAGTTCAATCTCGAAATCTTTAAAAAAAAATTCTCAATATATCCCTCATACTCCTTCATACAAAACATGCAATCACTGTATGAGTTTTGTGGAAATGATCTGTGCTTGTGTGTATCTACTGTTTTGTGTCTGTGCAAGGTCGCGCAGTTATAAATAAACTTAACGCAATAAAAAACTTAAGCGCTCCGCGGATTTTCTCTATGTCAGCTGTGACGCGAGCCTGAGGGCGGGGACATTTGGTGACTCAACCAGGAAGTCGGTCGAAGGGTAGACCGTCCCATTTCACAATAACCGGACCATCTCACCCAGGGTCCTCAAGTCCACATAACGGCAGTGCGCTCAGCTCAGCCGTATGGAGTCTCTGAAATAAGACACAGCCATAATTCACACAGTTGGGCAATCCTAACTTCCTGAATAGAAAAAAAGCTCTGGGACCCATCCGCGCTGATACGTTAGCTCCAATAGGCAGCGTCAGTCTATGAGGCGGTTACGTTGTGTCTATGATTGCGCCAATAAATATCATAGATGCTAGATGCCTCACGACCCTGGCTAGGATGCGTCAAGACCGCCGCCATCTCGGAGCTGTAGTTGTCAATAGTTTTCTGTGGGTTGAAGTTTGGGAAGCTTGTGGTTTTACCTGACAACAGCAATTGTTTACGTTCAATACCACGCTTACCAGCAGTCACCGGTACCGCTCCAAGATGGCGGCGGTCGTGACGTACGTGCTGCCGCTGGCTTACATGGGTCGTAAGGTATCTAGTGTTGATGTATGAATGCGCCTGTCAAACAAATAGCCCTAAGTGGAGCTGGTGACCAGTCCAAGACGGCGGACCCGTTGCACGTCAGCGCCATAAGAAGCAGCGGGATCAATAAACTTCCTCTTCTTCTTGTGTCTTCTTATGCACCCAGTTATTTCACCATCATTCTTCTGATATTTGCTGTCCTCTAGTGTTCAATGTGTTGAATTGCACCCGTTAACAAATTGGAATTAAGAGACATTTTCAAATACCAAGGTAAATCTCCAGCAGCCACACTAAAGATCTGCAGCACTCACCACAGAAAATCTTTGACTTCAATTCCATATTTTGATTGTTTTCAAATCATCAAAAGCCTGTGTTCGATTTTAAATAGTGCAAAGGGCAACACATCAAATATTGAACCTGAAAATGTGTATTGTCTTATGAAAGATAAATGTTCATTTTAAATTTGATACCAGTGATATGTTTTTCAAAGCTGGGACAGGTACGATGGGAAAAAAATAAAATTAAAAAACAAAAAAAACAAAAACATCATTTACCAAATTAGGTCAACTGTTAGTTGGTGGACTTCATGTAATAAGGCCGTTTAGAGAGGCTGAGTCTTTCATTGAACAAATATTAATTTCATGATGTTCCTCAACATAAAACTTCACAGAATTTGTGGATTTTTTAATCATCTTCATTGCATAATATTAGTAGAAGATATTTTTTTATCTTCTGGAGGAATCTCTGTATTAAAGAACAAGGCTTAAAACCAACACTGGCTGGCTGTGATAGAAGGGATCTGAGGTAGCAGTGCATTAAAAACAGATGAGAAGTAGAAAATACTGCATGGACTTAAAATCACTTTCAAAAACCATTGTCTACTGGCACAGTTTATCACTCTACCCAGAAATATTTTGACTCTACCATGCGAGGAGCAAACCAAAAATACACATGATCCGTCTAAGGTGGATGGAGGCAAAGTGGAAAGTTCCCCCGTGGTCTAAAGACTCAAAAAATTGATATTTGTTTCGTTTAAATCATGGACACTGCTGTTGGACACTCTGTCCTACAGAGGTACCGACTCACTTGTCATCAGCCTATAGTTTAAAGCCAGTGTCTATCATGGTATGGGGATGCATAAGTGCCTCATGTGGCTTACAAACCCGGAAAGGCTCCATTAAAGCTGAACAACATGTACAGGTTTGGGTGCAACATATGCTGCCACCCTGACAATGCCTTGTTCAGACCTTCATATTTCAGCAAGACAATGACAAACCACATTCTGCAGGGATTACAGCAGCATGGCTCTGTAGTAGAAAAGTCTTGCTGAGAAACTGGCCTGCAGTCCTGGCTTGTCCCTTACTGAAAACATTTGGAGCATCATGAAACAAAGAAACACAAAAAAAAAGAAGACTGAACGGTTGCAAAGCTGAAAGCATCTATCAGTCAGAAATGGGGCTATATTTCAGTTTAAAACTCCAGAAACTGGTGTCTCTTGTTCCCAAACCTTTATGGAGTGTTGTTAGATGAGGAGATATTGCAGCGCTAAACCTGAGCATTTCCCAAGTGCTTTTGCTGGCATCAAATTTATCTATGATTTATGTTTTTGATTCACCATTCGACATTTTTTTCAGTTTAATCTGGGCTTTAAACTCCTTTGCAAACAATTATTTGGGGTTGTGATTTGAAAAAAAAAAAAAAATTTTAAAGCCTCCTTGTAACACTGAGCTCACTCACACATTCACATAGGAGACTTCTTTTAAAGGTTTATTACAAAACGAAGACAATACATGTCCACTGGGTTTATTCTATTGGCAAACACAATACAATGACGAACAACCTTCAATTTTGGGGTGAAGCTTTGCAGGAACCACCACATGAACAGAAAACAAAGCAACACAACATGGATCAAAATGCAAAACGGTGGACGAAAAAGGGAAGAACAGCATCTTTAAATCCCCAAACTGAGAGAACACAAACCAGGAGGATGAAGAGCAGGAGGGAGGAGGAGGAGGAGGTGGACAAGGAGGAGGGGGGGAATTTGTTTTCTATCATTTTCTTCTGGAGGTTCATAGTGCGAACACACATTTATAAATAGTTCACAATTAAATTAAGTAAAATCCAATTCACACAGTAAAATGTTATTCACAAACTGAAAGCATTCGTAAGACGACTGGTCGAGCAGGAATAAAACAGTCAGGGGTGGAATTTTGGCTGAAGCTGTTCTAGCTGTGGGGAGAAAATAGATCATAAGTCCTTTACTTCCACAGCTGTCGACTTTTTATGTGAGGATAGGTGCTCACATCGCTTCAACATTATTCACTAATTTAAGTTTTTAGAAACTGGTGAGTGTTTGTGCCTGCAAACTTTTCAAACAGCAAAGTCTCACAGTTTTTCTTTTTTGTACATGTTGGTCCTCAGAGGGATGATGTACGTGTCCAGATTTTCTGAAATCTTCTAAATGTGTCACATCATACCAGAATTTTTTTTTTTAGCTCTCATAATTCAGTAAATATTATTTAAATTATTAATCAATCATGTCTTTGACTATTTTAGTGCAAAAGCTATAACAATGATAATAATAATAATATTAATTATGATAATAATAATAATTTAAAAAAAGTTTATTTTGTGGCCACATCAGGTTTTGTCCAGTTATTCAAAATGAACTGGGTTGCTTTGAAGGCCAAAAACTGTCACGTTGTGTCGGCTTTTTCTTTAATTTCTGTATTTTGAGGCTTTTATTGTGAAAAATTCAGACATCTACAGAAAGGAGTTGCTGTGGTGAGTCCTTTCCCATTTGTGGATGATGAAGGTGAGGATGCTAACAATTAAGGTGGTGGTGTTGGTAATGCTAGGATGACGAGGACAGCTAAGCCTGGCTAGGTGCTCTGTTGTTTTCTTAATTTAACCAATCACATTTAAATACTATTTATATTTATATATTACAACACTGTTCCAAATTTATAAATAAGAAGTGCAGTTTCTCTTCACCCTCCACAAAATGACTTGCTCTGTTGGTGCACAACAAATCCAAATGCTGCAGATCAGTCATCATCCACACAGCTGGAAAACTACAAATATGGCTGACCGGCTGCAGTTTATAGTCTTCATGCAAATGTTAATGTGATGGAACACCAGGTCTGACCATCAGCTGGTCCACTCACATTTCACACATTGACCTTTGTCAAAATATCAAATCTATTACACAGTTAACCAATCAGAATGGTGTGTCAGAAAGAACTTCAGCCAATCAAAATCACTCAGTTAAAAAGAAAAAAACAAAACACAAAGGAAATGAGGGAGTCACACTCATCAAGACCAGCAGGAGTCTGTAGTCCATGGTCTGAATTGGATCAGTCCTGGACCTGATCAGAGTTTAGCAGAAGTTTACTAACAGCAAAACCTGACTTCAGTTTTTTTAGGGACAGGAAAATTTAGAGGAGATAAATGTGGTTTTAGGGGCTGGATTGACTCAGCCATCAACTGTAGATGTATGTTAAACAATTCTAATTACTGATCAATAAAACAGTAAATACATGCAGATTATTAAATGTCTTGCACGGAGGATTAGAGCCAGATTAAAGAAAAAAAATCTGGATTTCAAAAACATAATCATATAAGATTCAAGTCATCATATTACAAAAATAAAGCTGTAACATTATGAATACAAAACTGCAAGCAAACAGCCGTAGTGATACAAGATAAAAGGAGAATGATGTTTTTGAAAATGAATCTTCATTTGAAAAACTTTACAGTTTAAACAGGAAACTAGCTGCTCATCTGGTAACAGCACTGGCATACAGTCTGAACCAAATGCATGACTTTATTCTTGTAATAGGACAACTTCATCATTATGTAAAACAACTTAATCCTCATATTATTACGACTTAGAACCTCTCTAAATGTTCTTATTCTTGTTACTCTCTAAATTTACTCTCACTACTTCAGCACTTTAGAAATTTCACCTTTGTGATGATGGAGAGAATTATCATTATTCATCATGTACAGAAGACATTTAAAGCAAAAGCCTTGACTTGGTGACAGAAATGAGTGAACATTATGACCAAAACTTTAAAAAACTGAGGAGTAGGTTTAGGTTTTTATTGAGGAACTGTCTGAAACAGTACCTGATGCTTTTCTAACAATGGTTCCACACTTATTAACGGCACAATAATTTGGAGTTTTGTTGTTAGTAAACATTTGGGGATTCAAAGTGACCATCTGCAGTCTGATCGGAGTATCAAATCTGTTCTGAACTGAATCTACAGGTTGTGCTGTTCTACTTCTGTGGAGACTCAATGTCCCATAATGCTTTGCATGCTGACTTCTGACTAAAGGCAACCAGATAAACACGTCCAACAGCTGATGGCAGGTGGCTAAGAGGTTGGACCCTGGTGCCCAGCAGCTCCCAGCTCTCCCCCTCGGTGGCTCGTAGGAAATGGAGTGTAGCGAGAGCAGAGTGAAAGCAAACAGGTCTGTGTGCAACTTAAATGATCTGTGGATAAGGGGCAAGGCAGGGGGGTAACACCTTAAACTTAATCCCATCCTTTAGAGCAAGAACCTAATGGTCAGTGATGACCATATATGGATGTCCTGCTGATATCTACACCAGATAAGAATCAACCTGTTCCAGTAACAGAACCCTAACTAAACAAGCTTCCATGAGCAGCCCAGAACCTGTCCCAAACTGGTCCAGAACTAGTGGAGAACTTGGCCAGAACGTTTTCAAACAAGAACTCTACTAGAACTGGTCCCAAACCAGTCCAGAACCACTAAGTGCTGATTCAGGACCAACCCAGAAATGGTCCAGAACTGGGTCGGCCCCAATCCAAAACCTGGTGATGTCACTCAGAGTCGGACTCCAGCGGAGCGGTCTCGTCTAAGACAACTCTCTTCCGGCGTTTTGCAGCTGCGGCTTGGGCTCGTTGTTCCTCCTCCAAGTGGGCCTTCTTGTGGCGGGAGAAACTGGATGAGTGCATGAAGGTCTTGTTGCAGGCGACACAGGTGTAGGTCTTGGACTTGCCAGTGGAGAGTCCGGTCTTGACCTGAAGTTGCTTCTGATGCTGCTGCAACTTTGCCACTCCAATGCTATCCACCTCCCTGTGGGTCTGCTGGTGTCGTGTCAGGCTGGAGGCGTAGCTGAACCGCTTTCCGCATTGGCCACAGCCATGGCGACCTACTCCACCTACTCCTTCACCCCCCTCCTCCCCTTCTGAGATGGTGGGGCCACGTTTGTTTGCTCTCCCCCCCCTGCAGCGTCGGTTTTTCTTGCAAAGGGTGTAGAAGTTGGGCTTGTCGCGGGAGCAGAGCTTGAGGCGAATCTTGAGGTCGGATGAGCTCTCACCCAAATTCTCCTTGCCGGGGGTATAGTTGTCTAGCAGCTCCTTCACGTGGGTCACCTGGTGTTTGGACAGCTGCGTGGAGGTTCTGAAGCTCATGTCACACTGCGGGCAGGCATAGAACTTATCACCACCCTGACTCTGGATGATGGCAGTTGCCACATGCTGCTGCCTCTTGGTCTTCTTGCCACCAGCCTTCAGAGAGTGGCGCAGAGAACCTATGTTAGGGCCGAGGGTGACGTCTTTGGGGAGACCTTTTCCTTTCTTGTGGATGAGGCGATGACGTGATAAGCTAGAGCTGTGGTTAAACTCCTTTCCACAGATGTTGCAGGGGTGAATCCGCCGCTTTCCGTGCAGTCGCAGGTGACTCCCCAACATCCTGATGAAAAACAACAAACAATATTTCAAACTTATGTCATCATTGTCTGCATCTCTTGTTTTTCTGCTGTGAAAAAGATGAAATGATGTTAAGAAAGATCATTTTAGACAATGGTAACAACTAGGGGTGTGCCATATCATATTGGTGATAAAACTTAGAAATTTTGGCATGTAGGGTACTACCAGTGTACATCTTTTTGTGACCTAAATTTGTCGTACTGCAGTATTTACAATGTAGGGACGCAATGACACTACCCACTGCATACACAACAACAATCTTGGAGAGCGAGAGCAGCACAGTAGTGTCAACTTCATCCTCAAATGAGGATCTAATGCCAAAAAAGGGAGCTACCTCTGTGGTGTGAAGGTGGTTTGGCTAACACAGCTAATAAGTTTGACCACCTAAAGCTAAAACACATGGCCGAATATCAGCAGGCTTTGAAGGCATGTGATGAGGACACAAAAGAAGCTACCGGTGTTCAGAGTAAAAGTAAACAAACGGCTTAACAGAGCATTGCAGGAGCACTGACTGCACTCTGTACGAAAAAAAAAAAGATGGAGGCAAGGTATTACTGAAGCGGTCATGTATTGTTTGGCCAAAGACACGAAGCCAATTCAGGCTGTCGGAAAGGAAGGCTTTAAACACTTAATAAATAATCGACCCAAGATACGCAATCCCAGGTGGAGAATATTTTACAAAAACACCTTGCCAGCAATGTACGAAGCATACTGCAACCAACTGGCTTCTACCTTTTCATCGGCAGAGTTTTTGCCTGTACGACCGACATGGTCGAGCCGAGCCTCGAACCCCTTTATCAGCCTGATGGTCCTTTACATAGGCTATGACTGGAAGTTGCACAACTCCTGTCTTGAAAACCAGCTACTTTTCCAAGGATCACATAGGAGAAAATAGTGCGAGTGGATTGATAAAGGGACAAACAGGTGTGTGTAACAACAGAAAACGGAGCTAATGTTGTCAATGTGAGGACATATTTAAAAATAAAAAGCATAAGAAAAATAATACTTAGGGGGTTTATTAACTCCTGTCCTGTTAATGAATGGCAAATCTGAGTGTATTTTCATATTTTAACCCCTTTTTAACACAAATAATGAAAATGCTGTTGTTCAGAAGCAGCAATCATTCATGATATGTAGTTCTGTAAATTTTCCTACATTGTCATAAATATCGTTATCCCAAATTGCCTTGAAAAATCGTGATATCATTTTTTTTTAGGCTATATCGCCCACCACTAGTTACAACCATATCCATCATAGATATTTAATGCTAAACTATGTTATGGATCATTATTTAACCATACTAGTAACATTACCCTTTTAAGAGATGCATTTACTGATCACTTATGAGTTACAACAGCAAATATGGTTTTTTTAAATGAATACTTATTTAGTATCTATTTGCTACCACAGCTGGGCCATAATGATAACATTTAGCTCCTTTATCAGCATGCTTGCTTGAGTAGGAACATTGTTTATAAGACTGCCCTGTAAAGTGCCTGGTGTTGAGAGGAGAACGAAAACAGATCCCTCATTAATAGGCAAAGTTAGTAATAATTATGGTATTCTTGGTCCTCTTCTAGAGAATAACTCAGTCCCCTGGGCATTTTGGTCTGCTCTCGTACAGACAGTTTAGTCATTTTTTTGTGTCTACAGTTCACAAAGTTTAACTTTGTCACTGCTGACAGGGCAGCTGACCACCTACACACGTGGACAAAATTGTTGGTACCCCTCAGTTAAAGAAGGAAAAACCCACAATTCTCACTGAAATCACTTGAAACCTACAAAAGTAACAATAAATAAAAATTTATTGAAAATTAAATAATCAAAATCAGCCATTACTTTTGAATTGTTGATTAACATAATTATTTAAAAAAAACAAACTAATGAAATAGGGCTGGACAAAAATGATGGTACCCATAACTTAATATTTTGTTGCACAACCTTTTGAGGCAATCACTGCAATTAAACGATTTCTGTATTTGTCAATGAGCGTTCTGCAGCTGTCAACAGGTATTTTGGCCCACTCCTCATGAGCAAACTGCTCCAGTTGTCTCAGGTTTGATGGGTGTCTTCTCCAAATGGCATGTTTCAGCTCCTTCCACAGATGTTCAATGGGATTCAGATCTGGGCTCATGGAAGGCCACTTTAGAATAGTCCAACGCTTTTCTCTCAGCCATTCTTGGGTGTTTTTGGCTGTGTGTTTTGGATCGTTGTCCTGTTGGAAGACCCATGACCTGCGACTGAGACCAAGCTTTCTGACACTAGGCAGCACATTTCTCTCCAGAATGCCTTGATAGTCGTCAGATTTCATTTTACCTTGCACACATTCAAGACACCCTGTGCCAGATGCAGCAAAGCAGCCCCAAAACATTGCTGAGCCTCCTCCATGTTTCACCGTAGGGACAGTGTTCTTTTCTTCGTATGCTTGGTTTTTGAGTCTATGAACATAGAGTTGATGTGCCTTACCAAAAAGCTCCAGTTTGGTCTCATCTGTCCAAAGGACATTCTCCCAGAAGCTTTGTGGCTTGTCAACATGCATTTTTGCAAATTCCAGTCTCGCTTTTTTATGATTTTTTTTCAGCAGTGGTGTCCTCCTTGGTCGTCTCCCATGAAGTCCACTTTGGCTCAAACAACGACGAATGGTGCGATCTGACACTGATGTACCTTGGCCTTGGAGTTCACCTTTAATTTCTTTGGAGGTTGTCCTGGGCTCTTTGGATACAATTCGAACGATCTGTCTCTTCAATCTGTCATCAATTTTCCTCTTGCGGCCACGTCCAGGGAGGTTGGCTACTGTCCCGTGGGTCTTGAACTTCTGAATAATATGAGCCACTGTTGTCACAGGAACTTCAAGCTGTTTAGAGATGGTCTTATAGCCTGCACCTTTAAGATGTTTGTCTATAATTTTTTTTCGGATGTCCTGGGACAATTCTCTCCTTCGCTTTCTGTTGTCCATGTTCAGTGTGGTACACACCTTTTCAGCAAACAGCAGAGTGACTACTTGTCTCCCTTTAAATAGGCAGACTGACTGATTATGAGTTTGGAAACACCTGTGATGTCAATTAAAGGACACACCTGAGTTAATCATGTCACTCTGGTCAAATAGTTTTCAATCTTTTATAGAGGTACCATCATTTTTGTCCAGCCCTATTTCATTAGTTTGTTTTTTTTAAATAATTATGTTAATCAACATTTCAAACGTAATGGCTGATTTTGATTATTTAATTTTCAATAAATTTTTATTTATTGTTACTTTTGTAGGTTTCAAGTGATTTCAGTGAGAATTGTGGGTTTTTCCTTCTTTAACTGAGGGGTACCAACAATTTTGTCCACGTGTGTACATTATGATCACATAAACAGTTACAATAAAGGTAGAAAATTCCTCATGTTTTGGTTCAGCTTGTGTTAAAACCCAAATGTGTTTTGGTTCCACCAATGGCGGCTTCTCTTCCAGTGGCTCACTGAATTGGTTGATGTGGGGCATGCTCAGACCACAAGGCCATTGGCGCCCAAACTTTTAATTGGGTTCTTCTTGCAGCCTTAGTGCTTAGGTCCCTTCGGTTTATGATGTCAGGTTCTTGTGTTGCCTGGCCTTTCACTGCCTCTTAAAGGGCCTTGTGGTTTCTTATAAAGTTTTAGATCATTTATCTTGTTTCTGCTCTTTTGCTGATGGATTCTTGTGGTTCTTAAACCTCTGTCTTTAAAAAAAGGGGTAATTATTTTTTCTTATTAAAATAATGATGATTTGTCATTGTACGCTTCTCTGTAGTGGTTCTGATTATCTGGAACCCTCTGCAGCTGCTTCTGCTTTTGCCGGGTGCTGGGGGTCAAGAATGAAAACAACATTAAAACATTCGGTTGATTTTCTGGATCAAATGCCACATAGTATTTGATAACTATGTCAATACGTCATAATGAGTGGAACCAGGCGGAAGTCAACAGGTCAGAGGTTTCCAGAGGCCCCTCGGCAACACCATGTCTGAAGAAGAGCTCTTCACAGAATTGAGAACTGCTGATTTCTTTATCTGATTATTGCTGCACTCTGTAAACACAGCTGATGAGGGAGCACAGAGCCAAAGTACGATGGAGCTGTCATTCAGTGCACACACACACACACACACATAACCATGGGAGACAGCTCTGCATTGATGTCATACTTTATAACATCACATTCCATTTAATGCAGTATGAAAAAAATTAATATGATACGACCGAAACACCATATATTGATGCTTCAATTTCATGTAAATGACTGATTGTTTGTGCTTTCTGATAGATTGTTGGATCAGTCCATATTCAGTTTAACTCCTCATGCTTATTGTTTCATATTGTTTTTATTAGAAATTGCTAATCTTCCATATTGTTTATTACTACTACTGACAGAACTGTATGGTACAAGGAAGCATAAGGGCTGCATCTAGGAATAAAGTCATTATTTTAGTCAGTGACTGGCCACATGTTACTGCTGTTGTTAAGGGAGATACCAATGATGAGACTAGCTGCTTGTTTAAAAAAAGGGAACAGGAACAAGGGATATTTCTGGCGTAAAATTAAGTTAAGGTCAAACACACTGTAACACTGAGTTATACACCCCCCTGAAAGATGAATGTTGCCGACTGCTTGCTTCTCTAGTTATACCAACTTTAGTAACGACTGCACGATAGCAATACACAGCGGTCTACATCTCCATGTGCACACCTCAACAAAAAAGCCACTCTATAGCCACAAATAATGCTCAGAACAGCACCTAACTTCATCAACAGTACATTTGGGTCCCAGCCATCAATCATCTTTTTAGCTTTGCCTCATTTCTTTAGCAAAGAGACTAAACACAACTCACTTACTCTCTTACAGCAGCCGCTTATTTGTAGGCAGAGCTTGGGTGAGTCCATCACCGACTGCAGCGGGGTGACGCAGCTCAAGGAAGAACATTTATGATATGTTTTGGTTAAGGTGTGCACGTGGATCCATAGACCGCTGTGTATTGCGCGGTCATTACTAAAGTTGGTATAACTAGAGAAGCAAACAGTCGCCTAAAGTCATCTCTTGAGGGGGTGTCTAACTCGGTGTTACGGTGTGTTTGACCCTAACTTAATTTCACGCCGGAATATCCCTTTAAGGTTTTACATGCATATTAACAGGGAGTCTTTGAATGCATAGGTGAAACAGTCTTCAACATCAGGACTCCGAAATGACTCAAAAAACCTGAATCCACACTGAGGAAAGGCTGTCTAACAAGCATGGTTCTGCAGCTGGATGCTCTGAAGGTCTGTACCCTTTAAAATATGTAGGTTAACCATAAACCGCCACTACTTTATCGTCGTAACTGAGCCACTTTGTTTTTCATAACATTACAGCTATATCTTCTAGCAGCTTTATTCTAATAACAGAACTTTATTCTCAAATTGTTAATGTAAATCTAAAGCTAAAAACATACAGGATCCGTGTTGAGTGCGTTTCATCAGCGTCGCGCATCTGCTCTGTCGAGCAGTGCTGTATATCACGCACAGGATGCGTGTTTGGAGCAGCCCTGGTCAGCTGGGCTCAGTATAGGGGGAGACAACATGCTCAGACCAGGTTGTTTGCCTTTTGTGGTCTATTTCCTGCTAATGTGGATAGAATTCAGTGACTGTTGAGCCTCTACTGTATGTGAAAAAGCAACATGATTTTACAGTTTCGGTTTTTGCAGGTTAACTAGTGTTTAATAAAGTAAACTATGTTCATTTATGCTGTGCTGTTACCTTCAGACAGAGTTAGCAGTTAAAAGTCCTGTAGGGGTCCACATGGATCAGAGATTGACCATCAGATTGTTCTGTGTTACTGATAAATCCATAACCAGGAAGTATTTCTCATCTACACGAAATGATACACAGTCGGGAGTCAGCATATGGTGTTTTATTTTAAAATTTAGTGGACGACATGCGTGGTTTTTGTGCTTGTGTGGATGGACGTGTGTTGGAAGCGTAGAGCAGAGAAAATAGACTCGTCGCGTATCTTTAGCAGAGCCGCACTTGACATGCTTCTGAGACGGAGCTGCGACGCATCCTGTGTGTGAGGCTGCAGTGATTAGCATGGCAACCTATTTGCTTCTTGACATGCGATGATGACGAAACGCACTCAACACTGATCCTGTATGTTTTAGCCCTAAGGCCCCTGTCCCACATGTAGATGTTGACTAGTTTTAATAGGAAGTGTATCTACTCTGATGTCAGAGCCAAGAGAGTCCCTCATGATAGTTCAGACTTTTCTTTAAGCCAGAATAAAAAAAACAGAAACACTTCGTGGTGATAATCTCAAAGCTAAAAACAAATTTTAGGGGCTTCAGACACACTAGACAAAAACTCTAGGCCAACTCTGTTATGATTAAGTGCTTCATCAGTATTATGTCCATAACAAGTACAGAAAAGTAATTATGTAGATATTCATTTATAGATATCAGTCAGCACAGACCGATATCAGTAAATCTCTGAGTACAGACCTGCTTCCTTTGAAACTCATCCCACAATGCGGGCAGGTGTAACGTGCATCCTGGTGAGTTGGCTCTAGCGCTCGTTTGGTGGGAGGAGCTGCCCCGCTGCTCTTCCCGGTGTGGGTCTGCTGGTGGCGATACAGACTAGAGGCGTGGCTGTAACACTTTCCGCAGTAGCTGCAGCGGTGCTGACGCTCATCTGGCTCATAATCAGCCTGGTCCGAGTCCATGTCACCATCAAGCCGGCTGCCCCCTGCTTCCACCAGCACCTCCTGGTCCTCTTCGCCCTCCTCATCTTCATCTGAATCTGTCTTTATCTCCACACTCTGCTCTGTCACCTCGCAGGGGTACACCTCCTCGTACGGAGCAAAGAAGGCCTCGTCCGTTTCAATCTTCAGCTGTTCGGCTGTCAGATCTGATGGATCGTCTGAGTCCTTCTTCACACATGAGATGGTGAACTTAGAGCCAACCTCTGCCCACTTCACCACATACTCGATGGGCTGTGTGTCCAACTCCACGGTGATAAAGTCTGCACCAAGAGCATCAGACTCTGAAACCACCAGCTCTGTTTCAGAGTCCTCCATCCTGAAGAGTCCCAAGGGCAAGGATGGAGAGAGACAGGTGCAGCTACAGGCCTGAGGGGGACACGAGGAAAAGAAGGAATGATGAAGAACAGCAACAGGAACAAGAGGAAGGAAAGAGAGGAAGAACAGGTAGGAGTAAATTGAAAAAACAAGAAGGAAATGAGGCAGATGACAAAGAAGACAAAGACAAATCATGAGACAAATCACAAGAAAAAAGAGACAAGGAGTTAGAGGGCATAAAAGAAGAGAAAAAACAGAGGAGAAGGTAAAAGGAGAAGAAAAATGAGACAATAAAGATGAGAAAGAGAAGCAATAAATACGTTGTGACACTGATCTCAAAATAAACAGCTGGACTAGATCTGATTATGAAGACAAACATTTTAATGTCAGAACAGAAAAAAAGTCAATTCAGTCCTGCCATTGCCACGGTAACTGATGCTGCACACATCATCTTCAACAGAGGCGGCAGTTAGAGGTTCTGATTTAAGTCAGTGGCACAGCACCAACCTTCCACTAATATTCAAAAATATGAATAAAGATAAACAGAAAGAGCTGTGAGCGCTGTGTGTGTGAAATCGAACATGATATATGAATTAGCACACTGACCTGTAATGTATTTCCTGTGAATATTCTGATTTTTTCATTGTTAAGAACTGTTCAATTTTGTGCTATACCTCTGTCAATTTTGGTGCCAAAAACCACTGTCTATGTTAATGTTGACAGAGCTTAAAGAGGATAGCTGAACTACAGTTGTGGTACTGGTTTTGTCTTCAGTAATACAAACATTGGCTTGTTTTAGGAGAGAAAAGTGGGTGGACTGCCCTTGTTCAGCTGGCTAATTCCATGGACATAAAATAATAATTTCTTTATTGATGAGGCATCAGTCTCTCTGTTTCATGTCCTTTAAAGTAAATATTGCCTAAGTAAGCTTCTTTGGGGAAAAAAATGTTGAATATACAATTGACCTTATCAAGATAGGTGCCTTCTGACCTCCTGTCAGTGCACAGGAGGTGACATGATCTTTGTATGAGCTTAATATCGTGTCATAAATCTGTTATCCTGGCGCTATCGGAGCTCTATGAACTGCACAGAGATACTTTCATTATCTGTTTACCTCAGCCTGACTCCGTACAAATATCTGCCTATTCACCGAGAGCCTTTGGGACAGCACACGGAGATTTATGGTACTTCTGCAAATTGTTCTTTTACTTTCCAATCAAAATCGCGTCAAATAAAACACTTGGCATTCTATTTCGGTTTAATATTGGCAAAAATGACATATTTCCTCATCACGACCGAGCTCACTTCCCAATTACAACCCCGCGGAGGGCGGTTTCTGACAGGGCATCCATTACAAAGACTGGCATTTTTTCCAAATTAAGAGCTCTATGAGGATTATCTCTATGCCGAAACTCTCACGAAAATCATTTGTTTCTAACTATGCCCCAAACAGTTTGGAATTGATTGTCTTTACAAGGTGAATATGATCGGGTTTTAAATAGTACCGTTTTTGACTGGAGTCCGGGCCTCGGCCGTCTCTGTGTCACTGAGGAAGCAGAGGAGGGATTTACTCTGCACCAACGTTAACTGTCAAAATAAAAGAGCGAACCGCAGGAACAAGCCACAACAGTCGGGACTGGAGGTGAAATATTCGGGGATGCGGTTACTCACAGAGCTTTCGGCGAGGGCACGGCGGCGTTTACGTTAAAATTTCACCGGCGGAGACGGTCACAATAAACAGGAAGCAAGGGACGTGGAAACAAAGCATTGTGGGAAAGGATTAAATGCTTGCGAAGAACGGAAGAACGGCAGATTGTCCTTCAAAATAAAAACTAATTTAACACGAAATAAAACGAAAACTTAACTACTAAATGAAACGTCCAAAATACATGACACATCAAAATTACAAAATGTAAATTAATTCAAATGATAAATTTAATTAAAAAGTAGGATTTATTTAAAGCTCCCTAAGGGATTTTTTGATTTGTAATGAAGAAAAATGGAGTTAATAGTGCTGACTCTTCATGACCTCAAAAGTGAATAAACCAATCGAGGTATTTCTGAATCTGAATTTTTACACCTGTACCTTCTGCAAGACAGCTAGGTGTCAGACCAGAGGACATAGGTGCTATTTCTACTTTTCATTGGTAATTATTAACTATGAATAATACATTGGGCAAGAAATAGAAATTTATGAGATCCTAATATTGATGCCTTAATGGACTCTGCTTTTGATCCAATTTTTTATTTATTCCTTTATCAATTCCTGTGTGGAAAAAAAGGTGGGTCCGTGCAGGTTTTCTGTGTTAACAAGTCTCTGTACATACTGAACAAAACCAAAAACTGGTCTGTAGATTTACTTCAAGTCTTTCCTTTGCAAAATAAGCACATCTGCTTTCTTTGGGAAGATCCTTAATCTCTCTGGTCTTATTTTGTCCTTAGCTGTGGAGAACAGAACTGCTCATAGTGTCAAAGACACAGGGCTCTTAATTAACACTGTGCTGCTTCAACAAATGTTGAAGAATGTTGCCAATATTTTATTATATTTTAAAACATGTTACCGGCGAGGACAACCACACAAATTAAAATGTAATGTGCATGGAAAAATGAATATGAATGACTTTCTTTCTTTTACTATTTTAACCCCAATATTTTTCTTGTCTTCATAATTTCAGTTGGCTGGATAGAAATTTTACTTAGCCAAAAACTGTTTCCTCTACATTTATTTGATAAAATACTCAAGATCGGCAGTTCTGTTCTCATTTTTTAATGAAGTTGTATTTTTTGATATCACCAATCTCACTTCTCATTTGCATTAGCTGCTGAAAACGTGATGTCAGTTGTCCATTGATATTGATAATACAGTGCAAATGTTTCAGCTGTTTGTAATGCTGTCATTCATGATGAGATGTACAAAGCCACCTTCTCCATTTTCCCCCCAGTAGGTGTTAATGGGGCTGCAGGTAAAGTCATGTTAATTGGCTGTAGGTGGTTTGATTGGCCTGATTACTGGTTTCACATGTACTTGTTGAGGGCTAATATTTAGTTATTTTACTCTGTAGTATTCAGTCATATTGATGTGCTGCACACTATTTGTATTTTAACAACCCAGTGCAATGTTCTGTGCAATAACCAATTTTGATTAGTAATCATTAGTGCATCAGAGCATTGTACTGTAAATGTATGTCATATAGTGCAACAATTTAATAGGACAAATTTATTGGTTGTGATTAATTGCCCCGATTGATGGCATTTTGTAAGAATTGTAACATACTAGTATCAGCCCTCATGAAGCTATTTTCACCATCATCTTTTCTACATGATAACATGTCTTTCCCGTCCTAAATATCAAAACTAAAACAGCTACTGGTCTGATAAAGATTGTATTACAATATATAGTATAACATCACTTAATATTTCCTTTGACATAAATCTGTCATGTTATGAAATCCATATCATAACACAAAGTATTTGTATTTTATCATAAATAAAGGGTCCATCTGAAGAATATCACATGCTGACCTTGACCAACTGCTCTTACATTGGTTCTCATTCATGAAATGTGAGCAGACTGAATGTGAGTGTAAACTGTGAGCAGAATTAAATTTATGGGCAAAACAGCATCCATCAGTGTTTTGGTAGCCCTCATTTGTTTGCAGCTCTTCACAAATGTTACACCTGCTCCTGACCACGAGTACAGTTTAAGAGAAGAAAACACAGAAATGTTACTGTTATGTTAATGGTAGGCAGATACATTTGACACATGCCACTTAAACGTGGGCAAAAAATATCAATATAAAACACATCCAACAAAATTATTTGGCAATAAGCAGATTTAAGCTTCCAATAATGGTGAAAATACAAAACGGGTTAGTTTATATGTGTACTTTACATATATTCACTGATAATCAAAATATTGATTATTCAACGCTGTGGCTCTATGGCCTGGTGACACTTGTTTGGAGCATGGAGCAGAAGGAGACAGCTGGTTTATCCATAACCTGTTTACATCCTTAAATGTTTACAGAGCCCTGCAGGTGTCAGATCAAGAAAAAGAGCCATGTGCAGATTCATGCACATGCATTGACAATCCATATGCGAGGACTGTTCTCTCCATACTCACAGATTTGTTCATAATTATTTTGGCACTTGGCACTTCAGGGATCCATACATTCTCTTGTCTGGAGGTCTAACCTATCCATAGGTTATCCACAGCAGGAGCTGACTTTATGACACCCAATATAGGATTGACTATTAACATTCACTCAGCCCTGGCAGAGCCTCAGAAGGAGAGTTTGGGGTTAGGGACAACTTTGACATGTGGACTGCTTGACCTGGGACTGTATCCCCAACACTGGATTTATAGATGACAAACTCTCCCACTGAGCCACTGCTGCCTCGTTGTAGTTTCAGTTTCATTCAGCACTTTTAATCCCCCATGTCTTTTGATCATTTTCAGCACTGCAGACACAGAGATTGGGAACTTTTTACCAGGCATTACCCCTTTTTTGGAGACAAAGCCAATAGACTACTGAAAAGTCAATGCGCAGATGAGCAAAGCTGGCATGTATCTGAATACCAGCAGCAATACTTTTTTTAATGAGAACAAGTATGCAGAAAAGTGGACACTCGCAGTCTAAAATAGGCCCTCTGTCCTGCTCCCTTGTTGAATCATTTCCCCAACTAATCATTTGAGCCTTACTTTAAGTTTGAATGAAACATATATCCACAGATTGTTTTTAAGACCCTACTCTGCATGTTAGTATCTTAAGCTTTGCTATACAATCAATTAAATCCAGTGTGTTGCTACGGAAAAAGCAAGGAAAAACACATTTGGTATTGCTGTTTGTTTGTTTTGTCGGGGGAAATTCTCATTTGTTAAATGAGTAATTAGTAATTGCTTGTTAAAATTTCCAAAGATCACAGAGAATACTTTAAAACAGCATCCCATCACATTGCAACCAGTGCATCTATAGAAATTTGTGATAGCAGACAGTTCTCTCTCTAATCATTTGCAGAACATACAGATAAGTAGTCAACCGGTGTTAGTTTTCCAACAGCCATTGTGATATTGAAATAAGTCTTTTGTTTCTTGGTGAGCTAACTATTTGTATGGTATGTTTGAGAGAAACACCAAATTTATCATCAAACCTTTTTCAGATGCAGTGTTGTGTGTGAACGCACTAATATGAGTGCGTTCACTGAATAGGCTAATAGTTTGGTGAACAGTGAATTAAACTTCTTAGTTTTTAGCTCATGAATGGGAACATAGGTCACTTCGCAGACTGCAAACAAATGCTCAAATCCCAAGAGGATTGGAGATCAAGAGTAACCAGCACTGTCTTAACTGTTTGCCAGCAGCTAAAGTCAGTTTTACGGCACATGGCATGCGTCAAACATGACTAAAACTACAAGCAATTACTGGAGCATATGAGGCGCTGCTAGCAGAGGATTCAGCTACACATACATTAAGCTGATCATTTTCATCTGTGTGGACAGAACTTTGAGCTGCCTTACTTCGGTGTGAACTTGCACACCAATGTTAGGTGATTTGCTGTAGAGCAATTACGGCTCATATTATACTTTTCTAGCTCAATTACAGCTTTACCATGATGATATAGAGACACTACCCCAACGTTAGCTGAACTGTTTGGTGCCCTGGTGGGTCAAGTAAGAAGAAAGAAAGAAGGCAGATGCAAATCTGTGGTCCTGAATGTGACTTGTAATCTGTGCTAAGGGGTCTGCTTGCACATCAAATCTCTAATACTTTTTTTTATTTCACTGCTAACCGAAAGGTCTGCAATCATTACACCAACTATACATATGAGCTGTGACTTGAAAATCACCGCTAACTTTTGTGAATGAGATTACCTGCTGAGACCCAATCTAGCCATAAATGTTGTAATCCATATAGTCCATGTAATCTTTTAAGTATTGAATGTATTTTTAACAGCCACCACATGTTTATACAGAGTTTTCAATTTAAAAAAAATACTCAGTGAGAAATATAAGAATCAGGACTTCTTTCTCCGATCAGTCTCAATAGTTTGATATGCAAAAGAGGAAACTACAGTCAGAAACATGAAACTAAAAATAAGGGCGCTCTGCAGAGAGGGGCAGTCGGCATGTCGCGAATGCAGCAATTAATTTTTAAGGATGGACGCAAGATGCTATGAGACAGAACACCAAGGGAGGAAGAGGTAGAAGAACAAGAGGAGACAAAGATGAAGAGGAGGGAGAAGATAGGGAGATGAAGAGAGAAGTAAAAAAAGAGGAGGAGGTAATAGGGAGAAGGTGAGCGGGTGAGGACGCAGAGGAGAAGAGGATGAGGAGAGGAGCAAAGAAGAAGGCTATAGTGAAGTGGATCAGAAACGATGAAGAGCAGCAGATATTCAGGCCCTCTGTGCTGATCAAGCCGTGGCAGCAGCGTCATTACCGACACCGTAGCCGTCACTGTATAACAGCATCACCGGCTTCGTGACGGTATCTGCTGCTGCCAGCCCCGGTGTGTGTCTGTCGGTACATCTCTGCGGTGACTCTGGGAGGACGTCGAGTCACGGCAGATTTCCATCGACACTCACGCAAACGCTTAATTTGACACATGCACGCTCCCCATTCACCCCGTTACCACCGGCCTCGTTTTGGGCTTAAATCAAGGAAAGGACTTTGACAGCAAACACTTACCGGAACTAATTCGGGTCGTCCCCGTTCGCTCCCCAATGAGAATGTGACTCGGTTATTCCTGCCGCACCTCTGTCACATCCCAACCGGAGAGCAGCGGCAGCCTGTCGGCTAGCAACCACAGCAGCGACGTCCCTGGAGCAGAGCGACACGAATAGTCAAGCGACCCGACAGAGTGGAGGAGACTACGCGGCAAGGATGCGGCAGGCGGCTTACTGTCCAGTTCTTCTCCGGCTTGTGATTGGTTCAGCCGCAGCGCAGCCTGTTCGTTGTCTGGAATCTGATTGGACGATGCGATGGCAACCCACACTTTGCCTTCAAATGTCGCGATGTGTCGTGAAGCTTCAGAACATACTGTTTCTGACAGAAAGATCGGTGTAGTTTGACTGAAGCAGAGATCTTGGGAGAGGACTCTGGACTGACGGTCCTTTGCAGTAATGTGATACCCCTTTTGTTGACTTTTTTTTGGATACACCTCTTGTGTGTTTTTCTTGACAGTTAACTGAGCAACACAATTAAAGCGGGGTATTTCGAACTAATCTGAATTTATCAAATCATAGCTTATGCGTAATAGTTTGCAGTTTTTTTTGTTTGCGTTTTATTGAATTCATGTGTTAAATTTGTGTTTGCTTTATAAATAATCAGAAAAAACATACCCCAACGTGTACAAAAAAAAAAAAAAAAACAATCAAAAAAAGAGATGAGAGGTATTGTTTCTTCTGTCTTCTTTAGTAATGCAAGATACCATTAAAGACTGTTACTGGTACTTTGTGTCACGAGGCACAGTTTATACAAAAGAAAGGGATCCAAAATGCTGACCCCAAAACACAAAGATTTAATAACCCATGGTTTCAAAGGCAAAAAATAATAATTACACAAAAAGAAAATGCAACAAGAACTGCAGGACCAAAAACACTAGAGACAGAACCAAAAACATTGGGAAGACACATGTTTTTTTAACAGGCATGGACACCAACAACAACAACAACAAAAAAAACAAAAAAAAAACTGTCATGATTGTTAACTAAATTTTTCCTGGTTTTGTTATTTAGTTGTATTTTCTGTGTATTTGTCCCAAGTGATTCTGTTCCCTATTGTACCTGTTCCCCTGTGTCAATTCTTCTTATGTTCCTGTTGCATTTTTCTGTTTGGTCTTGTGGTAAGTTTTCAGTGTCTCCTGGGTTATTATGTAGTTCCTTCTTGGTGTGTGTCTAGTTTAGTGTAACTTCCTGTTTTAATTTGTAATAACAATAATAATAATGATAATAATAATACATTTTATTTATGACACGCTTTTACAGGTGCTCAAAGACGCCTTACAAAGAAAAAGAAGAAAATAAAATAATAAAAAAACACAATTTAAAATACAGAAAATTTTGAGAAATAAAGCCAATGAGGTTAAAAAAAAAAGGTTAAAAAAGACACGTGTCAGAATAATGTGTATAAATGTATATAGAAGTTATCATCTTACTCAAATTCTTATGTAAGAGTTTGCTACAAGTATGAACTGTTTTAATCTCTTGATACACATCATATAAGAGTGTATTTTATCATATAAGAGTGTTTTCTAACTTCTCTCTCCAATAGCTTTATTACACAGCACATGGATGTTTCTTCATTTTTCTGTGAACTTGTCTTTTTGCTATCAGCAGGTGTGTGTGTGTGTGGGTGATGTATCCTCCACTGTGAATCGTGGGAAGTAATGAGGAGGATCCGCTCTTATCAGAAGGAGCTCGTTTGATGCAACAATGTCGCCTTGACCTTCACATATTCACAGTTGTTCATTATTATGTTTTATGAGAATGCTTACGTTGCTGCACATATTTTTCCCCCACCCTTTAGAAACATTGTGTAACCAGGGACAACCCTAAATAAAAGAGGGAGGACAGAAAACCACCTTTAGAGTGGTTCTGAGATTTTACCTGATGCTATCTCTGTCCATTCTTCCCGAGCATATACCATTGTCTTTCTCTTCTTTATATGTTATCAGGTATTTGGGCAGGTTTTAGACCCAACACACGATATGAGAGGACAATAAAAAGAACAGTTCATGGGTTAAAAGCTAATTTAAAAAGGTGTGTTTTTAGGAGGGATTTAAAAGTGTGGGGGTCAGTACAGTCTCGGATGGGTTTGGGGAGTGAATTCCAGATGGTGGGGGCAGCAGCGGAGAAGGCTCTGTCCCCCCAAGTTCAGTGCTTGGTCAGAGGGGGTAGGGCAAGAAGATTTTTCTCTGAGGGTCGGAGGGCACGGGAGGGGGTGTAGTGGTGGAGCAGGTCTGTGAGGTAGGTGGGGGCCAGGTTGTTGAGTGATTTGTGGGTGTGCAGGAGGATTTTGAATTGTATGCGGTGTGAGATGGGGAGCCAGTGCAGTTTTTGGAGGACGGGGGTGATGTGTTCTCGGAAGTTGGTGCGGGTGAGCAGGCGGGCAGCAGAGTTCTGAATGAAGTTTATTGAGGACTTTGGATGGTGAGCCGTATTGGATGCTGGTACAGTACAATCTAGTCTGGATGTTATGAATGCATGGATCAGGGTTTCAGAAGCGGAGAAGGTGAGTGAGGGGCGGAGACGGACTATGTTTTTGAGGTGAAAGAAGGCGGTCCTGGTGATGTGTTTAATATGGCGGTCGAACTTGAGTTGGTTGTCAAAGATGACTCCAAGGTTCCAGATGTGAGGGGAGGACTACAGAGTACAGTTGTTGAGGGTGAGGCTGAGGTTTTGGATCATACTGGTGTGGGATGTGGGTCCGATGATGATGATGTTTGATTTGTCACTGTTCAATTGTAGGTTTTTTTTTTTTTTGCATCCATTTTTTAATTTCAGTGAGACATTTGCTGAGTGTGGAGTGGGTGGTTTTGGTGATGGTGGAGATGTATAGTAGGATGTCGTCGGCTTAACAGTGAAACTGGAGCCCATAATGATGGATGATTTTGCTGAGGGGAAGCATGTAGAGAATAAAGAGGAGGGTACCAAGCACCGATCCCTGGGGGAGGAGGTGCAGTTGTTTACACTGATGAACTGGTGACGGTTGGTAAGGTAGGAGTGGATCCAGGTGAGTGCTGTGCCAGTGATGTGGGCTGAGGATTTCAGTTGAGAGAGCAGGATGGAGTGGTTGATGGCATCGAAGGCTGCTGTGAGGTCAAGGAGCATGAGGATGGTGAGGTGTCCAGAGTCTGAGGAGAGGAGGAAGTCGTTGGTGAGTTTGAGGAGGGCCGTCTCTGTGCTGTGTTGTGTTCGGAAACCGTATTGAAAGCATTCAAAGAGATTATTGGAGGTGGGGTGGGTTCTTAGTTGAGAGGCTACAGCGCGTTCCAAAATTTTAGATAGGAAGGGGAGATAGGAGATGGGTCGGAAGTTACTAGGATTGTCAGTGTTGAGACAAGAATTTTTGATGATGGGTGTAATGGCAGCCAGTTTGAGGGTTTGGGGAACAGAACCAGAACTGAGGGAGGTATTAATGGTGGCGGTGATGAGTGGGGAGATGACAGGCGGGCAGTCCTTGATGAGTTTGGATGGGATGGGGTCCAGGTGGAGGTTTTTATCCCAGTCATGAGAGTTGTCAACTGTGCAGGTAGTAGTCAGCCCCTTTGTGTGAAGTTTAGTTTTACTTCCTGTGTTTTCCCTTCTCAGTGTTGTCTGCACTTTTGTCTTATTGTCTCACCTGACTCTCATTGCTCATTACCCTGCGTCTTTAGTCCCTGTGTTGTCTTCCCTCTTTGTTGGTTTGTTTTATCATGTACTTGTAACCAGTACTCCTGTGTTCTTTCCTGCTTCAAGTGTTTTTTTGGTTTGGGATAAGAATTTTGTACAGATTTTTCCTCAGTTTTGTTTATTTAACCTTTTACAGTGAAGGCTGCATTGTGGGTCCTCCCTTTTGTTTTTGTTAAAACTCTGGTCCGTGATGCTTGGGTTAAGACAAAATAAGTACTTACAAAAGGAGTATAGAAGTAGTACTGGGTCTTAGTGTCTGTCACACACAATTTTAGAGGTTAAATCTGATGTTTTCAAGATATATGTGTTGACATAACTTCTTGTAATATTATGGATTATTGCATATTGATGTAAATTGTTATTCCATTAATTTCCACCGGAGAGCACTATAACACAAGTGAATGTGTTTGTTTGAGACAGAAAGTTAAAGGTCTCCATTATCAGGCCTCATTTTTATGTTGAAAATCCTAAGGTACATAAACTTCAAGCTTTTGACTTTGTCATTGTATTGCAGTGATTACCTAAATGTTGATACTGGTATTGGTATAATTTTACCTGTAATCTCAAAATGTGCTTGCAAGTGCAATAGATTCAAGTAAATCTTGTCTGACAAGTTGCAACTACCACACACACACACACACACACACACACACACACACACACACACACACACACACACACACACAGAAACCGTGACAAAGTCCAGGAACTGGTTTCACACAAAGTATGAAAATGATAGAGACTAAGAGATAGAGACAAAAAGGTTGATTAATTGGTCAAATTCTGTTCTCTCACCATCATCTCAGGTCCAGATTATTTTCTTTGTATATCCAGCAGCTGAACAAAAAAAAAAAGATTGATATTTGACTAATTTCTTCTTTATATGAGTGTGTATGTGGCGTCATTTTGAATGAAAAAGGGAAACAACCACCCAGGGTCTCTTTCTCCAGTCCAGCTAGAACAAAAAAAATAAAATGGTTTCAAAGTCAGGTTGTTTGGTATTGAGTGCCATCATCATAAGAGACTTGGTAGAAATATGGCATAATATCCATAAGTGTGTTTAAACTAGTTTATGAGGGAGGGAGCATTTCAATCAAGAACCTGATGGTTAAATATCACTTAATATGCCCTTATCTACACACTATCTTATTTGTCCACAAGGGAGTGCCAAAATTTACACAAACCAAAAGTTTCCCACATGAAACTGCAATTGAGTTTAAGAGATTATTTTTTTCCTCATATCTTTAAAAATATTTTTTAACATTAAACAAGTTAATCACTTGGGTACAAAATTTGAGTAACAAGAGTGTTGAGGTGAGGTGAGTGTCAGAAAGCACAAACCAATGTGATCACATTATTGAAGTGTTTCTTTGTTAGTTTTCTCCATTCCTGTTATGACAGAGAGCACTCCAGCCAGACTTGGTGCCTGAATGAAAACATGTCTTGGTATTTGTAGAAAGAAAAAAAAACACTCACTTTCAGAGAGTAACACAAGGTTGTGGAAATTAAAGTTGGCTTGTAAGTGTAATGGAAGTGTGGTTGAGCTATTGTGTGGGGTTACCTCAGGCCATGGTGAGGCCCAGGAGTGACACGTTTTCACAGGGCCCAGAATTCCTGATGATACCCCAGTGTGTGTGTGTGTGTGTGTGTGTGTGTGTGTGTGTGTGCGCGCGCGCCCGCGCTTGTGCGTCGAGCATGTGTGAGATAGAGAGCAATGTGTCCTTGTATCATTCAAACTTAGCTGAGTTCACTGATCCCTCACTGTGTGTTTTTTGTGTGATTCAGATGCTCGTAAACACAGCTGTTTGAGTGTGTATAAACAGGTGAAGGTTGGAGATCACAGGGCTGAGATAGACTCATAGACTGATAACAATCTAAGCTGATCTCTTGTAACCTCAGTGAAATATGTCACAATTATCTCTGAAGTACCAGAGATCTCAGTGGAGCAGCAGACTTGAACTTGGGTCTGAATTTAGTCATGGCAGTGAGGACTTTAAGGCCTGACTTGTTGACCAAATGAAGACATGCTTTAGTCTTTTTTTCCCCCTTCGTTTGCCTTCAAGGCCTCCGGGTATTTTATTGCTTTTACTTGTGTACTGCTCTAACCTGTTTTTACAGCCTTCATTTCCTCTTGATGTTTTTATCTACCTTAACTGTTTTCATCTGATTGAGTGTGTATCTCATCCAGCTTCTTTTACCTCTTCACTCTCTTATGTCACCACACATCTCTGGCCCTCCAGGTCTCTTTTCATGTCATTGTTTTTTGGGGGGTTTGTATGACCTTAAGGCAGTATGTTATTAAGGTTTTCATTGTTATTTCTGTTTCTTCAGCTGTTGTGTCCATGAGTTGCTGTCATTATTACCTCCGCCAAGGAGGTTATGTTTTCGGTAGCGTTGGTTTGTTTGTCTGTTAGCAACTTTACGGAGAAAGTTACAGACGGATTGACCTGAACTTTTCACCAGAGGTGCGTCTCAGCCCCAGGATGACCCCATTACATTTTGGTGGTGATCCGGATGGCCTTCTGGATCCAGGAATTTTTTGAAGGATTCTTTATCATTGTGAGATAGGGCAAATTTTGGAATTTTTGCATTTAACTCTATAAAAATGGTCTTTAGTAAAAAATTACACAAAAGGATCTCAATGAGTTTTATGAGGTGTCAAAGGTTGATCCTGATCCAGACAAAATTCCGGTTACTGTGATCCAGAACACACAAAAATAAGGGTGACGTTAGAATTTTCAATGCTGAAAGATAACCAATGGGCGGCACAGTGGTGTAGCTGGGCAGCACAGTGGTGTAGCGGTTAGCACTGTTGCCTCACAGCAAGAAGGTCCTGGGTTTGAATCCGGGTCAGGGCGTTTCTTGTTTTATGAACAGTGAACATACCAGACACGTAACAGTAAAAGTTTTGGTGTGAATCACAATATAAGGGGGGACATGAGCTGCTTGGCGGAGGTCTGCGCTCTCTGAGTGCTTTTCTAGTTTTTTGGTTGTGTTGGGTTTTTAAGTCATTTTGCATAGCCATGATTCTACAAGAGTACTAAATGGACAAATAAGAAACATGTTTTTTTTTTTTTATTCAATGAGTTGGCATGTAAATGCATCAGTTGGGAAACAAAGGAGAGTGATTGTTGTGGGTAAAAGTCTCTAATACATCCCAGGAGCTTCTTGTCCTTGAAGGCTACTGTCACTTTGTGAGAGCTCACCCCTCCTGTATGAAAGGGGCATGCAAAGGGACTGGATTTAGAATCTGGTGGCTATATTGCTTTATATTCCCATGTATACACACTGTATCTCTGAGGAGGTCAAACAAAACAGCACTGATGTCCATAATTCCAATTTTAGTGTTTCATTTTATGCACTTGAATTGCTATTAATGTCACTGTGACATAATACATAAAGAAGACATACCAACTGTAAAATATATATATATATATATATATATAGATTTTCTCTAAAATATTTTAAGCGAATTGCTGTCGATAGGAACTTCCAGTGTGTGGGTTTTGGTGCCCCCTGTGGACAAAGTATGTTGTGGTCTCATGTAAGGTAATGGTAACCCAGCTGAGGTGATTTTTCAAAGGATAAAACCAGTTGATTTAGTCACTGAAGACATCAAGTCAGGTCTAGTCAGGCCAAGTTAAGATGAGTTGAGAAAAATAAGTTTTAGTTTTGTTAAGCTAAAATAAGTCAAATACAATGGGTCAAGTCAAGTAAAGACATCAAGGGAAGTAAAGCTTACGAAAGTCGTGTAAGGTCAAGGCAAATTCTGTGAAAAACAAAAAAAAATTAAAATGTTAAGTTAAAAAGGTCAAGTAAAGTAAAATCAGGTGAAGTAAAGCTGAATTAAAAATAAATTAACTTTAGTAAACTTAAGTGAAGTTCATTTAACTTGGTCCTCAGTCACTTTAAGCTCAGTTTTATTTAGTCGAGTAAGGCGCAGTTTGGACGGGTTAAGAAGCTACATTTGATTAGGTTTTCAGTTTTAAGACCCATTGGAAACACAGTTGGTGAGGTATTGTGGCTTATTCATGTACAGAGTCTGCTGATTGTAGCAGTGCTGTATGGGTTGTGTTGTAATATAAAGAGGATTTGATTGTAGATGTTACATGGTGGACTGCAAACATGTCATGGGCTTCACTTTGTGAAAACAGGTAAAGGGAGGTGCCCACTTGATAAACCCAGGAGTGCTGACTCTGGCGGCTCACCTATGCTCATGTATCTTCATACTGGGATCCTTTTGTTTTTGTTTCAACCTCCTCCCCTTACAAGACATCTCTACAGAATGAAATATGATTTATAAACTGCAATCTGATGCACATAAAACACACACACACACACACACACACACACACACACACACACACACACACACACACACACACACACACACACACACAATGACATTTTACACCTTTTCATCACATACTGTACAGCCACAAATTTATTCCATGGTGCTGATTCATAATCATAATCTAAAGTAAAATATAATTAAACTCTAAGAAATCATGTATTTAAATGTATTTGTGCTTTTATGCAGTTTTCACTATCTACTTTATGCAAATATATATAAATATATACAAATGTTGTACTCATGTTTAAATGAGATTGAGAAAATCAAAATTCAAAATTCGTCCAATTATTGTTGTATTTATATTGTAATCATCTTAAATGATGTGAATATACATGTAAATTGCATAGTTTTATTGAAATAACATAGTCTATGCCTTATGCCTTTAGAATCATAGGAAAAATACTGTAACTAACTTGAGATTAAAATGATACATCTCTCTAATGCACTTTGCCTATGACTAAAGAAACCTATAGAAACAAAAAGAAGCCTGACATACTTTTTCAGCACACTGTGTGTGGTTAAATAGCGGTCATAACTTATGAGTGATGTGTGCAGAATCAGACGCACACACAGGATGCTTACTTCACCTTGTCAGTCATCTTACAAGAATACACCCTGACATATTAATAGGGTATGAATTTGGGTTTGAGGGTATAATGAGACAGTTTTTTCACTGAGCACTTATCCTTTCATTAGAGCATAAGGACCTTGTATTAATTTCAAATAAACTTGAAAAACAGAAAAAAAAGCAGGCATGAGTCAGCTGTTCTGAGCCCTATCTAGACCAGGGGCCTCTTGGACTTGCTGGGCCTCTGGAGTGTCAAACCTCTTTCATAACCGTACAATAGTGTTTCGTGCTGACATTTTTAAAAATTTCTTTTTAAAGTAACTGCAGCTGCACAAGTATAGAGGGCCACAAAGATAATGTACAGTTCCTGTATATTGCAGGAAACCCAGGAGTTATTTCAGGAGATCTGCAGGTTCTAAGCGGAGGTTATGGTGTTTTGGGTGATGTAATAGTTCTGTCTATCAGCGTGCTCCTGATGGAGGGTGTGGTTATCCGAGGGAGATGGTTTATCAGTGAGAGTGAGTGAAGAGTGTGTGTAATGGTTACATAAAAGGATAGAAATGAAGATAAGAAAGTGATTGTGTGGTTTATTTTTTTGTGCTCTTGAAATTCAGTCCTTCAATGTACCTCCTCATTCAGAGCTCTTTACACACCTTTATACAGAGTTGCACTGAATGCCATCTTAGTGTTTGTGTTGTAACACTTAAACAATTGAAAAAAAAAAAAACACATTTGATACTACATCTGAATATATTAAATCTGAGGTTGTCATATTTTGATTAGCTGATGCTTTAATTTCCTTTTCACTAGCAATGACCACGCCACAATGATGTACGCTTGAATATTTAATTTGAAATTGGCAATGTGTATGACTTGTCTGTTATGTGTATGTTGTGATGGATGATGAGGCTAATGAGGTGTGTTGAATGTCTGGTTGGTCTGGGAGGTTCTATAAAGGCCCGACAGGGAGAGACTCAGGATGGCTCCCATGAGCCTGATTACCACTGGACTGGACCTGTAGCAGCTTTTTTTTTGTTTGTTTTAGATCAGGAAGAAAACTACAAATACTGTGTCACCTCATTCATGCTCCACTGGTTTGTGACAGCTTCTATCAGACCTCCAATGCCACTATTCATATGTTCAGTTGCGGACATTGTTGGTGTTTTTTTTTTTTTTCAAAAGCTGCTTGTTTGTTATCTTCTTTGGTTGCAAGTCTGCCACACCGCCAAGAGTTTGTGCGGGTACTTTTTCACACAGCTGTTTGGAATGAATTGATATGTACCAGAAATTAAGTTTTCTTTCTATTAACTTTAAACACTGATGACCTCTCTAGGTTCACGCCCACTTAAGGTGGACTGGTGTTAAGTGGGAAACTGTCCCATCGTCTGAGAATTAAAAATTTACATTCTTTCTGTAAATCATGGCCAATGCATTTTTCTAAAGAGGGCAAACACTGTCCTACTTGTCATCAGACAACAGTCCAAAAGCAAGCACATCTGTTTTTATGAAGTTGAATTATTGCTTCAGCATGAGTGGCTTACACATCTAGGAGGGCATGGAATAAAATCAACACGTTGCCACCCAGCCAAAACCTCTCAGAGAAAACCTTGTATATTTCAGCAAGACTATGCCAAACTACAATTTGCATGTACTGCAACAGCATAGCTCTGTAGTAGAAGAGTCCTGGTGCTCATCTGAGCAGCCTGAAGCCATGACTTCACCCACAGAGACTGTTTACAGTATATAAATAGTATAGTTATAATAAGAGGTGTTGCAACACAACGGGGGGGGGGGGGGGGACCTGTCCCAGCTTTCTCTGTAATAGGCTGCTGGCCTCAAATTCGAAATAAGCATACATTTTTCATTAAGCAATAAATACCCAGTTTCAAATGTTCATACATTGCTTTCAAACTTTCTAAAATGAAACTGTGCTTAAATAATATTAATCATCATAACAATACTAATAATACTGGAGTTAGGGTTGCAATTTCATAGCCTGGCTGGGCCATCCTGTTGCGTGAATCACTTGACGTTCCTTCCCACCACAGTCTTGACTTCGGCCCATTGGAAGCCCTGAAAGTGGGCGGGAGTACTTTCCTTGATAGACAGACTACTGTAACCAAGCATCTGACATCATCACAGATGCTTGGTTACAGTAGTACATGGACCAATCAGGGGCTGCCTTTCCCTGTTGTCCGGGTAACAGTGGAAACACGGTCTCTGATTGGCCCGGTTATTTTCTGATCGGGCATACATGCTCTCTATGGGCCGAAGTCCAGACTGTGGTGGGAAGGAACGTCAAGTGACTCACGCAACAGGATGGCTCAGCCAGGCTAGCAATTTCACCCCAATTTCAAATTATGTGATAATTTGTCTGGTGCTTTTTCACTGTGATTGTATGTTGGGATCATTTAAAGAATTAGTGAGTTTAATTTAACACAAGTGTGACTTAGATCTAAAACAAGTTCAGGAAGATGTGATTGTATACAAACCTGCTCATGTTTCAAAGTTAGAAGGATGAAATAAGCTTGAGGACTCTAGTAAGCAGCAATAATGTCTGCGTGTTTTATTCAGTAAAGGATCACAGCAGGAAAAGAAAGGTACTGTAGACATCACAGCTCTAAATGAGCAAGCACCCCCAAATACACCCAAAATTACATCACGCTTTAATAAATGCACCAATCACTGCTGACAACAGAGTCATGTGACCCGCCTTCAGACAGACTGTAGATTGCCTCCACAAAAGCATTGTGGGAAACACAGTTCCCTTTTTTTGTTTCTGTATATTTGTAATCTCTTTTCACCTCCACTCAGCCTTTCAGGCGGTTTGTTACATGTGACTAGCTTGAGGGATCACAAGCGTTTTATTCAAGTCAACCTGCAAGCATACACTCAGGAAACAAAAATTTAACTCGAAGTTAGCACCCGAGGATATATTAAACATATATTGTATATAGTGAAACTCTTGCGGAGTTAGATAGATTTCAGGCCTTAAAGCAGAAGAAATACTGCTGAACATGTGATAACCTAAACACAAGCGGCGTGACTGCACCTTTGTTGTAAAAACATCAAACTCAGGAAGTGATAAAACAAGCTACAGTCTGGAGAGTATTAGATCTCTGTAGTTAAGCCGCTTCACAGAAGAAGAAAAAAGGAAGTTTCCACCTGAATAGGTAGAGATTCTGTTAAAAAGTTAAATCAAAACTTGTGTTAAAATATGCTGCATTCAACAAAGGCTACTCATGATCTAAATATATATCTTCATCATCCTTATTGTTAAGTCCTGTGCATCTGACTCAACCCTGACACCTCAGACTCCACCCTCTCCCCTTAACAGGATCGGCTGGTGAAATGCATTCTGGGAGATAAATCTCCCATTAAGCAGATCAGTGGCTCATTTTTGTCAAAATCAGCTTATTTTCTACCATGGGGGAGATTCTACCATTATTTCAGGTAAATGGCCACAATAGTTTAATGTAACATTTAGAGCTCTCCCCGAAGTTGGAACGTAGTACTGTTGTCACAACAACGGCAGAGTCAGCTCCTGGGAGTGGGAGACAGGGCTGACAGCTCTGAGTAAAAAACTAAGGCCATGGGTTGAAATAATCTGATTTCAACCCAAAGAATGAACATCCACATAAAGCGTGGATAAACAAGTCCTTGATCCTGATTGGAAGTGAGGCGGGCAGCGGCTCTGCAGTGTCACAGGAATAAAGTGGGGGTGTGGTAAGATTGTTCCAATCATGTGCACAGATCAGCGATAGAGACTCTCAGAGAGAGAAGAAACATCCATCATTATTGGTGTTATCATCACATCTGAAAAGGGAGAAGAGATTCAGAGATCAGCTAATGACTGACTGTGTGACGCATCAACCTGAAACAACTGCATTTATCAAACATGCCAGACTCACTTGTTCAGCAGCTCTATGCAGCCACTTGTCTTTGTCTCCACCCACTTTCATACAAGAGAACAGGTCACATACGGTGGGCAATGCCAGGGGCTCCTACACACAGCGAACAAAACATTAACATCTGATCACAGAGAGCTGACAAGATGAATCAGGTTCCAAGTTATAATCGAGATCTGCATGTGTTTCTGCTTGCCTAAACTTGTCTCAGTGGTCCTTTTACCTGCGCCTGACTCTTTTTCCTCAGCAGCCATTTGTCCTCTTTCACTGTGGAAGAGTGTTGACTTTCTGATCCCTGAGCAGGAGGAGACAGCTGTGCTGGAAGGACCCACAGACCTGGGTCAAGAGGATGCTGGAACGGAGACAAAGAAGAAGAAGAAGAGGAAGAGGACGATGACTTGAACTGGGAGCTGTGTTCCTCCCTGCTGGCTTTCTCCTCTTCAGGGACCACCCAGCCAGAGAGGGAGGAAGTGAGAGCTTGCAGAGGAACCCTGCAGGAGGAAGAGGTATTGGCAGGGTGGAGCCAGGCCTCCAGGATGGCTTGAACCTGAGGAGGGAAGACAGTGATTTAGAAGGTCCCACAATGACTTTATCTATAGAGGAATGAGTTGATTTATCAGAAACATGGTGGACTGATAGTCTAGTGATGTCAAATGTGGTGGTTTAATGTTAACGGACACTAACCATGGAGTTTGGGCGCGCAAAAGTCAAAGTATCAGTCAATATCGTCTGTGATGTTTACCTTTTCCTCCTGCTCTCTACGCTTAATGGTGGGTAGAGTGTTTTTGGCATTGGTGGGAGGGGCATTCTTGACTGTTGTGGGTGGGATACTCTTGACGCTGGTGGGCGGGGCATTTTTGGCAGGAGATGGGGAATTCTTCACTCCATTTTTGTCCCGCCCGTCTTGTTTGAGCAGCCAGAGACCCAGAGCTTCCTTCCCACAGTTCTCGTCACAGATGCAAGCAGAGTAGGTGGAGCAAACCTCGTTGGCCTTGCAGGTCTGCTGCAGTGGTGCCACCTGTTGCAGCCATGCCTCCAAGGCCATCGGGGAGGTTGTGGGGGTCGGGGTGACGGGGCTGGAAGTGGGCGGAGTCTTCAGGCATTTGAGTTGTCCCAGGTTCTCGATTTCTACAGCCTTACTGGTCTGGCAGCAGGAGGAGCAGTCTGCACTGGGGGGACTCGGCCCCACAAGCCAATCACTGGACGACCAGTTGTTCTCAAACGGCTTCAACACCCTACGCCACCGCTCAGCATCTGACATGGTATCCACTGGAACTGGAGACGGTGTGATGAGCCAGTCGCTCATCTTATCTTCGTCCTCCTCGTACTCATCAGGATAGGCAATGAACTCAGATTCATCGATCTTCTCAATGGAGAAGGAGGAGCTGCAGCTGCTATTGGTCCTCTCCCTGCTGACTGGAGTCTGTTGGTCCTGGAGGAGCCACACTTCAAGGTCCTTCAGCTGACCCCAAGCCTGCATGAAGTCCATGGAGGCCAGAACAGGACAGGCCTGACAAAACACACAGGAAATCACTGTTGCAGCAGATCAACAGAGACAGGATGGAGATGTTTTTTTTTTTTTTTTTTAAACTATGAAGTGGTCAAAACTGAGGCCTGTCCTTTGAACAAGTATTTATAAGGTTAGAGGAAAGTCCACAGTAGTCAAAAATCTGTTTTTCGCTCAATCAGGTCCATCACAACAATACTAAATATTCCATGTCAAAAAATACCAGGCTTTAGGGCAGAGTATGTTGTTACTTTTAACTTGTACAAGTATCACCGCCTGACCTGTGGACAAACGAGCACACCCTCATTACATAGATCATATAAGCAGTAGCTACAACAATGACCAAAGCCTTGGACTGCAAAATTCTGAAAATTAGCCTGCTTGTTGCTTTGATTTATATTCTATAATGAGGTTTTTTTATGTTTCTCTGTCCATTTAAAACCACTGAGAAAGCACATTAAACAGATCTGATGGTGTCCTAATGATAAGCAGTAGTATTATAAGTGATCCTTTGCCATTCCTTAGTCTTTTTACCAGCTCAAAATCCAGATAAACTGTGTCTCTTTCGTCTTTGAAAACACTTTTCATTTGCTGTGAATTGAGAGTACAGGAGGGATCTTTTTGTCAGCTATAAGCTGCACTTTCTACATAGTTTAAACGTGTGTATTCAACATGTAGTTCATGTAGTTTGCTCTAGATCATAAAAATACTACTCAATTGCCAATACACCTGTCAATCTACCCCAACCCCCCCTTTAAGTAAATCAGAATTGAGAGACCTGAAGCAAAGTCTATTTATTCAAGTCTTCAAAACTAGAAAACCCAAGTTACCTTACATTCTCCCCACAAGACAGGCCTCAGTTTTATATTTGAAGTGTAAAACTGGCTTTACACACTAAAGTTTCATATTTGTTTTTGAATTCAAAGGCTTTGACCGGTGTTCTGCCCCACCTTGGTGTCCTTGTGTGCCACCAGCCAATCCTCAGGGTTCTTGCTAAACTGGTAACTAGTTGTGGTCCTGCTTGCTGGTTGAGTTCCCAGCAGCCATTCACCCAGAGAAGCCTCCATCTTCTACGGAGACAAAGTCAGGTAAATAACAAAGATTGGTGCACATACAGCATGTTTATATCAGTTATTTCATATGGCTGTGTTTACTATGAAGTGGGTGAAGTCACCTGCTTCTTGGCAGCAATAGGACAACTCTGCATCTGACGTCTGTTGTAGGCAGGGCTCTGAGAGGACACACCTTCAACAGGCTGTCGAAAAAGAAGAGCATGAAACACCTGATAAGCATCACCTGTCTACATGTGTGTAGGTGAGTGTATTAATGAGAATGAGTGTTCTACCTGAGCTGTGATACTGCCAAAAGAGGTGATGGCTTGCCTCAGAGAGCGAGTGTCGGCTTGGAAACACAGCTCAGGTGTTTCCTCTGGAGTCAAGCTGAGAGAGGACAATCTGCAAACAAACACAGGGGGAGATCAAAGTTCATGAAGGGCCCTGAAGGACTGGAGTTTGAAATGTGATGTGACAACTTCTGCAGAGGTGAATGTGTCAGAACAGAGTCTCGGCAGACTTCCTCTCCAGACACATAAACACCACTCTGACAAACACTATCATCAAGAAGGAACCAAAACCAGTGATTCACTTAATTTACATTTAGTTAGAGAGTGAATGTATGTGCGTGGAGCATGTGTCTGGGGGTTACCTCTCCAAGCAGCTGGTCAGTTGGTTGCTCAGGTCGTTGCTGCTGTTGGAGTTGTGCAGCTGGTGGATGATCACGTCAAACTGACCCCGGAGCTGAAATACAGCAAACTTAATTGAATGCATGTTATTACGTTGATTGTGTGTGGGTGTCAGAGTGAAGAGCCACTGACTGGTCACTCTTAGACTCATCATTTCATCTCCAGGTTTAGATGTCTCTGTTTATTATGCATCATCTGCTTTAGACATTTAGCATTTTTGTAATTTTTTGTAAAAATATGAGGACATTAGTTTCAGCTGGTCACAGTGACCAATCTGTGACCAGTTTAACCAGTGTAACCAGTGTAACCAGGAAGCATGAGCAGTTACCCTGTGGAGCTGGTGAAGCTGCTGCTGCAGAGTTTCCGTCTTGAGTTGCTCCAGCAGCTCGATCTGCCCTAGCAGCCACACCTCTCTGCAGCGCAGCGCCTCCTGTTGGCGGCTCACACAGCTCTGCAGCTCTGCACGAACCTGAGGAAGACACAGGGACAGAGAGAGAGACACTGGTGAGAAACAACCCTGAAATAACCAATCTGCCGACAAGACATTGATCGGCAGATTGGTTATGAGTGATGTTGGCTGTAGTCTCATGATGTAATGGTGATGCTGAGGCAGAACATTCTGCCTGTGTCACCTACCTGTGTGCTGTAAAAGAATATAAGAGTATATACCTGGAAACCCACAGCTTTACCCGCTTCAAAAAGAATGAAGAAGAGTAGTGGAGAGCAGCTGTTGACGGTGTTTTTAGTCCATCTGTGATATGACCTCCTTTATCTCTTCACTCACTTATATACTCGCCCTAACACACCCACTTCCCTCTGTATACTCTTAAATATGGTGACTCCATTTGCTCCACCTCTGCTCACTCACATAAAACACAAACAAGTAACGTGACCTAACATGACAGTGAGTGGTTGGGCAAGCTAAGCCAAGAGGGTGGCCACAAGTGTAGGACCTAGCAATGAGAGGACTAGATGTTTATAGTCACAAACACAAACACACTCTGGTTAGTATGTGTATGATTGAAGTGTTTTCATCATGAGTCCATTGAGTTTGCTAATCTTAAACTGATCCTTAAATGTCGACATAATCAGGCGCTCAGGTGCTCTGTGACGCTGTGGTTCCACTTTGAGCAAAGGGCTTAGAAACGGGATTTCTGGGATGCCTGCTGGTAAATCTCACCAGGACAACAGCCATTTCTGCTCAGGGGACCGATGTGTGTAATACCTTCGCTCATATGACAGATTCTTTCAAACTGAGACTGTTTTTTTTAAAAGGGCAGGTGCCCCTTGTCTTATGTTGTATAATTTCATCATCTTTTGTGGGGGTTTTTTTGTGTTGGTGTACAGTTTGTTTGTTATGTATGCCAAAGTGACAAGCTTTTCAAAGGAGTCCGAGAAATAAAGGCTGCACTGTGGGCCATGACTTGATATGAATTATGCTTTTCTATATACACATAAAAAAAACCTATAAATGAACCATATCTATAAACACTTCTGACCTACAGTCCAAAGTGTAAAATTCAAAGCAGATAAACTGTTGCTGATGCTCGGCTGACGGTCACCTGACTCTTGGTTGATGGTCTGGTCAGAGCTGAGTCGACAGGTACAGTGGACTAATGGATAACGGCCAGACTTCTAACAGCTACAACTAACATGTTTTTCCTGCACGTTAAAGATTTAATGACTGACTTTACAGCAGATCTTCCTTATGAGGTTACTTTTATTTGACCCTCTCAACAGCGAAGTTAAAAAACAGAGATAAAAACTGCTGCCACCCTCCGGAACCGCCTGGGTTAATACGTAGGAAATGTTTTGTCTCACATATACTATATGATATGAATGCAATATGAAAAAATACAGGAAATTACACCATACAATTATGGTGTTTTTTATATTCATGTCTTCAATTAAAGGTTAATGAAAATCCATTTTATAATCTGTCACTTTAACTTGGTTTTTCACCACACTAAAATCAGCCCTTTCACAGCAAACCTGACACATAATGTGAAAAAAACAAAGCAATGTGCAACATCATGGTTTTATATTGTTTTATCGATAAAATTAGTGGTGACTAAACAAATGTTCAAGAGTGCATTTGAGCTAAAACAACAGTTTGAAAAGGTACAGCTGCTGTTATCTATTCATTACATATTGGCTCTGTTTGTGACATGTTTCCTCTGAATTAAACTCACATCTTTTTCATTTGACTGCAGCTAGATTTGGGATTGATTGTGCAGCCCTAATTCAGAGAACAGCTAAATAACAGAGAATGTTTTGCAGATGGCTCTGAATGCAAGTTAAACTTTAACTGCTAGTTTCTGGTGTAACCACAGCATAATGCTGAGGCAAAGCACTTATCAACATCATAATTTTTTGCTGTAAAATGAGGGATGGGCATGCAATAAGTTAACTAGTAAGAGTTACTTTCCATTTTCATGAGCTTTAAAAACAGAAAGAAAGAGGAAGAAGACCCTAACCTCTCTGGTGTTATCCCTCAACTGCTGCTCAGCCTTTGCCACCCTGCTGATGGCATCCTCCAGCTGCTCCTGGGCCTGCCTGCACTGCTTCAGCCCACTTACTGCTGCCTCTGCCGACGGCATTCTGGAAAGGAAATAGGATAGACACCATATCAAAATAAAGTAGGTCAAAGTAGGCGTTGACTAATGATAAACAGCACCAGCTTCACATCAGCCCTTATGTAAGTTTTTAAAAGTGGGTGAGGCATCACCAAAGCAGCTTTCCTGAACCTGTTTTAAAATCAAATGTTGATTCTTCTTCTCACTTTTCTTGCACAGATCATGAAACCACGTCTCTGGCTGTCTGCCTGTTATAACTTTTTCACTTCTCTTTTCTGGACTACATTGCATCTGTTCCTCATCTTACACTTCTGCTTTTCATCATCACATTCCACAGCAAACCTTTTTATATATTTTTTTCTGAATGTTTCAGATACGAGTTTAAAAAAGAACTTCCCATTGCATGAAATACAAATTCATATCTATTTAAAACATGCAGTTCATAACTTTGTGATACACACCCTAAAAATGCATCATTACAAACACAAACCGTGCTCATAATCGATATTTACAACATGAACAGCTCTGGCTCACACGCTGGGCAGGATAAAAACAGAATGAAAGGGACAGAGCACACAGGTGAGTCACTTTGTAAAACAGGTGAGGTTTCTGCTCTGTATCTGACTCAGCTGACGACAGATCACAGTTTCATTCAGTCTGTTGTGATGAGGGCCTTAGTTGAAATCATATTGTTTGTGAGCAGCTGCGCTGTTCTGAAATTGGTTGGCGGTCATCTGACTCAACAGGATCCACCAGGACAGAAGTTGTGTCCCTGCTTATCTATTTCCAGACACAGTCCGCAAAATCCCCAAAACATACTAGACATGGAGGGCAGGGCGTAGGGGTAAGGGGTTGAAAAAATCTACTTGAGGACTTTCAAACCAGGTGTGGTACTTCAGACCCACAGCAGGTCTCTTGTTATTTGTCTTTTGTTCTGGGATCTTGTATTTCAAAATGTTTTTAAACCAGCTACAGATACAGAATTAGATCCTGTGACTTTTACTTGCTTTCAAGGAAATGGTTGATATGATACATCACATGACCTCCACTGGTGGGGGTGAGTGAGGGTGCGGTGAGGCTTTGGTATCAGCTGTAAACAGCAAGTCTGATAACAAACACATTTAACTTTCCCTCATTGAAAAAAAAGACCGATATTTGACCTTCAGCCCTGAGATGTGAAAGCTCAAACTACAGGAGCTTAAGCTTCACTCCAGAGCTCCAAAGAGGTCAGTGTTTGACAGTGCATTCAGTGCTCATGTTTGTCTTTGCTGAGTTGACGAATACATGGAAAACCATTTTCAACCCCACCGTGGAAAAGGTCAATACTGAGGAAAGTCTTATCTCATGTCTGTACACACAAATAAATATTTCACTACTTTCATTCGAAATCTGTCTGTGTTAGCCTATCAGTGTAGAAGGACTGTCAACTTGGAAATGTCTCTGTATTCATAACAACAATTACTCAAAGTTTGTCCTCGACACGTCTCAACACGAGTTGGCAATTAAAATGTAATTTATACTAAGCATTTACTGAAGATATCAGATCATTACAGTAGAAGTTTATTACTAAACTACCTCACATAAAGTAAAGCATTACATTACTCCAGGACTGCAATAAGAAATCGTTTTACTGACTTGATTATTGAATTGATTATTTTGGAAGTTATCAGGTAAACAAATAGGTAATATTGTGAACTATAAGGGTTGTCCTACACCTTTATAATAAGTTCAGTAATTATTTTAAATATTTAATGTAATCTTTTTGGATGTGTTTTGCTTTCTTTTTTTTTCTTTTATTGGCAGTAAATGCGGGTTATCAGGCTTATATAGCCTTTAGAGTTTTTATCTGACAGTTGTTTGATATGACTGAAAGTCTGTGCAAAATGGTTCATGGCATAGTTGCCCAAATTAAAACAAATTGTGATTAAGATACTTGAGTTATTCCTAGCATCACTTCAAATCTGCTTTACTATTTAATCTAAGTTTGTTTTTAAAGATGTGAAACTGTTGCATGTTTTCCCTAATGCTACACCAACTTGTAAAAAACTTCTGTGAGAATGTTTTGGATAGTGTCACTTTTAGGGCTCCTGCTGAAAATAATAGTGTATCCCAATTATCAGATTCTGTCCTGTACAAGTTATTTGAATACATAAAAAAGCACATCAACTTACTTCATTCAATAAACCCAAATCTTTTTGAGGACATCTGAAAAGGTTGGAAAGAGGCTGTTCTTGCAGTGCACTCTCTCCTTGTCTGACACCAACCACACAGCAGAAGTTTTAGACAATACAAATCACTAAATACAAAGACTAATACATTATGCTGAAGATCTGGTTTGTTTTTGTAGCTCATAAAAAAAGATCAATATTAATTTCTGCCTCTTTAATAACCGACCAAAAAACCTTCACAGGAGCCTTAAGGACTAAATACATACTAATTAGGCTGTGGTAATATCCAAGAGACCAGCTGAGGGTTATGACACCATAAGACAACATTAGTATTGAGAGTAAATTTGCATTGTATTTCACTATTCTGCTTTTGTTCAGGATTTTAGCTCATGAAGCAAAGGAGGAGTTGACTCTACTTGCTTTACCCACCGGTTGAAACAACTATGAAACATCTAAAACAACATATAACTGACCTTTTATGACTTTATTTATTGCAGTTAAATTACTAAACCATTACCTGTAACATACCTACAGCTTATATAACGAAAAACTGTTACTCTGCCATGTGGAGGCTAACTCTTTAGCTAAAAGGTTCAGCGGTACCGTACCTCATGATGATGACTCAGAGGTAATAAACCAGCAGATTAATAGATCCACACTACTCGGCGCGTCTTCGACTCTCGGTTCGGCCGCTGACAGGGAAAAGGAAACGGCTAATGTGTAGTTTTTTATCTGTCGGAGCTCAGAGGAATGAGGAAACTGCTCCCTGACTGTCCGCCATCACTGCCTGTCGGTCCGCACGTACACAATGAGCACAGGGGGGAGGGGCCTGCTGCAGAGGGGCCTGTGTGGGGGCCCGCATAGCACCGTGAATTGCCGTGGTATATCCGCGGTCATGAGCAATTAATCACAAAAACATCCGTAAATTATTAACCTCCACTCTTATGGATGTAGAGGGCGAGATAAACTTGGACTTGTCTAAGAGGACACATCAAGAGCTTTACCAGAGGTATGCAAGAAAACATTTTGTCAAAGACAGACACCATAGCATTTCTTTAAGTTGTTCTCAGGCCCAGTTGTTCTGGAACGAGATCAATTGGACTAGCTTTCCATAACAACAACGGCAACAACAACAACAACAATAAAATAATAATAATAATAATAATAATAATAATAATAATGCTTTAAAAAAAGACACAATTTTAACAAAATCGCTGTAAATTAAAATTTCAATAGCTCACAGGAATTATATCCCACCAACACCAAACTAATTCTCATCTGTTGATAATCTCGATCTCACTGTCAAACTGTCACAGCCACAGGTGTTCAAAAAAACTTGAAAAACAACAAACACAAAAACTAATTGAACAGTCAATGCGCATCATTTAATCATATTCATCACTTTATCAATTGCTCACTGGAATTTCAACTTAACACGAAACTGCTTTTTGTTTGTTTATGATCTTATACTTTCACAGTCACCAGTTTTTTTGTGTTTGTTTGTTTTTAAAAAACATTAAATTTACACAAAATAAAGTCAATGAGCATCACTTAATCACCTTTATTATTTGTTTTTCGGGGCAAGTTTGGGATATGAAATGCTGTGAAAGTGATTATCGGCTAAAAATCGACACAAACGTAACAACCACTAAAGAGAGAAAACTCATAACTCGTTTAGATGACCAAGACATTTTAAAATAGTCGAAGCAGGTCTCTATATCTAAGGTTTTAGATTCAGCTGGAGGTCACACTGTTTTTAGCCGAGGTCGCTAACAGTTAGCTTTACCTATCACAATATCGATTTTCGATATAAGCCGGACCATTCTTCAGTGTTGACACCACAATCAATAAGGCTAATTTTTTTCACTGATATTACTCACACATTAAAGCTAGACAGATCACTAGATCACTTAAAAAAAACTAAGATAGCAGCCAAACCTCTGTGGCTAACAGTTAGCCTTGAAAGCAGGTCAGCTGAGGTTAGCTGTGTTGGCTAGCCGACATCTTTCACGCAAACAGAACCGCGGGTAGTTCAACTTACCGTGAGTTTTTGCCGTTGACTCTTGGCTTCGATGTCATAAGTGGTCTAAGATTATTTAGTGATACGTTAAAATGGAAAAAAAGTGTTCGGTTACGCCGGTGCGCTCACCAGCTGCTGCTCAATGTCACTACACGTAAAGGAAAGAAAAAAACTACGTCAGACTGGAGGTCTCGCGAGACGTGTCGAATCAACTGGCTGAAAAAGAATTAGAGCGAGACACCCCCCTGCTGGTGATACTAAATGCGAAATGGCAAAAAAGTAAGACATAGAGATAAACGGATACTATTGAGAGTAATCCAGGCCGAAGGATTTGTAAATTTGAACAATAAAATAATTAATTAATTAATTAATTAAAATAATAAAATAAAAAATAAAGGGAAAAAACGAGATCACTTTTAACTGAATTAAAAATAAGTGTTTGGAACTTTTCAACTCAAATAAAGTTTTGATTCATCTCTGGAATTCTTTTGATCAAATCTTTTTTTTTCCACTCTAAGATATAGTTTTCAAATTTGAAATGTTATTTTTTCAGTTGCAGGTATGATGTTTTTGGATAGGGTCTTATTTTTTGCGAATTTAAATCATGTTTTCAGGTTTGAGATTTGTTTTAACAGATTACATTTTTTCAGTTTCCAACTTTTGGCCACATTCTGGCGTGGGGGGTGGCATCAACTAAGAATGGTGTGAGTGACAGCATAACAAAGAAGGCTATGGGTTTTCCCAGATTATGTTGCCTTCAGGAAAAGTGGGTACTTTGAAAGAGTTGAAAATTTTATACATTTGTTTTTATTTCAGTTTCAAATATTTTTTCAATCAAAACTTTTTTTTTTTCAAATTAACAAACCTCTTGGCCTTGATTTAGCTCCATGTATACCACCTACAAGCTGCAACATCAAAGTGGTATGCTCAGTCATGCAATAATTACAACTGTAGCAATCAAGACAACCCTGTATGTGAAACATTCCTCGCAGGAAAGTTTCCTTATCTGGTCCCAGGACACAGGATATAAATCTTTCCAGACTTGTTTGGCCTTTCAGGTTACCTAACTGACCCGACCGGAGGCTGACCAAACCTCTGACCCTTCACTATTGGTCAATTCGGAGAACAGAGACAGAGATTTTATTACCTTTCAAACTGACACCATCGCTGACCATCTAAATAATCATTCATGCCTCAATCCAGGTCTCACATTTGGGATTTACTGTCTTAAACATATGGACCCCAAGGTAAGGTCTGAGGAGCAGGACACTGACCTCCAGACTTCAGTCTTAGAACCCTGCTCAACCATGTACTGATAAAAACTGCATTCTTTTGGAGAAAGAATACAAATGACTGATCATGACATCTTATACATTCAGCAATGTACTAATCTGTCTAATCAAGAAATTTGTGTTAAAATTAGATGTTTCCTGTTTTTCTATGTGCTTCAGAAGCCAAGTTATCACACTGACAGAATAAATCCTTTATTCTTTAGTTTCTTTAGACCAACAGCTTTTCAGACTGTTTCATAAACTTTTAAGAGTTAAATTTATTGACTATGAATCATAACTTTACTCTAAGTAACAGAAATGGTTTAGAAATGTTTGGTTTATATTTTAATCGTTTATTTAGTATTTTTAACCATTAGGTGGTTATAATGTCATTGAATAATCTGAATGTGAGTATTTAGAATCCATTATTAATCATGATGAAGTTCATTCACATGTGTTTACTCTTTTGTTGTTCACAGTTTCTATGTGTTACTATCTGTTTCAATTCAGAGTAATTTAGCATGTTCAATGTGATACTTAAAACATAATGAGAATGTTTGATGTGATCCTACATTTCATTCATGTGTTTAGTATCAAATCATTTATCATGAAACCAAGCATTCAATGATATTAATCATAGTGAGTGAGTATCAGATCTGACTCTTTTACCAGCCAAAAGTATAAGTTTGATCAAATAATTAGAGATCCAAGAGGTCTCCTCTGCAGATGGAGACCCCACGACCCCTCCTCTTTCTCCTCACACACACACACACCAGAGACACTCCCAGTGTGAGAAGATAAAACCAGAAAGTGGGGTTGCTCACCCGACCCTCACTCTCTTACACCCGCTTCTTCACTCACTGTCCACACCCTTCTTTGTTCCTCTTTCTTTGTTTTCTCTTAGCTCTTACTACTTAGTCTTACTTTTTCTTAGTCTTCTAAGTTTTACGCCACGTGTTCATACACATTGATTCTTCTTTAACATCGTCTTAGTTGAAGTTTTGAAACTTCAACTTTTTGTGCGCGTAGTGATTCAAGATTAAGCCTTTGATTGATTTTTCTTTAATTTCGCGAAGCCATTTTTGAAATAGTTTTCACTGGTCATCGAGCCTTTTTTTCCTGACTTATCTGCGTGATTTCAAAGTCACCTCTGAACGCCACCCAGCAGGCCCAAAGTCATCCTCTGTGCCAGAGTTTTTGAGTGAGACCAAAGAAGCGTCCAAACGAGCATCCACAGGATCCACAGGCGCCAGCTTTGCTTCGGGCCCGAGTGCTACAACTCCTGGCCCATCCTTCGGCTGACTTCAGTCAACTTCTGAGCTGAACAGCTCAAACCGCTGGTAGCCCTGGACCTTAGGAACCTGCTCCATCTTCTCCAAGGACCAGTCTCACTTAAAGGGGACCTGCCACCAAAATTTCATACCCATTTTTATCATTTTTTCATAATCCTTGATGTACTCTGATCATGTTTGCAACATAATTTTAGATGAAAAGTTATTTGATGGTTTGTTTTAGTATGCCTAAAAAACCTTATAGGAAAACCAACTGGCTTTGGCTCATTAACATTTATGGTAATGAGCTTTGCTCTGATTGGATCGCTGCTGTGAAGCCTGCTGTGCTCTGATTGGCTCAGCAGTGGAGGTTCGGATTTCAGTTTATCCATTGTTATTATGCTAATGCTAATAGCATATGCTAATGTGTGCTAAAGTAAGGTGCCCAGATGTCTGTAATGATATCCGGGGATTTTCGGTACTATTTAGTAGCAGCGCATGCCCCTTGTAATAACCCCGTAAGAACTGTTGTTTAGGACTGCTTACTTGTGCTTCCTACCTATTCGGCTACTGTAATAACCGTTGTTTGAGCCCACACGCAACATTTTTGTTCTCATTCATGAAACGCTTAAATCGGGGACATTTTCGGGGACAGCTTTTGCTGGGGACAGGTCATCCAATACGGGGACTGTCCCCAGAAATCGGGGACGTCTGGTCACCTTATGCTAAAGGCTAAAAGTGGCAGGTATTAAACCATATATTTTAGACCCCGAGTCCGAAGAGGAGGTGGAAGTTGAAGAAGAAGCCGGAGAGCTCCAGCGGTGTTTTCTCATTCATTCTGCCCAGCTTTAAGTTCATTTTCCCGGCAGTAAACCCAAGGAAACACCGGTCGTTTGGAAGAGCCCCATAGCGGATACAGTGGTAGCTGGGTCTCGCTCTGGAGAGTGACGTTCACTGTGACTGGGTACGAGAACGAGAGAGTGGGCGCGGCTCACCGAGGACGCGCTCGTGAATAATAATGAGCAACGTCAACGCGACGTCAGATGGACCTGCTTTTTCAATTGGCCTGGTTTACCCGTTCCTTTATTTTAAACCTTTACAGAATGCAAACGACGTAACTGTTTGTTTTCACATTTACAACATAAGACGAACATAATATGGACCTTATCTGACACAAAAAATTACATTTTTATGGCAGGTCCCCTTTAAGTATGCAAACCTCCAAAGCTCCAAACAGGGCTGATGCTGTCTCATGCTGTCATAACTCAGATATTCACTTATTCTGGTAATCCTAGGTTCATCCAAATCCACATCCAAATTCATCTTGACACCAAAGTTAGTGTAGGTTAATATGTTAGAGCATATTCACTCACTTTCATTAACTCTAGTGCTCCTAGCCTGACTCAGAATCTTTATTTATTCACCTATTATTATTTATCCTCATTATCTTATCATCATTTATTGAATGTATGTTGTACCATCATTTATCCTGTAATAAACAGATCATTATTTTTCTAAGTTCTGGTCTGTTAATGTTCTTCCAGAAGTGGAGTCCCTGAAATGAGAATTTTGGCTTAGAATATGAGATTGATTAATTTAAGATTGACTTAATGTTTGATTTCTGAATTAAACCTTTGTTTTTCTTTATTTTCCCACCATTAAAGGTGGGTGGTGCCCCTTTCAACGAGTGCATAAATGTTATAATTTAAGATTATTAATCTTCAGACATTTATTATAAATTCAAATCGCTACACAGCTAATTCATATTTTAATTCATATGTACTTACATAATTAATGTAAGTACATTTACATTCTATAATACAAGTGGTATGAATGCCAAAGCCTCACACTCTTAAAGCAAATATTGAAATATCAGAATGTAACCTATTTCCACTCTCTGATACTACTTGAAAGCTTTTGTGGAGATCTAGGATTTTCTCCAGCATCAAAAGACTCACAGTTCAGACAGTCCATGGCAAAACAAACATGGTAAACATAATCTTAAATATACAGAACCAGAGCAGCTCAGGGGTCTGAAAGGTGGGATGAATAAAACAGGTGCTAAATAAGACTTAAAACCTCTGATATGACCTTCACAGATCTTGTCATAGCTTGCAAAATAACTTAATTATGGTTGATTTAGACATAGTTCCTCCTAAAGCCAAAAACATATAGGATCCGTATTGAGCGCACTTCGTCAGCATCGTGTATTTGCTTCGTAGAGCAGCCCTGCATATCGCATACAGGATATTTCGAGCCTAGCAGTAGCGTAGTGCAGCACCGGTCAGCTGGGCTCAGTATAGAGGAAACAACATGCTCACAACAGGTTTTTATGCCTTTCTGTGGTCGATCTTCTGCTAATTTGGATATAATTAAGTGACTGTTGAGTCTCTACTGTATGTGAAAAAGCAACGTGATTTTACAGTTTCGGTTTTTGCAGGTTTACTCGTGTGTAATAAAGTAAACAATGTTCCTTTATGCTGTGCTGTTACCTTTAGACAGAGTTAACAGTTAAAAGTCCTGTTGGGGTCCACATGGATCAGGGATTGACCGTTGGATTGTTCTGTGTTACTAATACATAACCAGGAAGTATTTCTCATCTACAGGAGCTGATACTCAGTTGGGTGTCTGCATAAGGTGTTTTATTTGAAAATACCGGATGATATTTCATGCTTGACATCCTGTCTAAAACAATCTTTTCTGTGTGGATTGACGGGTATTTGGAAGCGTAGAGCAGCAAAAACAGGCCAGATCCCAAACTGCTCCCTACACACTTGCCCTACACACTCCCCCTCTGTTTGTGCGTCCCTGCGGAGGCTCCCCCATATTGAAGGCCGTCCCAAACCACAGAGTGAGGAGGGCGAGTGGACTGTTCAGCTCTCAAACAGTGAGTCTGCACCAGTGCACACTTACAGTGGGATTTGCAGATAGTGTGCTGGCAAAAATGGAAGAGGAGGAGGAAACAACATAGAAATATAAGTACCACTTGTGTCCACCCTTGTCTCACTGACAAAAAAAAAAAAATCACAAAAGACATGGTTTGGAGAGATCAGGTGATTACATTTCATTTTTAATGTGATAAAGAAATAAAAGTAGTCGTGTTTTATGAGGACATTTCTGATCATGAATAATTACACATGGATTAACAACTATTTTTTAAATTCAAAAAGGCACTACATGTGTTTCGTCCTGTGTCTTTTTCCTGATTTAATTTTATTATGTTACCATCTGACATTTCATGCAATATTTATTTTAGAGATTGTAACAACATGTGCAGGGAAGGGGAAACGATCAGGTAAAATACTTAAAAATAAACTAAACGCACACAGGGTGAAGCTCGAAAACATCGCGAGAACATAGGCTTCCACGTCACCCTTTTTTTCATTTTGTCGCAAAAATAGAAAAGAAAAGCATTTTGTCTATACAGAACTAAAACACGACACAACTAAACACGTATAAATACCGGACACAATCGTAATTTTAACCCTAAGGACTTTGTTGCATACGAGTCACTCTAACCATTTTGTCTTGTACGGGTAAGGCTGTCCCAATTCTTTTTCTATTTTTATTCTTAAACATATTAGATTAAAAAAACAAACAAACGGTTTGGTAAATATATAGCAATTAAAATGGAAAAAAAGAGACATACTTCAGCTCTACATCAAGTCAGTGGCTGTGATGTCGTCACGTGATCTCGTGCAGCACCCCCGTGTAGGCGGAACCAGAGCGGAACAGCGAGTCAGCTGTCTGTGATGTAGATTTCGAGGACTAAAAACCTCCTATATTTCTTCATATTCGAGGAGATTGGACTCCATTAAGGTTTGTAAAAGAGCATTTTTAAACGATCAGGAAACCGACGGTTAAGTCACGGGAAAGCTGCCGCATCGGGGAAATGTCTGCAGACTCCGGAAACAGAAACACGAACACGGAACCATGGGGAAGCTTCGATGACAACCTCATCCAGGTTAGCTAACATGCTAACAAAACCGCTTAACTGTTATTACCAGCATACCAACTAGTATCCAGCCTGCTATGTAACATGCAGACCAGCTACAGCAGAACTATCGGTCTTTTTTAGATATAGACAGGGAAGTAGACCTGTTACATTTGGTGAGCAGTCTGGACAGCTTCACCGACAACACTGAGCACTAACTACGACCAGAATAACAAGCTCATACTGATCTGTAGAGACAATTAACATGCACTCTGTGCTATAGCGTCTACAAACTGTCAGAGGAGACAAGTATATGACACGGCATCTACGATGATGACAACAGGACAGGTAAACAATAAACATACACCCGAGTGAAGTGTGAAGAAGTTTTGACCCCGACCTCTAGATACTTTTGAGATGAGCATACCGCCAGACATCTGTTTAAATGTCTCCATCAACCCAATAATAAATAATAAGCTTATTCTGCTGCTCCTTTTGGACTATTTACTTAGACCGCCAATGGCGCTTATAAATACAATGTATCACTTTTATTATTATTATTATTATTATTATTATTATTATTATTACTATTATTATTATTATTATACTGCCAATAATGAGAGAGCGGTTGGCCGTCATATCAAACCAATATCCCAATGTTAAATGTTGCTGTTAAAAAAGTCATAGCCATGATTACAAGAACATTAAGATGTGTTATATACATGGTTTTCTTAACTGGTAACCATAGATTTTTCTCACCCTTCTTGTTTTTTTTTCCCTTGAATTTGTAAAAAAACAAATACATTGAGTAGTGTTAGATTTCAGAGCATGGCTGATATTATTGCCAGAGGCAATATTGAACTGTATTATTATTATTACTGTATTATTATACACACCATCATAGAATTTATACTTAATCTAGCCATCTTAATCTTCCTTTCTTACCCAAAGTCCGCTTAGAGGGTCCAGATCAGGGACCAAATGTTTACATTGTTGCGTTTTGCATTTGGTTCGGTTAGCATTCACATGGGACTTTTGCTAAGTGAACCAACTGGTTAAAAAAAGAGGGGAAATTACAAGGGAAAATCACTGTCTGTCACCTGCTCATTTGGGGCACAATCTTTATTGTCCCACAACACACAGAAAGTAGCCGACCAGAGAACTATAGGTGTCTTGCTTCATGCAATTTGCCAGAGGTGGCAGAGATGTGCGAGGAGATGCCAGGCATTAATGAAAAGGACTGCCTATAACACATTGTTAGCGTGTTTGTTTAACAAAAGAAGACCCAGATATCTATTTTTTTATCACCTGACTATTGTATTAGAACACAAACCCTCCACCAATTGTTAAGTTTTATGGACAGTCCAGTGTTTTGACCAGCTGTTCTCTGTCTGCTGCAACCTGTGGCCGGGTATAATTTCCTGGCTTTCTTACAGTTTAAATGTATCACTGGTTATTGACATACTAAAAGTCTGGCTGCATCAGCGCTGCAGACCGGACCATGGTTTGTTTGGAAGGGGACCGAGTCCTGCATTTTCAAGAGGACCATGGTCTGTTTGTTTGATCCAGACCACAGTGTGCTTGCGTGTTCATACTACCCGGACCAAAGGAGTAAGGGGACCATGGTCCTTTTAGAACGAACCAAACAGTCCTGGTAAGAATGCCCCCTTAGGGCTCTATTTTCGTGCTTCGCCGGAGACGTGGCGCAGGCGCAGCGCAAGTCAGGTTTGCCGCACCGACAAGGTGTTCCCAAGCACAATTTGGTATTTTGGTGAGCAGCGCAGCCCGGCGTAAGTATTCCCCCTCCCTAACTCAGCTCCTCCCAGCGGCGTAAGTCGTAGCGAGGGAGGAGAGAGGGCGTGGAGTGGGTTTAACACAGGCGAGACCTGTATTGATCAATAACATCAGCTCCTCTCCTCACTCATCTGATCACCGAAACAGATCATCTGTTCAGCCACCGCAGCAGCAGCTGCAGCAGAACGGATAGAGGACATGGAGACATGTCCAGGTCGAGCTGCTTGAGAAATAAGAGGAATAGGAAGAAAGAAAAGGAGGGAGACGAATTACATATCTTGTTAACTTCATCATGTGTGTTTATTTACTAGATATTTAATTTAATTTAATTTAATGCGGTTTCAGCTGTGTTGATTTGGTCAGGTTGTGTGTCCAAACGCGTGCCAGATGTGCTCATCAGATCAGATATAGATCAGAATATATCAATATAGATCTAAATGTATGTGCTGACTCAGATTATTGGTTGTTGTTGATTATTTATTGCACTGATATGTGCCTGACACTGCGGAAACCTGCCGGTGAGGCATCGGTGACGTATGCTGGTACGCCGCCGGTCTACCAAAATACCTCTAGACCAGCTGTGCTACGCCTGCGCTGAAAGCTGACCAGGTTTGAATCGGCGAGCCTTCAGCGCACTTTACACGGCGGCAGCAAGCACGAAAATGTCACTGCACCAGCTGATTCTGTCGACACCTCCCCCTGCCACGCCACCAAACCCAGCTTGGCGGACCTCAGTGCGCCTCAGTCTAAGAAAAATACCAAACTGGCTGTACACTGGGCTCCACCAGATGAAAATACCACTGCGCTGGGTCCACCACCCTCTGCCGCATCCCCAGCGGACACGAAAATAGAGCCCTTAAAGTTACAGATATGGTACCAAGCAAATAGTGCAGATATACTCAGTTACACACAGAAGCCCTGCAGTTCAAACCTCACCTTAGCCTTTATTACACGTATTATAGTCCTGAATATTTAAAGCAGGGTTTTTCCTGCGTTCAAAATTGCGTGGCGGCCGCCTCCACCTAATTTTGTGCCGCCCCCAGCCAGAGCGATTGATTTCACTCAACACAGCGTAAAGCTCCAGCTGTGTTGATTGAGCGATTGATGTCCCTCTGCAGCAGCAACGTATTCTAACTGCAGTTGCAGCGTTGCGCCACTATAGAGGCGCTATATCAACAGCAGTGCACCGGAAAGACCTGAAGCATCTACCGAAGAAGAAACGGATCGACTCATGTTTTTTCAAGTTTTTTTCCCGCTAGTTGGTGCTATCGGCGTCCTGATTTTCCCTGGCGGATGGTACAAACAGGTAAATACTGCTTGTCTTTTTTGCATCCAAGCATGTCGTGTTTATTAAAACAAAAAGTTTCCTCCGTTTTTTAGCGTTGCAGATATGACAGGCAAAATCAGCCAGTACTTTAGAAAGCGACCTCGCAAGGAGGAAAGTCAAGAGTCCAGGTGAAACACAGCAGAGAAAAAACGGGCAGTTAAATGCTATATTTCATGGTGGTGTAAACGTGGAAATTTGTGTCAGGTCTGAAAGTACTTCACAAGGGACTGGTGATCGCGAGGGTAAGAATGCAGGACAGGACGAGTCGGCGAGGCGAGGGTAATTAATTAATTAGTTTCCAATTAGGAGCATAACAACGCAAAACCAACGTGTACGTGGTTTTTATTCCTCTTTCTATAACTTCTCAAAAACACAGAGCCAGTGGCTTTGAAAAGCAGTGGCTCAATCAATTTACCTGGCTCAGGCATACTGAGGAAGGCATGCGCTGCTATTTATGCCAAAAGCACTGTGCCCCAACACAGCAGGCAATTGCTGCCTCCTTAGTGAGACAGCCATCAACCAACTACAGGCTGGACACATTAAAAAGACATGAGGTGACAGCCATTCACAAAGCAGCAGAAGAGAAGGAGAAGTATATTAAAGATGGTAGTACCTAAAAAAAAACCTCAACTAATAAAGTTACAAAAACTAAAATAACATAGTTTAGATAGTTTAAGAAATAATTGGTTGTTGTTCTTTTTTGGGAGGACACTCCAGCGTATACATATAAATAATATATGATTGAAAACACTATCACTCTTCATGTCTGTATCAGAATAAAAACAAAAATACTTAATGCATGATGAATTGTGTTTTTTAAGATGAAGACACCTCTGCGGAACAGACTGAAGGAGAGGCACTTGGATGTCTGTTGTAAGGTGGCCGTTGATGGACCAGACCAGGAGGCCTTGGACTACAAGGAGTGCATGAGGAGGTTCTACAGAATGAAAAAGAGGAGGCTGAAATGTTCTGTCTGGTTGCGAGATGTGTGGATGAAGTGTACTTTCAATTTAAAGTTGCCAGCTGATTTGTGTATGTATATAGTTTTAATAAATGAATGCTTTAACATGATAATGGTCACACTCTTTTTTGAACTCTTAACTTAAAGTATGTTGCCTGTAAAAGAAAGTGAGTCAGTTGAATTTACAAATACATGCACGTCATGGCGCATGGTCAGGATGGTGCCACCTCTGCCTCAATTTGAGCCAGGAAAAACCCTGTTAAAGTATCACTGTGCTCAATATTTAAAGTATGATAATCCTGAATATTTCAAGTATCATAGTGTACAGTGGGTACGGAAAGTATTCAGACCCCTTTAAACTTTTCACTCTTTGTTTCATTGCAGCCATTTGCTAAAATCAGAAAAGTTCATTTTATTTCTCATTAATGTACACTCAGCACCCAATCTTGACAGAAAAAAACTGAAATGTAGAAATCTTTGCAAATTTAAAAAAAAAAGAAAAACTGAAATATCACATGGTCAGAAGTATTCAGACCCTTTGCTGTGACACTCATATTTGACTCACATGCTATCCATTTCTTTTGATCCTCCTTGAGATGGTTCTACTCCTTCATCGGAGTCCAGCTGTGTTTAATTAAACTGATTGAAATTGACTAGGAAAGGCACACACCTGTCAGACCTTACAGCTCACAGTGCATGTCAGAGCAAATGAGAATCATGAGGTCGAAGGAACTGCCCAAGGAGCTCAGAGACAGAATTGTGGCAAGGCACAGATCTGGCCAAGGTTACAAAAGAATTTCTGCGGCACTCAAGATTCCTAAGAGCACAGTAGCCTCCATAATCCTTAAATGGAAGAAGTTTGGAACGACCAGAACTCTCCCTAGACCTGGCTGTCCAGCCAAACTGAGCAACTGTGGGAGAAGAGCCTTGGTGAGAGAGGTAAAGAAGAACCCAAAGATCACTGTGGCTGAGCTCCAGAGATGCAGTAGGGAGTAGGGTTGGGTATCGAGAATTGAGTATCGATGGGGACTAACATTTCGATTCTTCCGGTATCGTTCAAATATTAAAATTTTTGATTCCAAGTTTCGATGCTGGAGTCCGCCGACCGGAAGAAATAGCTGCCGAAAATCAACGAAGAAGAAGCCGCTTAACACCAATGTGGACGGAGCGTATGAGACGAAGCCACACAGAAAGTGAAAAGAGACAGAGAGAAAGTACATTGCAACCCACAGCAATGCAGCCACTGTGGGTTACAATGCACTCTCTCTCTCTGTCTCTCTCCTCTCTCTGTGTGACTTCGTCTCATACGCTCCGTCCTCGTTGGTGTTCGGCAGCTTCTTCTTCGTTTGTCAAAAGTTTGGCTAACTTTAGCAGGAAGAATGAACTCTTATCTCAATGCAACATTAGCAATACAGTTATATCATGCAAAGGAGGGCAAACGACCAACATGATTAAACACCTCAGGATTCATGGAGGAGAAATACCCGAGTGCTCGTCTTTGATGCGCTTTGCCGGTGTTGTGCCATAGAATGAACCCCTGCCGTTGAATGCACCCCTGACGGGAGCGTGGTTGAAAGTACACAACAAGGCGAAACAATCCAAGTTTTCCTTACAGTTGAACAGAATCTTAAGTGTGTGCCTTTAATGATTTCATTCAGGCTATTCAGATATGCCGAAAACAATAGCCCTCTGATTCTGAATATTTACTGTCCTGAAAATATAATGTTCTCTACCTTAACAGCTTACTGTACAGTTTATATACCCAAGTACACCTCTATGTGTGCATTTTTGAGACACATAAAAACAAAACGAAAGTTAACTGCTCCATTTGACATGTTTTCATCATCTAATACTCGTGTTTTTTTTAAATATGAGATCATTGTCTTCCACTTTAAGAAGCTAATGAGTGGAGGGGAGGCATTCTACGGAAGGGGTGCATTCTACCGCACAACACCTTTCTTCCGCTAACCAGTCAGGATCAGATAAGTGAAACAATAAATTACTTCTGTGCTCTGCCAACATTGAAGCGGTAAACAAATTGTACTGAGTACGGTGAGCAAACTTAAATATCCAACTAACGTTAGCCCTTGTACTTTTTCATAGACAAACGACCTGACAACAAAAATTGATATATACTGGTTGAAAATAGCCCTGTGAGAAATTCATAGTAAAGTTCTTAAAAAGTTAATATGATTTAAAAATTCATGGAGAAGTTCAGAAATTTCATCTAAAAAGAAGAACTCTGGTTAGCGCCCTCATCCAACCTTTGCTTTTTTTTTTTTTTTTTTTGATATCCTGCCTTTTAAAAGAATTGAAATAGGGAATCGATAAATCGGAATCGTTCAAAATCAAACGATACCCAACCCTAGTAGGGAGATGGGAGAAAGTACCACAAAGTCAAATATTACTGCAGCCCTCCACCAGTCGGGGCTTTATGGAAGAGTGGCCCAACGAAAGCCTCTCCTCAGTACAAGACATATAAAAGCCCGCAGAGAGTTTGCCAAAAAACACAAGAAGGACTCACAGACTATGAGAAATAAGATTCTCTGGTCTTATGAGACCAAGATGGAACTTTTTGGCATTAATTTTAAGCGGTATGTGTGGAGAAAACCAGGCACCGCTCATCACCTGCCCAATACAATCCCAACAGTGAAACATGGTGGTGGCAGCATCATGCTACGGGGGTGTTTTTCAGCTGCAGGGACAGGACGCTTGGTTGCCAAGTACAGAGATATCCTGGAAGAAAACCTCTTCCAGAGTGCTCAGGACCTCAGACTGGGCCGAAGGTTCACCTTCCAACAAGACAACGACCCTAAGAGCACAGCTAAAATAACAAACAAGTGGCTTCGGAACAACTCTGTGACCGTTCTTGACTGGCCCAGCCAGAGCCCTGACCTAAACCCAATTGAGCATCTCTAGAAAGATGTGAAAATGGCTGTCCACCAACATTCACCATCCAACCTGACAGAACTGGAGAGGATCTGCAAGGAAGAATGGCAGAGGATCCCCAAATCCAGGTGTGAAAAACTTGTTGCATCATTCCCAAGACTCATGGCTGTACTAGCTCAAAAGGGTGCTTCTACTCAGTACTGAGCAAAGGATCTGAATACTTCTGACCATGTGATATTTCATTTTTTCTTTTTTAATAAATTTGCAAAAAATTTCTACATATCTGTATTTTTTCTGTCAAGATGGGGTGCTGAGTGTACATTAATGAGAAATAAAATAAACTTTTCTGATTTTAGCAAATGGCTGCAATGATACAAAGAGTGAAAAGTTTAAAGGTGTCTGAATACTTTATGTACCCACTGTAGATACCATAGACTGTATATAGAATGGATGTCGTCTGCCTCCTCACTGGGTGAAGCCATGGCAAGAACAGCACCCTCTGGTGACGGGCTGCAGTATAGGTCATAAATTCGCCTCCTCTAGCAAACTTTATGGAGCTGTGGACAAACTTTAGAAATTAATTACACAGAATATAAATTTTTCTCCCCCTGGTCATGATGTTGACATGTAGTTACTGTAAAGGTCCTTACACACCGGGGCCGACGTGAATAAAGAATGCGAAATTACAAAATATTCGGAGGAGAATTTTGACACCCCTGATTATACGCATCAAGCCCGATGCAATTTTGCGACTTTCCGGGGGGGAAAAGACGCATCTCGGGTGGATGTGAGAAGACTGACACAACAGCAGACTGACTGTTTTTCAGTTCTGAGTAGACACTAGTGTTGAGATGTCTGTCTGTCATGATAGCATGTACTGAGTCGGGCCAGTGCCAGATAAGCACATTAAATTTTAATCCATAAACATAAGGTAACAACCAAGACCTAATGGTGCTGTGACAGCAACGTGTAGTGAAAATACAGATGGTATGTATCTGAACAGGTTGGCTTAAGAGCTAAAGTTACAGAGCACTGATGAAAGTTAAAACAAAGACGTTCAGCAAACTGTTAAAGCACACAAACCATGGTCATATGAGAAACCCGACGCTATGACTCTCCACAAATTGTCCTTCAGGTTGTTATCTTTGTAATATTTGTGTCTTTTATTAAAAAGCACTTTCTTCTCCGACATGTAAATGATCAGCCAGTCGGCTATGTTGGATATACCGGTGAGTCAGACGTCAGAACAACACACAATCTGATTGGTCAGATGTGGACACACAGTATGCGAAACTTTAGAAAAATCGTCCATGATCTGAAAAAATAAATGCCACAATATCGCAGGACGGGAAAACGTCGCTGATGTGGACGCTTGTATTGACAGGATACGGCTTCAAAAAAAAATATTGACATCCGAAATAATCGCACGACAAAAGCAGTCCCGGTGTGAAAGGATCTTAAGACTGGTTTGTGCTCCTCTTTTTTCTGTACAGCTCCATTTTAAAAGTTATTAGGGGGTTCATGTTTTTTATGATTGACACTTGATACAGCCTATGGGCGTACGAAGATTGTGTACCTCACCTGGGGGATACGCTGTTTGAGCAGAGCATCATCACAGCGACTCTCCTGCCGAATGCATACAATGCTACTGCGCAAGTGGTGGTTCCAGGAAGTGGAAAAAAATCCAAAATCACAGAGAGAAATTTTGCTTCAAGTTTGTAGTATGACAGAAGGCAGAGCCAAGTTGTCCATACAGTCTATGATAGGTACAGCTGTATTACTTCAAGTCACAGCATTACTGTGCTGATTAGATGATGAAATCAGCCCTCTCCTGTATATCCTTTGTTATATCACTCTGTTCCATTGGTGGTGTGTTAAGGGCAGCAGCTCAGCTGTCGTTGACATGGAGAACATGGACGACACATCAGGCTCCAGCTTCGAGGACATGGGGGAGATGCACCAGAGGATGAAGGAAGAGGAGGAGGTGGCAGCCGAGGCAGCCGCTGCTGAGGATGACACAAGTGAAGATGGAGAGTTTCTGGGAATGAAGGGGATCAAGGGGCAGCTGGGTCGACAAGTGGCTGATGAGGTGAGTTGAGGTCTGATTTCAAAGTTTTAGCTTACTGTCACAGTGGATCTGCCTCAACTTGTGTGAAATGTTCAGGTGTGGAAAGCAGGGAAGCAGCAAGCCTCCAGAGCATTCAACCTGTACGCCAACATCGACATCCTCAGGCCGTATTTTGACGTGGAGCCAGTGCAGGTCCGCAGCAGGTACTGTTCTCTGCTTCTTATTTCCTATCAGCTGTTTTCTGTTTCCTGATGCTAACTCCTGCAAACTGTCACCTCTCAGGCTGATTGAGTCCATGATACCAGTTCGCATGATCAACTTCCCCCAGGTACTCCCTTCCAACATCTTCTCTTTATCATGTTGTCTCTTTATAAGATCAAAATGATACAGGGACAGGTTTAAACTCAAGCTTGGACTGATCCTGCAGACATATGTTAGTCTAGTTCAAGCCTCCTTTTCCAAAATAAGAGCTTTTTTCCCCCTCTTCATTTACATTAAATTAAATTAAATTAGATACAACTTTGTTTATTCTTTTTTGAAGGTTCCTTAAAGAAAATTAAAAATTAGAAATTACTGTGGTACTCTGACTTGGGTTTAGGTCCAGGTTCAAGGTCCAAGCTGACATCATAGTTCAGATTCAGTTTCTGTATCAGGCCAAGGTTCAGGTGATGGTAGAGGCTCAAGCTCAGTCCTCTTACAATTTCATGCCACATGTGCAGAAAATTGCAGGTGAGCTGTACGGTCCTCTGATGCTGGTCTTCACACTGGTGGCGATCCTGTTGCATGGCATGAAGACATCAGGAACAGTCATTGTAAGAACACACACGCACTGACACACTTGTGAGCCTCAGTTAAAGTGTTTGGTGTTGGTCATGTTTTTCTTAAATAGCTGCCAAAGTTAACACTGCAGTGTTACTGACACACGGTGTGTTTGTGTGTGTTACAGAGGGAGGGGACCCTGATGGGAACAGCTATAGGAACTTGTTTTGGTTACTGGCTCGGTGTTTCCTCCTTCATCTACTTCTTGGCATACCTGGTTAATGCTCAAATCACTATGCTGCAGACACTCTCCCTGCTGGTCAGTATTTTGAAAGCAACACACAGTACACACACAGTACATTCACAGTACACACACAGAACATTCACTGTACACTAGGGTTGGGCTGTAATAACGTAATAAGGTATACCGGGGGTGTCAAAAGCAACGGTATCAGTTTCAATACTGTCAAAGCGCCGGCGCTATCTTTTGTATACCCGGAGTGTTATTACTGTAACTCCGTCAAAGTTTGTCCGATGAGAAATAATTCAACAGTGTTGGAAAGCTTAGAATTGTGGGCATTCGCCTATACAGGATTTACTACGATAGTTGTAACCACGTGAGGTAAGCAGTTATTGCAAAACATAGGAAGTATCAGCAGAGCGCCACACAGCTTCTCAATACTGTAACTCCTTAAAAGTTTGCTCAATCTTAAAAATTCCAACGCTGACAGACAGCCGAGTATCTGTGCTTTCTGTCAATATATGATGTATGGTTTATATTACGATAAACTTGAACGGTACTACCAAAACCACAACTTTGACAGAAGATGAGGAAGAAAGGGAGAGTGGAGTAAGAGCGTGAAGTCAGGCAGAGCAAGCAAAATAGTATTTTTTTTTTAGTAATATAGTAATAGATAGAAGTAAATAGTAGTAATAAATAGGTGACCGTGAGAGATGGAAACAATTCTAACCTACGAAAGTATCTTCGAATCAACCACCCACTCACTGCTGCGAGGATGCATTTGGCCCTGAGTTCGCTCAGTGCAGCAGTTTCACTGTTACCGCTGATACCAAATCAGGACCAAAAACAAGTCCGCCTCCACAGCGGACAATAATGAGGGCCTTAGGGAAAAAACAAAGCACAAAAGGGACCGTGTCCATTGGAAAACCTGCACTGATGCAGTGACAAAATAAGAAGGAAATGGTCTTCTTCCATGTGGTGAAAAAGAAGTATTCTGCGCAAAAACTGTGCTGGATGGTCAGGTTAATTTAATTGTTTTACTGTTGTATTTGAACTTTTTTATAAGCTGCCCTTTTTTGTCATTCAGAGTTGCTCAGGCTGTGATTTAATTTAATTGATGTGTGTACGGCGCATCCTGCGCAAAAACTATTCTAGGTGGTTCTGTTAATTTGTTTGACTGTTGTGCACTTTTTTGCTGTTTTTAATAAAAGTTGTTTATATTGTGCACAGTATGTTATTATTGTTCCATGTTAAGTGTTTGGTATTCAGTTTCTGAATGGTGTAGCAAGCAAACAGTTTGGTGATGCTGTCTGAGCTTTAAGTCATGGTTTTAATAAGTCATGGTAATACAGTATATGACAGTAAAATGTGGAGACGGTATGATGGTATCAAAATCTGGATACCGCCCAACCCTACTGTACACACACAATACACACTCAGTATGCAGGTTTAATATGCTCTGTATGAATTGGGGGATGAAGTTTCATTTCATGACATCACTTCCTCTCTGCTGTCACCAGGGTTACGGTCTCTTTGGTCACTGCATTGTCCTCCTCATCACCTACAACATCCACTTCCACTTCTTGTTCTACATCCTCTGGCTGTTGCTCGGAGGACTCTCCACTCTGCGCATGGTGAGGACCGTGTTTCCCATCAGCGCTCTTGCCCTCAACTAGGCCTGTCGCGATAATCAATAAATCGCCTGATCGCTCAGTAAATAAAAACGAGGTCGGTAACTTTGCCAGCCTCGATAATTAACGTGCGTTTGTTTGCACACACGCACACAGACACACACACACACAGACTTACTGACACAGTGCGGAGCAAACGCAATGAATGATGAAACGACAGCTTTGGTGTCTAAGCCCAACGCAACAGCTCCAGTGTGGGAACATTTCGGTTTCAAATAAAATGAAAGAGGTGAGCCCACAACCACGGACGATATGTTGCTTTTGTTCAAAAGTTTTGGTGACAAAGAAGGGGAATACGACGAACATGCATGCGCACCTCAAGCACAATCATCCGTGGGGATGATTGTGCTTGAGGTGCGCATGCATGTTCTTTGTTGACCTGTTGAGGAATAGCGCACAAAGCTAATTATTTAGGGCAATTTTGTTTACAGACTCGAGACTCCACTTTATTTATTGTTTTAATAGTTATGTGTGGAGTGAAGTTTTTGTTCCGTACCAGAGACGAGGTCTATTTTTTTATTATTTGTAGTTGTGATTGTGGTTTTTATTTGAATGCAGTTTTTGATAAAACAGAATGTGGGTCCATTTTATTTTCATTGCTTTTTGGTTGTCTTGTTTGTTTATTACATTTGTTCATCCTAGTTCAAAGTTCTTAATCTTGAGCAATTAAAGTTTATTGCTTTTGACATGGTGTACTCGCATTATTATGCCATATATTATAATTATCTATAATTTAAAAAACGGTGTCAATAATATTGTTTATCGGCAATAATTTGTCGCACAATTATCGTCCAGCAAAATTTGTTATCGTGACAGGCCTACCCTCAACTGTGAGCTCACCTACTTTTTGTGTCTTGTTGTATTTAGGTGGCGGCCCTACTGTCTCGGGCGGTGGGTCAGACTCCTCGGCTCCTCCTCTGTGGGACTCTGGCTTTCCTCCACATGCTCTTCTTGCTCTATCTGCACTTTGCCTACCACAAGATTGTAGAGGGTGAGGAACTACAACATGTGACCTTGACTGTGTCGTTACTGAGGACATATGACTTTTAAAAGTTCCCCTGGCGATGCTTTACTTAATGTTTCTGAGTATCTAGGTGATTAATGAATGACTACTTTAACATTGTTGTACGCCTGAAATGCTGGCCATATTTTGTGTCTTATCTGTGGTTGAGCCACCCCTGACCAACCTGGGCTGTAGCTGTGGTTTATACCTACTTCTGTTACGCTTTGAAGAAACACAGATGATTTTGATCTAGAAAAGGAAGACAAAATTGCATGCTTATGGTGTCTGGTTTAAACAGGTTTGCAACCACTTGACAAGAGCAATGTGTAGCCAGCACAGATTTATGGATACTAACCTGCAAGGAGGTCCTGCAGGCTGTGATTTCTAGTCCTACTTGAAACACTTAATAAACCAGATAAACCAGTATTGTAACAAGAGTTCCCCTGCAGACTGTGATCCTGTGTTGAGCTGTGGTCAAGAATTATGCTTAGTTTTGACTGGTTTCTTACCGTTATACTACTTGGCAAGTCCTAATCTGGGTGAGTCACTTTAAAGCTCCTATTGGGAGTTTTTTGACATTCATGAATTAGACTGACATTCGTATCAGTGCTTTTTCATGTTATCCAAAAGCAAACAAAACCAGAAGCAATAAGATTGAATATTTATATGTCCTTACTTTAAAAGCATTGAACCAGTATGAGGCCTTAAACCCAAAGGATCTTTGTTGCAGCCCGGGTCAGTTGGTTCCAGTATATCGAAAACAACATGCTCACAACAGGTTGTTTGGCCTTTCTGTGGTCGATTTTCTGCTAATTTGGATTTTATTCTGTGTTGATTTTATTCTTTACTGTTGGGCTTCTACTGTTTGTGAAAAAGCTATGTGATTTTAAAGTTTTGGTTTTTTGCAGGTTTACTTGCATAGTAAACTATGTTTCTTTATGCTGTGCTGTTACCTTCAGACAGAGTTAGCACTTCAAGGTCTTGTTGGGTTTGACATGGATCAGGGGTTGGCCATTGGATTGTTCTGTGTTATTGATAAATCCATAACCGGAGCCTGTTTTGCCTTGCAAAGATCCTCAATTCTTGGTGCAATGTTTGATAAACAGCCACCATCCGGTAGAGAGGCTAAAACCTCCGGTGGCATACCGAGGATCCTTACTCATGCATGCAGCAGCAGCAATCAGATGTAAACATCGGTATTAAGTGTAATGAACTTCATCACCAGAGTTTCCACTGTTTAACGGAGACCTCACATAAAATAATGGAGGGAAAAATGTCTTACCTTCATTCTGTTGTCTAAAACAGTCAGCATTATCACTCAGCCAGCTCCAACAGTTTAAAAATCCACCGATATTATTCCCGTTTACATCCTGTTTGAATCCTGTTTACAACCTCACGGTCAGCGTCTCATCCATTTGCGTTTTTAGCGCTGTTTAGGGTCAGCCGGCTCAGTCGTTTATTTCCTGGTCCTCTTCCACCGGGACACGGACCGCGTCTCGGTTCCGATGCGGTGAGTTAGTCACGGCCTGTCTGGACCTGTGGTCTGGACTCCGTACCAGGTCCAGTGATGCTCCTGCTGTCGGCCTCTATCAGGACACCTGAAGCTGAAGCGAGCTTAAACTTTTTTTCACACAATGCGAATGGATGAAACGCGCTGACCGCAAGAAACGGGATTTGAATAATATCGGTGGATTATTAAACTGCTGGAGGTGGATGACTGATAATGCTGACTGTTTTAGACTCCAGAGTGAAGGTAAGAAATATTTCCTGAAGGCTTGATCAGTTAGTTATGTCTCTGCTCGGATGTGTGGTGGACAGAGATCAGGACGTTTAGTATATTTTGAGGTCATGTTTCCTCTGTTATTTTATATCAGATCTCCGTTAAACAGTGGTGTGGTGTGATGAGCCCCTGTGAAAGCTGTAGCTTTGTGAACACAGATGGGTCTGTGTGGATGGGAGGAGACGGATGTGTTAATGAGGGACTTTGGTGATGAAGTTTATGCAGTTAATATCGATGTTTACTTCAGATTGCTGCTTTGTGTGTTTGCGTGCGTGTGTGTAACGTTGTGAAGGATCCTCGGTGTGTGAGCCTCTCTCCCTGCAGTGATTGATTGTCACCGGTCGGTCGAAGCAGGACGCTTGTCCTGCTTACTTGGTTGTTTGAGTGGCTGGGGCAAAATAGTAGGAAATTTTATTGACACTTTCCATGCTGTGCTGCAGCTTCTGGATGAGGTAGGCTGTAAATTGGTCTATTTCAACTACTTGGGACTCTGCTACATCTCCTTTGTACTAATAGCCGGTGAGTTCATCACTGGAGCTTTGAGACATCACTGGTCTGCATACTAATTTTACATTAAGTGCCCTTTAAACTACTTGGCAAGGATTGAAAGTGTTTCATTAAACCTGCCAGAGTCAAGCAGAGGTGCAGTGCTGTGTCATGATGGATAAAAGACAACGTGTTCAGTAAAACTCAGAGTGCAATCATATTGCAAAAACAAAGATGCACATCAACACTTTCATTCAGACTTTAACTCAAGGTTTGTGTTGTTTAATTAAATGACTGCCTTATTCAGCACTGAGTGAGGAGTGGGAGCCCGGACAGTCTGATTTTAGAAAGGTTCCTCCTGTCAGTATTTGTGTTACAGAAAGACTTTATCTTTTGTATCTTTGTGGTTTTAGGACTTCTGGACTCCCTTGAAGGACCTAACATGGCTCCTATGCAGCGGGTTGCCAGAGACGTACCTGAACTAACACTGAATGCCACAGCAAAGAGCCTGGGGGTGCTGCTGAAGGCCCACTGAGTCCCCTGCTCTACTCTAATACCACACCCCACAAAACAGAAACATGTCTCCCTGTCAGAAAGTTTGTTAACGTCACTTTGATTGTTATTTGTTTGTATATTTTTTGACTCTCTCTGTGATGTTTGGTTTTGGGTTTCTTTGTTTTCCATGTTCAGATGTATTTATAGTTTCTAAACAGAAACTTAAATAAACTTTATGGATTGAGGGTCTGAGTTTTTGAGCTGTAAGTCAAAGCACAATCAACAGGGTGCTTATACTTAGAAGTCAGTCTGTTACAGTCCCTGAAACAAAGAGCTTTTTTAACAGAACCTCTTTTTACATGTTTATGAAAGCTCAGTTTCTGCTGTTTTTACATATGTTCAATAATTGAATTGTGCAGTGATATTTAAGATAAAGTTTGAATATATTAATATCTAAAGTAAAAGTCTTGCAGTGCAGCTGCTCCTTTATTTACTTTTTGTAATTTTAGCGCTAAAACGAAAGAAAAATTTACATCATTAATTACAGGGCTTTGTAAACATTAATTAAAATGAATGCGGTAGGTTTGTACATTAGGAAAAGCTGTAATTTAATTTGAATTCCTGGAGAAAAAAAAATATCAGATGTTGAAAATGAAAAATGTTTTGATATGAAATAAACAGTGTATACTGATTTTAAAACTGTTAAAGTTGGAGCAGGGACATGTATATCTCTTCATGGCATCATTTTTTCCCTCTGCTCTTAAAAATATTTGGGGACCAAAGACACCAGTTTTCTGGAGTTTTAAATGCAAAATGTTCCATTCTAGCCTGACATGTAATTTATGAGGTATCAAGCAAGATGATCCCTTTTCTCTTTAAAGTGAATGACATGGTATCCTGGACATCTAAAAAAAAAAGTCTAATTTGGTTTGCCAGTTTATAGAACTTTTCACTTTGCCTTACTCCATCTGAAATAGTCTCAGTACCTGACATGTTAACATATGCGTTCCTCTTTGCAGAGTAAAGTTTTACTTTGTGTTTGTGGGCACTGTTTTCAGACCATGGTTTTTTGAAGTAGTATTAAACCCACACAGTGATTTCCACTGCAGAGTCAGGTCTGTTTATTATGGAGTTCTGCCTGAGAACCTGAAGATCACAAGCATGATCAGTATTTAACCTTGGTACAGAATTTTCTTCAGATCCTCGGAATTGTTCATGTTCTGTAGATGATGATAGTTCTTCTCATCTGTAGTAAAGAGAGGCGTAGTCACTCAGAGACGCCCTTCACATATCCAGTCATGTTACTCACTTGTTGTAAATTTACCCAGTTAGTAAGGAGATAGTCCTCTAGTATTACACAGATTTTGAAGTGTTTTGCTGTTCCTGTTCCAACATTTTACTGGCAGCAAATGAATGTATACCTTACAGAAAACAGTTGTGTTCAGTATTATCACCAGATTATGTTGTTTTAGCAGCATTTTTAGTTACAGTTTAAATAACTTGCGAACTATCAGAATCTGTTTTTAAAAATATTTCATTCAGCCTCACGATTTCTTTGAAAGTGAGATTGTAGTATCATGTACATAGGCACAAATAAACACTTTAGGAACAAAGAAATTACACTTTTTGGGTGTGCTACCAATGTATTTTTTTCCTCAAACTATAGACATTTCATATCTGAAGAAGTAAATGTGACTTGAATTTACTCCAGTGTCTCAAACCTTTAATTTGAAAGACTTCATGTTTTGATTTATATTCAAAGCGCTTTTGTTGTAGGAATTTTACACACGAACTGGTTAGTGCCTCAAACATGCACCAGTCAGAAACATAGACTGTATGTACTATGGACAACTTGGTTCTGCCTACCGCCTGTATACAGATTTGAAGCCAAATAGCTTTCGGTATTTCTGGGATTTTTCTTAATTTCCTGAAACCAGCACTGCGCAGTAGCAATGTGCACATTCGGACGCGCAGTCGCAGAGAGTCGCTGTGATGACGCTCGGCTCAAACAACGTATCCCCCGGGAGAGCTACGCAATCCCTGAACGCCCATAGGCTGTATCAGATGTCAATCATAGCAAACATGAACCCCCTAATAACTTTTAAAAACTGAGCTTCACAGAAAAAAAGAGGACTTGAGCACAAACCAGTCTTACAATAACTACATGTCAACATCACAACCAGGGGGGAGAAACATTTATGTTCTGTGTAATAAATTTCTAAAGTTTGTGCACAGCTCCATAAGCTTTGCTGGCGGAGGCGGGATTTATGACCTATACTGCAGCCCACCATCAGAGGGTGCTGTTCTCAGAGTGGCTTCACCCGGCGAGGAGGCAGACTATGTCCATTCTATATACAGTCTATGGTCAGAACTCTGGAAATCAGATGTGTAGATCCCATAGATATATATATTTAAACACTAGATGAATTACGCATGCAGTTAGCCAATGGAGACCGACGTCCGCACATGGCAGTCATCTTGCTTCAGGATGCTCGCCCACTCATAACATTACAGTATAGGGCGCATGTAGCATTTCAATAACCATAAATTGCTTCATTTTAAACCGATGTTCAAATGGTTTGGTTTGTAACAAACCTCAGAGTTTTAGTAACGTTCCTGCATACTCAAGAATAATTTTAAACATTGATTTTCATACATTTTCATTAAAAATTAATTTAAAATGAATGAAAAACAAATTTTAATAAAATAAACATTAGACAGATAGGTAGAGCAATAGCTATAGGCCTACACACTATATGAAACAATTAATCATTCCATTAATGTTATGAAAGTAACATTTCTATTATAGGATAACTGCAATAACATATATCATTAAGATATAAGTATTTATTTTCAATATAAATATCTGTCTTGTGTTGCCTTTCTGTATATCTGTTCTGTGATACATAAACACACACACACATATACATATATATATATATATATATATATATATATACATACAAACACACACACACACACACACACACAAAGTCTGTAAACACAAAGTCAGAAATTTCCTGTATTATAATGTATCAATATTTTAGATGTTTTTAACAAACCAAACAGCTTGGAAATCATGTGCAACTTAAGTTATGTGGAAACGAAAGAGCATTTCTGCCTTTCCCACTGATGTAAAATTGCTTGGTTAACTTTGTAATAGGTGGTCTACTCACAGCCAGTCTATTAGCCAATTCAGACAGCTGATAAACAAAAACATATCTACAACGACCGTCACTTAGACACACACACACACACACAAAAATGCTGTCATACAAAAAATTAAAATCTCGATTGTGGTCTCAGCCTTGATAACTCGCGCAAAGCGACTCAAAGTTAGCCACTGCGCACGCAGATAGCCGTGAAACAACTGTGCTTTATGATTAAGTCTTTTTTTTCTCAAAGAAAAGCTGCCATTTCAATATGTCCAAGCATACCGACTCACGTTATTAAGGTATGTAATAAACAAAACCTTTTGTAAATCTGTCAAGATTTCAGCGAGTTAAGAGTATTTTTGATCATGCAAATTACTCACCTTCAGTCAGCTACCAAAAAATTTACCAGAATGGTGCACTGAAGTAAGATGGCCGTCATGTACGGACGCCGGAGACTCCGCCTCGATTCATGTAGCCTTTCTTATATTTGTCAATGGTAGATTCAGCCAATTAGCCATGAAGAAAAAGCTACTGTTTACATCCCCATAAATATAAAAGCCCCTCTGAGCTATGTGCCTACGTGGCAGCCATCTTGGCGGGGGAATCGTTCTCATTAAAGGCAACGCATGAATGAAAATAAAACACTTACTTATTTCTCAATTGATTTTCGTTACCGTCGTTAACATGTGCTTTTAATACAGGACATTTGATTTTTTTTAAAAATCAAATGTTCTGTAGTAATAGCACATGCTATAAATAGCGTAAATATAAAATGTAAACCGCATGAAAAACGTTTGAGAATTTACATGTACATCCTCTAATGAGAGCGTTGCCCCCGCCAACGACGACGGCGTACAGATCTACCTGCCCTTAAACCTTTCAAATAATGACTCTGTACAGACGCTGCTGGACTGTTTTTTAGAAGTTAAATCTTGGTTGGCGGAAAACTTCCTACATTTGAATGAAACCAAAACGGAGGCTGTATTATTTGGCTGTAACCCATCTGACCTCCCAGCCAATTATCTGGGCCCTCTCACACTGAATGTCCGTGCATCGGTAAACAATCTCGGCGTGACCTTTGACGGTAATTTTAAACTCGACAAGCAAGTCAACTCTGTGGTTAAAAATAGCTTTTATCAACTGAGAACTCTGTCTAAGGTAAAGGGTAACCTCTCTCGAAGAGACTTAGAGACAGTTATACATGCTTTTATCAATTCCAGATTAGATTACTGCAATTCCCTGTATGTTGGCTTGGATCAAAATCTGCTCCATCGACTTCAGCTGGTGCAAAATGCAGCTGCCTGCCTCCTTACTGGGAAACGTAAAAGAGAACATATAACCCCTGTGCTCGCTTCTCTCCACTGGCTCCCAGTCTCTTTTAGAATAAATTTTAAAACTTTATTGTTTGTTTTTAAAGCTCTTAATGGACTAGCCCCTGGGTATTTGTCCGAGCTCTTACACATTCATGCCCCGGCTAGAGCACTGAGATCTGCCAATCAGCGGCTATTGGTCGCCCTGAAGACTCGCCTAAAGAGTAAAGGTGACCGAGTCTTTGGGGCGTCGATAGGGGTTTTTAAATCCTCTTTAAAAAAACACACTTTTTCTCCCTAGCTTTTACCTAGCTCTCGATTGGTATTTTAGATTTTATATTTGTTTTTTATCTACCTACGTATTTTATATTTGTTTTTATTTATGGTGTATTTGTACCTCAATTTTTCTTTGCTGTATTATAATCTTGTATTCTGTGTTTTTGATCATATTGTCTGTTTTATGTATTTCGCTGTGTCTTATTTTCTTCGTTTTTCTTCGACAGCAACCTCTCCTTCACCCACCACATAAAGCAAATCACTAAAACAGCCTACTTCCACCTCAAAAACATTGCCCGCCTCCGCCCCTCCCTCTCCTACCCTGCAGCTGAAACCCTTATACATGCATTCATTTCATCTCGTCTGGATTACTGCAACAGTCTCTTTTATGGCACCACCTCCACTCTCCTCAATAAACTTCAGCTCATCCAGAACTCAGCCGCCCGCCTCCTCACCCACACACGCTCCCATCAACACATCACCCCCGTCCTCCAAAACCTTCACTGGCTCCCCATACCCCACCGCATTCAATACAAAATCCTCCTCCTCACCCACAAAGCACTCCACAACCTCGCCCCCCTACCTACAGGATCTTCTCCACCCCTACATCCCCTCCCGCACCCTCCGCTCCGCCAATGCCAACCTCCTCACAGTTCCCCTGACCAAGCACCGAACCTGGGGGGACAGAGCCTTCTCAGCCGCCGCCCCCACCCTCTGGAACTCACTCCCACTCGAACTCAGAAACTGCACTGACCTCACCAGATTCAAAACCCTCCTCAAAACCCACCTCTTCCGCACTGCCTTTCATCCTTCCTAGCCCCCCCCCCCATCGGATTTTACCTGATTCTACATGTTTTTACTGACATTGTCGTAAATTTTATTACTTATTGATGTGTGTTTTATTGTTATTTGGATTTTACCTGATTCTACATGTTTTTATTATATTGCCGAAAATTTTATTACTTATTGATGTGTGTTTTTATTGCCTAATTCTGTACAGCGTCTTTGTGTTTTTGAAAAGCGCTTTATAAATAAAATGTATTATTATTATTATTATTATTGATCTGTACAGCACTTTGGTCAGCTTCGGTTGTTTTTAAAGTGCTCTATAAATAAAGTTTGAGTTGAGTTGAGCCAAGATGACTGCCACGTAGGCACGCCGTTACGCCGGCTGCTTCAGTGCGCTGCCGTATCTAGTATCGTATATTTGTGCTCCCTTGCATATTGCCCTCATAGACATAATAAAGAGTAGACCCCGCATCGGCCGCTACCATGAATGGGCGCTGTTGAGAAATGCAGCCACCTTTGGTCCGGTCATCCGCCTTACTCTGCACCGCTGTTTAACCGGCGGAATGAAGTCTCAGCGCATTAAATAAATCATAGTTCGCTCAATACTACGCAATTTTTTTCTCTGCAAACTTCATTCAAAGAGGCATGACAGAGTCCATATATATATATTTTGGGGCGTTTTCAAATACTCAGAATGAATAAAATTATTTTTTAGAACATGGCAGCAGTTGCTGTAGTATAGTATAATAATTAATCAAGGATATATCTAGGTTTAGAGCTAGGTTCCTGCTATGTCTCAATAATAATTAATAACTGGCGGTTTTAATAGGCTAATTCAATATATATTGATTTGATTATATTTTATTTAGTTTAATTTTATTCATCCATTTGTAGACACACACAAATAATGTCATATAGAAGCACTATTTTAATCATTGGAAAATACACACAAAGAAATACACACAAATATATAGCCTACATATCAAAAAAATTGCACACTTTCAATTTAAACACAAGAACAGCATGACAGGACAGCACCTAAACTACATATCAATCAATCAATTTGCTCAGGCCCTAAAAGCCTTGAAAGAGGACTGATAGATAGATAGATAGATAGATAGATAGATAGATAGAGAGGGAATCACAATGATAAGTAACTTATGCCATGTAATCAATAGAATATAACAGCTTTATTGTGATGCACCTACTCTTTGGAGGTGACCTGGAAACTTGAAGACGGACGGAATAACGCCATCTCTAATGCGAACAACCTGTCCCGTCCTGTCAAATTCTGCCTCCTTGAAGTGTTGGCTACACAGCACAGAGGAATCACTTGCTGTGAATTTCTCCCTCCTTACAGCAATCTCCCACTTCTTCCTCAAATGTTTGTCCTTAGGAAATCTTCTAAATGAAACAGGAGATCACCACAAAAAAATCTTTAATAAAACAGATAATAAAACAGAGCTCACTTTCTTCCTTCTTCTTTCTATTTTATTTCTTAACGTTTCTTAGAACCTCTCTCAAACAAAAGTTTTTTATTCTAATGCAAATCTGTTGATAATAGAGCAAAGTTGCTATAATTGTGAATAAGCTAGCTGTTTGCAAATGCTGTTTTCTTTTTGGAGTTGACCGATAGTCTTCCTCCTTGGCCTCCAAATGACTCTACTACAGTCAAGTGTAATGTTGAAAAAACGTTTAATCCTACCTGTGAAAAGTTCTCCCTTGAGCCCTGTTCTCTACTGTCCGTCTGTTGGCACAGGAATACGCCGCACAGTGCTCCGGCATCGCTGAATGAATGAATGAATGAATGAATGAATGAATATGACTGACCGGAGCGTATCGGAAGCTAGACCGGACCAAGATGGAGGCCGTATTTTTAGCTGCGCAGCACCCCTAGCAGCGTCTACTCTTTATTATGTCTATGATTGCCCTCGCTCGGGGATTCGGAGCGTATCTTTGACGTACAGTGAAACGTCACCTCGCATGTCTTCATAAACATCCTGCGCGGGTAGAGTAGGCGCTCAGACAGAGTAGGAAAAGGAAAGTGGAGAAAGTGAGTAGAAAGTATGAAGATTTATTTCTGTGGGAGTATCAGAGGTGGCAGAGATGACGTCCATCTGTACCGGAAGATCGTGGAGAAGCTGCAGAGCTACGGGGTCGTGCTGACCGAGCACGTGAGCAGCAGCGAGCTCTCCGACAGAGGTCAGGGATCAAACTTTCAGGCAGTATGCACGGTAGTACACACTCTGCAACATATAGACTAGAGTCCAAAGTGAACTACACACACACACTCGATACGTTTCGTTTCGTTTATTTAGATCTCCATTAGCTTTGGCTAAGGCCATTGCTATTCTTCCTGGAGTCTACATTAACAGTTAGCTTTTCGGTGCACAGTCACAAAAAACATCACGCCACAAACACAAAGACAACGTTGATAACCACAACAACTCACAACAGCCTACAAGACAAAAACAGAACAACACAAATAGAAAAATTCAAACAACATACACAAAAAACTGGACCTTATACATTTCCGCAGTGTAGCTGTAGTTTTGAAATAATCAGATGTTTAAATATAAACTTACATTCCACATAATTAAATTGGGTTAACTAATTTACCAAAAATTTACCAGACTTCCAATATTATAAGTACATCAGACAAACCAAGCTTCATCTAAAAAAGGAGCTGTTTGACTAGTGAATATTCTTTAAGTAGATCTTTCAATCTGTATTTGTTGTGGTCTTGGATGATATGTCCTGGCAGAGCATTCCATATCACCATGGCCCTATACATTACTGTACTTTTCATTTTGTTTGTTTTTACTTTGGGTAAGGTGAATTAACCTTTTGTAGCATGTCTTGTTCTGTAACAGTGTTCATTGGAATTGAAAGACAAACGATCATGAATAACCCTTGGCAATTTCATCACAGATAATCTTCTAATAAAAGCTTCTAATGAAGCAGTAAATCTCTTCTTAACACTCAACCAGGCAAGACAGTTATGCATTATACTTACATTGGTTTTGTATGGACAGCGAAGTAAATATCTTGCTGCCTTGTTATGAGCTATTTGCAATTTCTTTATCAGTTATGAAGCAGCGCACGACCAAACCTCTGAACAATAATCAAGGTGTGATAACACCAAACTCTTAATCACACTTCCCCTTACATTTACTGGTAATAAATCACTAGCCTGGCTGGGCCATCCTGTTGCGTGAATCACTTGCTGTTCTTTCCCACAACAGTCTGGACTTCGGCCCATTGGGAGCGTGTATTCCTGGTCAGAAAATAACCGGGCCAATCGGAGACCGTGTTTCCACTGTTACCCGGACAACAGGGAAAGGCAGCCCCTGATTGGTCCATGTGTAGATGGAGACGTCTAACACATGCTGCGGGACTTTTCAAATCGCCGTTCATTCAGAACGCCCTTAATTCTGCAGTTGACTTTGCAAAGTTGGCAGAAATCGTTTATATCCGACGTCCTCTGCGGATATAAACGATTTCTGATAAGGACAATAAGGAGAAATCACATCTCCTTATTACCGACAGACTGCTGCCCATTTTATTCATAACTTTCTTAATATGTTTCGCTTATGTCAGTTTACTATCAGAGATTTTTCCTAAAAGTTTGGTTTCGTGCACTTGTTCTACCATCACATCATTCACATACAGCTTCAGTTTTGGCTCATTTCATTACATGTTTTTTTGTCCCAAACACAATGCTGTTTGTCTTGGAGGTATTAAGAACTAATTTATTATCGGTTGTCCGTTTCACTAATACTTGAAGTTCCTGATTTAAAACACTGCTAAGTTCATCTATTGTGGTTTTAGCTATATATTGTTGAATCATCTTCATTCATTGAAATTTTTGCATCCTTTAGGGTCAGTGGTAAGTCATTCGTGAATATTGAATAGCAAAGGGCCAAGACTACTACCCTGCGGGACTCCACAGTCAATTCCTATAGCATCAGACAGACTTCCATTAAAAAAGACTGTCTGTCTCCTGTTTTTGAAATAGCTCTCCAGCCATTGAGTAGCATTCGAACTGAAATCATAACATATTAATTCCTGTAACAACAAATTATGATCAATCACGTCAAAAGCCGCACTAGAATCTAATAGCACTGCTCCTACTAGCTGTCTGTTATTAATTTCTTGGAGCCACTTATCAGCCATTTGAGTAAGCGCTATGGCAGTGGAGTGTTCCTCCCTGTATGCACATTGATAGCCAGTATACAAATTATTAGATGCAAAATAGTGCTTTATTTGACCAAAAGCAATTTTCTCCATTATTTTGCTCAGAGCGGGCAGCAAACTTATTGGTCTGCTATTCGAGGCGCAGAAAGATAAAACGGGGTTCTTAGGTAATGGAATGATTTTTGCAGTTTTCCATGCTTGAGGAAAAATACCTTTCTTTATGCTTACATTAAATACATGACAAATTGGTACAGAGATTAAGTTTGCTACCAGTCTGAGCAATTTCATATCTATATTATCTACTCCAGCTAATCTATCTTTACATCCCAGTAATAGTTTTTTAACCTGGTTGAGTGTAACTGTTGTAAAGTTAAACTCACACTTTTTGCCCTCCATGATTTGATTTCTTATACTGCATTGGGATTGTACATTATCTACTAGGCTCATCCCATCTCTGAGTTTACTTACTTTATTTATAAAATGATTGTTGAGGTGATTCGCAATATCCAAAGGCCTGGAAAGAAACTGTCCCTCTACTTCTAGAAATGCAGGGGTAGATCTAGATTTCCTGCCCATTATGTTATTCAAAGTATTCCATAATCAATGCTGTCATGCTTTTTGTTGTTAAACAGGTTTTCATAATGGATTTTCTTTTTTTTATATTCAACTTGGATACATAATTTCTTAACTTGCGATAAACTTCCCAATCAGATTCATAATTAAAGCTGATTGCCATTTTCTTCGCATTGTCCCTCTGTTCCATACATTTCTTCAGTTCCTTATCAATCCAAGCTGATCTAAAACTTTTGATGGATCTCTTCTTCACAGGTGCATGTTTATTCATGATTTCCTCGAATAGTTTGTTAAAATGTTCTACCGCAGCATCAGGATTATTTACCTCTAAGACACTGTCCCAACATTTTTTTTTTACATCATCAATGAAATGATTATCATGGAAGTGTTTATATGACCTTTTAAAAATGATTTTGGGTCCTGCTTTAGGAATCCTTGTCTTCCTCAAAATCGCTAATAAGTTATGATCACTGCAGCCTAGTGGTATGAATATTACTTTCCTGCATAGTTCAACTGTGTTAGTAAATATGTGCTCTATGCAGGTTGAGGTTCTGGATCCATCTCTTTTGATACATACTCTAGTTGGCTCAGTTACCATTTGTTTTAGACCACACGTATCTGTAATTGAAAGAAGCCTTTTTTCAGTAGACAGTGTGTTGCGTTCCAGTTTATGTTGAAGTCTCGCAATAAGTACATTTCATTAGTCAGGTCACCCATATTGTCGATCATACCACAAATTTTTTCCAAGTAATCAGAATTTGTGTTCGGAGGCCTACAACAACAACCAACTAATAAGGGTTTTAAGTTAGGGGTGTGCACCTCCAACCGCATTTCTTCGATCTCATTTGACATTAAGTCACACCTTATTTTTTACAGGTATATTATCTTGAATGTATATAGCGACCCCCCCCCCCCCCATGTTCATTTCTATCCTTTCTATACACACTATATTCCTGAATACTTACTGCAGAATTATCAAATGTGGAGTCTAGGTGAGTCTCTGAGATCGCTAAAATATGTATATTTCCCTGTACAAGAATATTGGAAATATCAACTTTTTTATTTCTAAGGCTACATATATTGATGTGAGCCACCTTCAATCCCCTCTTAGGTAATTTAACTGAGTACATTATCCAACGTTCTTGAAATCCACTATCTCATTTATTAATTGAACCATCTGATAATTGCTACCTCTACGCCATTTTATTTGATCATATTTAGGCCCAAACAAAACTCGAGACACTGACAGCCACCAACAAAAATAAATCACACAAACATTCATCCACATAAGACATAAAACACCCTTGCAGTCCAAATGATCTGTGATCATTGTGAGAAAAAAAAAGAGAATAATAGTGTCCTGATTCACTCCCTTTCACTACCACAAAAACAACTATACTAGTAGTAACTACAGCGCATAATGGATTACACTGAGAAGTCCACGCAGTCACGTGAGAGAAGTAACTGCAGCGCCAGTCATCATGACCAAAAATTGTCAACCAAAGTTCTCCTCATAATCTCCCCTGCAATCAATTCTGTGCCATTAGGGGAAAGATAAGGGGAAAAAACGTTCTCTCCCTTTTCCCCCTCCTTCACGTCTTTCCTCGCCCCACATACTATACAGTCACGTGAGAGGTGCGACTCAATCAGCAGCTAGTTCTCCTCGTTGCCTCTTCTGCAGTCCTTTCATGGAAAAATAGAAACAAAATTGAAGTGAAAAGCTGGTCAAGAAGAAAAGAGAGAGAAGGGGCAATAGTTACTGTTTTGGCTATTCTTACAGCAGCCGTTACCCACTGTTTTAAGCTAGGTTCACATTGTATGATATATAATAACTCACTGCACATTCAAAGGCTAGTGTGTGTATGTGTGGCAGTGTGTTTATGTGTGTCACTGTCCTGCTGTGCTGTGATTGGGCAGGAGAGGATGCTGCAGCATTAGGTGACAAAGCCATTCATGACAGAGACGTGGACTGGCTGCGACAAAGTGATGGTAAGTTGGTTTATCCCTTCAGTGTGACTTTAACCTGTGCACTGCATCCTTGTTTGTGTGACCTTTGACATTTTTTGTGCTCAGTGGTTGTTGCTGAGGTGACACAACCGTCACTGGGAGTCGGCTATGAGCTTGGCCGAGCTGTGGACATGGAAAAGAAAATCTTCTGTCTGTTCAGACCCTCATCAGGACGCAGTGAGAAGACTTGTATTTTGTTCCTCCCTCTCTCCTTTCTGCTCTACTCACCTACATCATAGTACAGAGCCCTGATCTGTCCAATCAGTAAAAATAAGAGAAAACCCTCTAAATGACCAGAATCATCTCTTTCCCCTCCTTTCTCTCTGTCTCCTTGTCTCTCTGCAGCTCTTTCTGCCATGATCCGAGGAGCTGAGGATGGCAAAATCTTTGTGGTCAAAGATTACAGCGTGGATGAGGTTGAGAACATCCTGGAAGATTTCTTCAACAAACTAAAGAAAGCATGAAGAACAAACCAAACTTCAGACTGTCTGTGTGTTCATTTTGTTTAAGTCGGGCTGAAGGATTCAATAAAGTTTTATACACAGAATCAAGTCATCCATTAAGTCAACCATTAGTTCTGACCTTCGTCAGGACTATTTTTCCTGGGGTCCAGACACTGATATAAAACAGTCAATACATAGTACAATAGTTACAGACAATAAAAAACAATTACATTAATAGGAATTTTTAAATGCGAAATAAAGCCACAGCAGATGACACTATGGGCTCTATTTTCGTGTCCGCCGGTGAGGCGGTGGAGGGTGGCGGACTCTGCGCAATGGTATTTTCGTCTGGCGGAGCCCGGCGTACAGCCAGTTTGGAATTTTTGTGGACTGAAGCGCACCGAGGTCCGCCAAGCTGGGCATGGTGGCGTGGCAGAGGGAGGTGTCAACAGAATTAGCTGGTGCAGTGACATTTTCTGGCTCGGCGGTGGCGTGTTAAGTGCGCTGAAAGCTCGCCGATTCAAACCTGGTCAGCTTTCAGCGCAGGTGGAGCACAGCTGGTCTAGTGGTATTTTGGTAGACCGGCGGCGTACCAGCATATGTCACCGATGCCTCACCGGCAGGTTTCCACAGTGTCAGGCACACAGTGCAATAAATAATCAACAACTAATATTCTGAGTCAGCACATACAGCTAGATCTATAAAGATATATTCTGATCTATATCTGATGAGCGCGTTTGGCACTCGTTTGGACACTCAACCTGACCAAATCAACACAGCTGAAACCGCAATAAATTAAATATCTAGTAAATAGACACACATGATGAAGTTAACAAGATATGTAATTCGTCTCCCCCCTTTTCTTTCTTTCTCTTCCTCTTATTTCTCGCGCATCTCAACCTGGACATGTCTCCGTGTCCTCTCCCTGTCCTGCTGCAGCTGCAGCGGCTGAACAGATGATTTGTTTCAGTGATCAGATGAGTTATTTACTTTAAGCCTACATATGAATATTATAATATTTACCTCCGCCAAGGAGGTTATGTTTTTGGTAGCGTAGGTTTGTTTGTTTGTTTGTTTGTTTGTTACCTCCGCCAAGGAGGTTATGTTTTCGGCAGCGTTGGTTTGTTTGTTTGTCTGTGAACAACTTTACGGAGAAAGTAACAGATGGATTGACCTGAAAATTTCACCAGAGGTGCGTCTCAGCCCCAGGAAGATCCCATAAAATTTTGGTGATCCAGACAAAATTCTGGATACTGTGATCCGGAACACACAAAAATATGGGTGTCGTTGCAATTTTCAATGCTGAAAGATAAGCAATGGGTGGCACAGTGGTGTAGTGGTTAGCACTGTGGCCTCACAACCAGAAGGTTTTGGGTTCAAATCCTGGTCAGGGCATTTCTTGTTTAAGGGGGGACATGAGCTGCTTTGCGGAGGTCTGCGCTCTCCGAGTGCTTTTCTAGTTTGTCTGTTAGCAACTTTACGGAGAAAGTTACTGACGGATTGACCTGAAATTTTCACCAGAGGTGCGTCTCAGCCCCAGGAGAATCCCATTACATTTTGGTGGTGATCCGGATCGTCATCTGGATCCAGGAATTTTTTGAAGGATTCTTTATCATTGTGAGATAGGGCAAATTTTGGAATTTTTGCATTTAACTCTATAAAAATGTCCAGAGTCTTTAGTAAAAAACACAAAAGGATCTCAATGAGTTTTATGAGGTGTCAAAGGTTGATCCTGATCCAGACAAAATTCCGGATACTGTGATCCAGAACACACAAAAATAAGGGTGACGTTGGAATTTTCAATGCTGAAAGATAACCACTGAAGATACAAGGAAGTGTACGCTTATAAATATTGCATAATAAATCATGGATTTATGTATCTAATATGAGCTTTGTTGTTTTAGGAACATTATGAACAGTAAACACACCAGTTTAAACACCAAAGTTTATAAAAGACACGTAACAGTAAACGTTTTGGTGTGAATCACAATATAAGGAGGGACATGAGCTGCTTGGCGGAGGTCTGTGCTCTCCGAGTGCTTTTCTAGTCGGTTTTGTGAGCCAAATTTATTTTCATCCTCAGCAGGTCAGATGACAAACCGAAGACCGAGAGCTGCAGCAAAAGTTTCTAATTCAACCATCAAAGTTAGATATTTTATAAAAATTTAGTTTGTAGACAAAAAAAGATCCTTGAAACATTCCTCTCTCATCACAACTCCGAAATCAACTAAACAATCTGATGAGAAAGTGTCAGCTAACAAAGTCTTTTATTTACATGCATTAGTTATACGTGGTGATATGGCCCTATTTATGAATACAGGTGCATACATGAAAAGCTGAGGCAGGGAGAGCAGCAGCAAAGACTTGGGGTACAACACAGAGCAGACATTAGTGACAATACATAAGACACTGCAACATTTAGTTACAGCATGAAAGAAGGAGCTGGAGTGAAGGCTAGCTGCACAGCAATCTGCAGAGAATAGGCAAAGAAAACCACTGACACTAGCTGAGCTGTAAAGATCAGCTCATGTTTTGTGGGCTGAGATTGACTTTGTGGCCTGCCTGAACTAATACTGCACTCAGGTTTTGGGATTTTCCCATTCTACTCAGCTAAGGTGACCGCAGGAACCAGGGTCTAAATTTAGTTCTGGGAAAGAGGATCTCCCCCTTGAAAAGCCCCTGCTTTGAGGGTCTGATGATTTCTTGACATCTAAAATGCAGTTAATTTGCATTGAGATACTGGCAGACACACAGAGGAGGATAACCTAATATCATCTGAACAGTAAAACTATGTACACGAGTTTTGTACCATCCTTAGATGCCATTATTGAATTTAACATTTTAAATCATGTTGTTTTTTCATGCCTTGTTTAATTATGATTTTTTTGAATGACTTCCAAACTTTTGGCCTGTACTGTACATTTCTGGGTGTGATAATTGATCACTGATTGTAAATAATGTTGAAAGTAAGAAGTCCTAAAGTGACACCTAAGGACATTGTTGATCAAAAGTCTCTTCCCTGAAACTTTGGGTGAGCTTACCTCTGGACTTTTGTCTCTTCAGCACTTTGCAGACCTGCACGTAAAACCTCTCTGTCAGGTATGGGACTAGATCATATCCCAGCATGCACAGGAGCTTGGACCTCCTGCAGTGAAGCTGAATAAGTACATTTTCCAGTTCCCCCAAATACATTTAAAATCCAAATACACAAGGAAACTAGCTTTAAAATTTTTTATTAGCTTTAAAATATACATCAGTTTACAAGCTCAGAAAATAAAATTATAAGTAGAATTTTAACAGTCTTTTTTGTCATTTAGTTTTTCGTCATTTTTAAAATTTTATTTCCAACAGGAAGTGAAACAATCAATCAGACCGGGAAAAACCCACCGACACAATCAGAGGAACACGTGAACAAACATGAGCAGAGAAAACAGTTCAGATAACCCTGAAGGCACCACAGTCGGGGTCAGAGATCAAACTGTGTGATTGACAGCACCTGTGGGTGGAGAGCAAGGAGGCAGGGTTACAATCTGCTGAATGTGAAGTTCAGCTTCAAAACATCCAACCATGAATATTAATACAAACACTCCTCAGACCTCCTCCATCCAGTCCAGTTCTCAGTTTCTTGGAAAAGTTCCACATTTCATCCATCCTCAGGTGAGTCCACCTCCTGATTGTGTGCCTGAGCTGTGGCCCGTGCCTTGTTGAGGTCCTCAGCTCTGCACACAGCTGCTTGTTTCCTGTCTGTTTGTGAGCCCAAATGCTAGCTGTGCAGAACACCAACCAGCACAGTGACAGAATAATCTCAGAGCAGGCTAATGAAGCAAGCAAGCTAATGTTGGCCAGGTTAGCACAGACAAATTACTAGTTTATCTACTAGCTAGTGTTTGCAAGCTTCTTATATGGCGTTTTGCAACAAAAAAACTAAAATAAATAAATAAAACAGGAAACTTTAATGGGGGAAATGTGTATATTGTAATACACAGATGGACACTCGATGTTGTGGCGGGTGAGTTAAACCCCTGCATCTAAGAAACAATGGTGCACTAAACTTAAGACCATCCTGAGTCAGCCTACAGCAATCTGTGACCTGCAACATAAACTAAAGGGCCTGCTTAGTGGGCATTTTAACCTTTGTAACATCTTGCCCAAGTGTGATCAAGTTCACCCATTTATTAAGCAACTCAAACGTTGACTTTTTATGCTTGTCTGAGACCTGGTTAAACTTGACCTCTCTGGTGGTTGGGCTGCATGTACCAGGCCACAATAAATACAGAAATGATCAGAAGGGGAATAGGAGTGGGGGAGTAATGTTATAGACAAGGGATCACCTAAAGTGCAGTCAGACAGTATAGAAGTGGACACATTACCTTGAATGTATCCGTCTTTATATATCTCTCTCTCCACAAATGATAATAACTCTAACTGGGATGTATAGACACCAACAACATGTTTTATAAGGAGTCGCAGTTAATAGTCAAGGAATGCGGCTCTATGAATGAAATCATACTACTTGGCTATTTAAACATAAACTGGTTAGATATGATAATTAGGAAACATTTTAAATCACTAGCGTCCACCAGATTAACTGCCTCCTCTGAAACCTGCATAGACCTTGTTTTCACAAATAAGCCTGAGTGAATCCCAAAGTCCTTTAATTCAATAACTGGTTTATCAGACCATAACCTGATCCTGTTCTCCAAGAAACTTCCCAAAAACAGATTAATCCACTCCCACATTAGATCTGAGCAAATGAGAATACCTAAGAGGGAGATTCCAAATCTAACACAGGCAATACAAAACAATAATTGGGCTGAACATCTTACTCATACAAATGTCAATAGCAACTCTAATATTTTTATGATTGTGATACAAGGAAAAAAATTCTGCATTCATGAGGAAAATCAAAATTAAACCATCAAACAAAGAATCACTTCCCCTGGTTAAATGAAAATTTATGGTCACTGATGAAAAAACGAGACCATGCACTAAAAATATTGCTAAAAACTGGTAGGTTAAACGACGGACAAGTATTCTCCTTACTTAGAAACAAGGTAGTTCGAGGTATGGTATGAAATGAAATCCTGCTGCCCCTTTTTTGAATCTATGTGTGGTCTCTCAATCCCAGGTTGATGGGATGAAGGCCAAAGATTTATCTGGCATGGACATCATGTTTCTGACAAACACTGCTTTTTAGTATATTTATTAATGACTTCCCAAGTTGTTGTCCTTCAAATGTAATCTGTCTAATGTATGTTCATGCAAAAGACAGTGAGCAAACTGTCCAGGAATTGATTTGTACCAAGACTAATGTGTATCACTGGCTTGAGAGCTCTCAGCTGCATCTCAACATCTTCAAAACAGGAGTGTGAGAGGCGTCGACTTATAGTTAAAGAAAAACTGAATGGGACTTGGGTATTGTAACTTGTAAGTTTTTAACTTGTAAAAACTTGACCTCTGACTTGCTCATTATAAGTAAAAAAAAATTGAAGACATTTAAGAAAGATTAATATTTTTGATTTAGTTAAGAACTCAGGCCTGACTGCTGGCCTTTAATATTTTCAAATATGATGATTCTGGACTTATCAGCAAAGACTTTCTTCTAACCCATAAAATACTTAGATTTGAGTTTTTGCAGTGTCCTGTTAAACATTGTTGCCAGCCTGATAAGTCTGACTTGTCCTGACATTGTCATTAATGTCAGCTATGATTGTCCTCAGCACTGAACCATTGCGTCAAAACAGTCCTGAAATTTAGTATTTTTTTATTCCTGTGTTTTCAACCCAAACAGACTCTTAGTCACAGTTATATATTTTGACCTTGTTTTACAGTCACATTTAAAGAGTAAAGTGCTGTTCAATTCATTTAAGGACACACTCTGTGATATAAATTGTGTTTTAGAAAAATACAAGATGAGATATTTAGAATCGGGTCCTTCAAGGACACAGTCAGAATGAGAAAATTGATTCTCAGTGTCCTGATGCAGCAGAGAAAATCAGGTTGTGACAAGCTGATTCCTTATTTATGCTAATCTGATTGGCCTGTAAGAGCCCCTGTTAGACCTCGAACTTATTTGCCATCTTGAATTAAAAAAATTGTTTCACTACTTGCAGGTGTGCATGCAAACAGACAAATTTAGATCAGTCTTGCTGCAGTTGGTTGAAAATAATGCCATGCATCCACAGAAGTTGGGTGTGATTGGTGTTAATAACCTTTAAAAGACAGTGCTGTGCATGTCCACACTATCAGGAGTCTATGCATAGATTTTGAAGCTTTAATGTTGTGAGAAAGGTGAAGTGAGGAAAAGATGAAGGTGGCATTTGTGGATGTTGAATTGCGCTCTTCAGAAACATGATTTATTTGTGTTTATGTTTTCTGCTCATAAAAAGCACACACGCATGGTCTGTGTTGAGTCTAAATATGCCGTATTTCTGAGCTGCAGTTTTGTATTTGTAGTTCAAAGCTGATGTGATCACTGTTCACATGACAGAGAAGATATGCTGATCTGACATGGCAGCCACTTGACAAAAAAATCCAGTAGACTGAATAAACAGCCTTCAATGTGAAAGTGATCAACAAACATTTTCTAATGAATGACTCTAAATGTCTCAGCCTCTAAAAATGAAACATCTGTGTAACCCTCAAACTTATCATGGAGCAATGAACCCCATTCCTACCCCCCTGATGCACGCTGGGATATAGAGCTGCTTCAGACATTCAGTTACTTAAACAGATAAAGATGATTCTGGTCTGCAGGTTGAGCTCTGAAAGCATGAAACACTTTTCTCCATGGAGTAGTCCACAATCTTATATCACTGCTGTTGGATTTGTCTGGTGTCTTATTCTTCAAGGTTCAGTGTGTGTGTGTGTGTGTGTGTGTGTGTGTGTGTGTGTGTGTGTTTGTGTGTGTGTGGCATGTTTGTTTGGTCACATGACTATCCAGCGCACAAAGGGATCTATGTGGATGTGAGCAAGCTGACGTGACAAAAAACATGCAAAATCGGTCACACTGGAATACTTTGTTTTCATTTGAGGCAACTCTAAACAGAAAGACGTAATGTACAAAACCTGCTCATTTTAAGACGCTGCATCATGTGGCAGCATGTCTAACTGATAATAACACTTGAGACAGCACAATGAAAAGGATGATGAATTACTTCAAGCAAAGGCCCAGGTGAGTCGAAACAAAGAAACTTGAGGTTGTCAAAGCCAATAAACCTGCGGTAGAGCACAATTACAGTCCCAGAGGTCATTTATACCACCTGAGTAACATGTGAAATGCTTATACTTTATACTGACATGCATCTCCAATAAGTACTTCCAGAGTGTTCAGAAAATTACTCATACATAAGTTTTAGTTATACTATTTTCAACATTTGAAATAACTTAACTTATTTCTCTTTTTTAAATTTAGAAAAACATACTTAAAACCCATGAGCGATGTCTGCATATTACCTGATGACCAAGCAAGCAGACTGGAGTACTCTAGTGGTAACTTAAGGTAACAGTCCTTTGGGAGGACAGTAGGCTGATACTTGATGAGATGCAGCTACATAAGATGCACATTAAACGATTTTATGTCAACGACAAGAACATGCAAATAAATAGAAAAAAAGAAAAAAAGTTAATCTAGGTGGCGCACGCCTCTATTACCCTCTCCCCGATGTAACTCTTAACTGTAGATTCTGTGTAGAATACAAGCAACTCTCTGTGCCGGCGTAATTAAGCGAGCATTCTGGCTTTTATTTTGAAAATTTATCTTGTCACTTCCACCCGCCGTCTAACTACTTTTTAACTGTCTGACCGAAATGAGAAATGGTTTCAGTAACATGATGGAATCAAAAATCTGCGCTTACTTTTTGAGCTTTGTGGTAAGAAACGGAAAAACAAACTGACCACGCAACTTTGTTTCCCTGATTATAGTTTTAAAACGACAAAAAAGTGACGAGACCACGTCATTTTGCTAATGGTTCAAATCTAAAAAACAAAAACGCACCCAAAAACCACCCAAAACAATGCTAAAACAATGGAGAGAAAAGAGGAACAAAAACCAGAGCTGGAGGGCGACCTTATTTGTGATGAGGCAGCAGGTTGACGTCTCCAATTATATTCATAAAGAAGAGTCATTAAAGATGCACAAGTCCAGATGTAGAATCTATTTATACCTACAGAGCATCACTCTGACACACACACACACACACACACACACACACACACACACACACACACACACACACACACACACCATTAGACACAGCAACATAGAAACACACACTCCTCCAACATATTCTTTCATTTCCGACTTCCTGTTCTCTCGTGTCTCCTGAACATCTGATGACTCACATGAAAAATTTAACTTACATTCACTCTCTCTCACACGCACGCCACACACATACACACACACACACACACACACACACACACACACACACACACACACACACACACACACACACTCTCTCTCTCTCTCTCTCTCTCTCTCTCTACACACAAGTTGAAGTATTAGCGACCCATTTCCGACAGTAATAGAGCCTTAATAATTTAACAGCAGTGGTTCGTGCTTATAATTACTGCTGAGGAGGAGAGGACCGTGTGTGCGTGCGCACAGAGGTTTTAGTTTCTTATCCTGCAGCTGTCAAACAAAACAAGAAAATGGTTTTGAATAATTGAGCAGCTAAAAGACTGAGTGGGCTGCTGTTAAAGGACCATACCACTGTTTTTAAATGTTTTATTGACCAATAGTCATTTTCAGTACAAGCAGCATTACAGAAAGCCGGACAGCTTCTACACTACACTCGTAAGTATTGTTTATTTCTTATTTAAAGGTAGGGTTGGTAATTTGATTTAGATACACTTTTTGTTATTCTGGTTAAAATGATCTTTATGTTCCGATGGCAATCAATACATGATGTGTTCTTAAAAAAGAGCGAAACATAGCTATCTCCAGCAGGCAGGAGTAAAACTGAGAAAACACCAACCACACACATCGTGTTGGGTCCCACATTTTTAAACCAATCAAATCCTGTGCTCGGCTTCTGTGCGTACATGTCGCCAGTGTGCACTTGCCCTGATTCAATGTGCATAGCCAAGCTGAGAGGGATACAGCTGTGCTGGAGAATGGCAGAGAAACTACCTATACCCACATTAATGGTGACTGCTCCTCCTGCAAAAAAGAGCGTGAAAAGAAAGACGGAGGCAGAGAAGGCTGAAGCAAGACAGAGTTTGAAGAAAGCAAAGGCAAAATGAAAGTCAACATTGGGACAGCTTTTCAGCAATGGAGAGATGAGGTGCTTTGCTCTGGACTGTAGTCTGGATCAGAGTCTAAAAAGCTCTCACCATAGGGGCTCTGACAAACATACAAATAAATGACGTTTAGTAAGTCCTACAGAAAATTTATATGTATTCTAGCTTTTCTCCTGATATTGTGTCACTACTGTAATGCTAGCATGACAGTTGTGAGTACTAACAATGGCCATGTTTTTTGTTGTTGTTTGTTTTTAACTTTACTATGATAATTTTTTGGTGTTTTCTTACCACTAAGTGAGACATGACTCAATGTTATGCAAAACAGAAACAATGTGCTAAGGACCGGTTTTGAGTCTGTGGTTTTGAACCAGCAGACAGCAGTGCTTGTGCAATCGAGTGGGGGCGTTGTTTCGGAGGAGCTCCAAGGGGAGGGGCTAGACGAAGTCCTGAGGAGATGCTCCATTCAAATTCATGTTAGATTGCCGTAATTACCAACCCCACCTTTAACTGTTTATTTCTCTGCAGTTAGCATGCTCTAACATGAAGAAACAGTGGTACAGCCCTTTAACTAACGGTCATAGTTTAAAGTTACTGTTCTAAAAATTACAGGATGGATTCCAGAATAATCCTGCAGATTAATCATGACATTGACCTCCTCTGCAGGTTGTTCAACTACCATCAAAAACATAAGAAACAGAACATGTTCAATCCAGTTGAGGGGACACGCTGAAAGGAGATCGGTAATGTAATTTAACTTTGGAAACACCCCCTTGTTTTTCAATGTCACTTCTTGAGCACCAACCAATTATGATAAAGAAGGGGCGGGACTTCTTTGCCGATAACAACTAAAGAGGTTGCTAATTTCCAGCCCTTAAACTCTTCCTCTGTAAAATGCTATTTGTTAAAAGCAAATATGGGACGTACAGAGTGTTGCATATCAGGTGTTCGTCACTACGAAGAAAAGCTTGTGCACTGTGAGACAACTACTATAACCAAGCAACAGCAAATGCCAGGGAAAGCTTTAAATTGACATCATGGGGGATACCAGTCCAAAAAACATGCCCTAGTGGACACGGTCCCTACGTTTGCATGTTGCTTAAAAAAATCTTTTAAATATATAAGACTGGGGAGCACTAGTGAGATGAGAGCAGTGCAGACGTGTTTTTTTAGAGCTCCTCAAAGCACACCATATCTTTTTATTCAAAACTGCTTTTTGAACACTCACTTTTTCAGTCCTTTGTTTCATTTTTACACCACCATTAAGTGAAACCCAAAACTGTCTGGTAAAACTGCACAAGGTGGAAAGGGAGTAAGCTGCCGCTCGCCAACACCACAGCTAATGCAAGCTGCGGTGTCGGGTAGCAAAAAATCACAGGCAATTTATGCCTTCTGCCTGACATTAATTTTCAAACAGGCTTTTGCAATCCTTTAACAAGCGATTTGATAAATTTTAGCAGAGTTTTCAGAACATTCTGTCCGCCCAGCGGGAGCCAGTCGAGAGCCTGACTACCACGGAGAGCCAGGCTGCAGACCACAAGCAACTTATCCATATGGTGGAAACTTAAGTTGCTGAACTGCAGCAAGAGAATGAAAAGTTGTGGGCCAGGCTGTCGGATCTTAAAGGGTGATCCAGGCGCAACAATATAGGACTTTTTGGCATCCCAGAAGGTGAAGAGAAGCTGATCCCTAAGCTACTGGGGGACAAAAACTTCACCAAACCAGTCGTTATTGACAGAGCTCATCGTATACCACAGCCCAGACCACCAGGAGGATCCAGACCCCGCATGATAATCCCATGGGTGCATCTAACACAGGAGGAGGAAAGATTCTATGGCTTGGGAGGCAGAGTTTAATAGAACACTAAGGTCACCAAATCTTAAATCTTCCCCAATTACACTGTAGAGGTGATGGAGCAACGGCAGAGCTTCTGTAAGGTGCCGCAGCTACTGAGGGAGAAGGAGATTCGGCATTCACTGCGCTCCCTGGCCAGACTCCACCTCCACTACCAAGGTCAAGTAAAAGCATTCAACAATCCGGATGAGGCTAAGACTTCAGTAAACCAAAAACTGAGAAAGCCCACTTTTTTTAAAATAGAGGAAGAGAGCCTAAACGTGTTCTGAGCACACTCTTAGCTCAGCAGTTTACTCAGCAGAATACTGAATCTTGGGGAATCCTGCCCCTATCTATGACCAGTTGGGTAATTGCAATCAAAATGGTGAGCTTACCCAAGTTTCTATTCCTTTTCCATAAGTTGCCTATATACTTTAATGCATCTTTTTTCAAGAAGCTTGACTCTAGTGTATTGCCCTTTGTGTGGGGTTACAAATTACACAGAATATCCAAGGCTCACCTTCAAAAACCTTCCAAAGCTAGTAGCCTGGGACTACCAGTTTTTAAACACTACCACTGGGCAGCCAACTCCAGGACTCTTACCTACTGGAAGTATGGTGTCAAAGCTGAGGAGAATGCTTTGTGGTTGCAGTTGGAAGCTGCTGCGGTTGAAATTTCCTGACTCCTTGCCCTTTTGTTTTCGGGCTCTGCCCTAGTAGCCTAATTAATTGAACAAAATTCTACAGCGAAGAACTCCTTGCGAATCCTAAATCAGACAAAAGTAGCTTGCTGGGTTCCCAGTGTCTCTATACATTTGTCAAAATCATTCATTCTTTCCTGCCTGGTTGGATGGGGTGTTTGCAGTCTGAAGAGAGAGGGGTATTAGAACATTTTCAGATCCGTACATTGATGGCCAATTAGCATCATTTGCCCAGCTAAGCAACAAATTTAATCTTCAAAGTTCTTTTTTTTTTTGCTCAGTCAGACACTATGTCAAGGTTCATCCTACAGCAAGATAATGACTCAAAACATAAGTCAAAGCTGTGCCAGAACTACCTTAAGAAAAAAGAACAAGATGGTAAGCTTGAAAACGTGGAGTGGCCAGCACAGTCTCCAGACTTGAACCCCATCCAGCTGGTTTGGGAAGAACTGGACAGAAGAGTGAAAGCAAAGCAACCTACAAGTGCTACACATTTATGGAAACTTCTCAACAGAGTTGGGAAGAACTCTCTAAAGAATATTTGATTACCATTGTAGAAAGAATGCCACGAGTGTGTTCAGCTGTTATATCTGCCAAAGGTGGCTACTTTGATGAGTCCAAAATTTATAATACATTTTCATTCCTAAATTGATTCTATGATTTCTTTTTTAAACTTCAATATTTTATTTGTTCTGCGCATCAATTTCAGAGTACACTGAGGCATTAAACTGCATAATTTTCAATAAAAGTGTATATAAACTATGTTAGACTGACTGACTGAGCCTGGACTTTTTAAAACATCTAAACACACCACTGTTTAAATTGTATAAATTAATCTTTGTACCTGGAGTCATTGATGGAATTTAATTTTTAAGCAAAAAAAGAAGAGGAGAAAAGGAATGCTGTGATATACCAGTAAGTGCTGTAAAAAAAATACTGAGTGGAAACTGTGGTGTACGGGGGAAGCCTTTGTTCTATACTGCAGTCTGCTAGGGAGGCAGTATAAGACACAAGGATGCAAGATGTCTGGACAAACTGGTGAAAAGGCTGGCTCTGTGGTTGGATTCAAGCTGGACTCAGTGGAGGATGTGGTGGAGAGATGTACACTGAGGAAGGTGGAGACTATTCTTAAGAGCATGGATCACCCACTTCATAACACCTTAATGGACCAAAGGGCCAATGGTGGTGGACAGCTCCTCTCTCTTTGATGCAGGACAAAAAGATTCAGAAGATCTTTGGTACCCACAGCCATCGGAATTTATGATTCTTCTGTAAATGGTAAATGACTTGAGACTCCAGACAAACAGTTTTCCCTTTGGGGATCAATAAAGTTCTTGTATTGTATTCTCCAATGCAAGTGACTGGGGCTGTGTCTCAATTCAGAGACTGCATATGGCTGAGCTGAGCGCACTGCCGTTATGTGGACTTGAGAACCCTGGGTGAGATGGTCCAGTTTTTGTGAATTGGGACGGTCTACCCTTTGGAGGACTTCCTGGTTGAGTCGCCAAATGTCCCCGCCCTCAGGCTCGCATCACGGCTGACTTGAAGAAAAGCTGCTAAGCGCAGCAGTTATTTTTTTAATTGTGCGACCCTACACAGACACAAAACAATAGATACATACAAGCACAGATCATTTCCACAAAATTCATCCAATGATTGCATGTTTTGTATCAAGGAGTATGAGGGCCATATAGAGAAATTTTTTAAAGGCTTCCAGATTAAAGTCATACATTTTTGAGAATAACGTTGTAAGGTTACCTGTTAATTCAGAGGACAGTTGTTAAAATTATGGCCATGAAGCATTTGAAGGAACTGTGCCTCAGTATAGGTTTCACAAACCAGGAGATACTTCATCCTTTGACACATCAGCATTACATTGTCATAAGTATAAGGACTTAAAAAAGAAAATATGAGAAATGCGTCTTTTCCACGGGAAAAAAAAAAGTGGACTTAGAGGAAATCGCTGCTTTTATGGAGGCAGAAATGGACACACTGAGGATAAAGCCGTCAATGCAGCCGTAAATTGTCATGAATGGCATTGGGCTTTCGTTTATGATATGAATCCATATGCTTTAATAAGGCGTTAGTGTAGACGTGGTAAATTGCAAAGGTATCAATTTGGATATTTCAAATCTTGTGTGTTTACAGATCTTATAAGAAGGCTAAAATAAATTTTCTTCGAGTCTTAAGAAGTTCACCAGTTCTGTAAATGATGTGAAATATCACCAAGAAGTCCCCCCCATCAAAGATGTTTTCATTTTCTCTCGATCAAATAATGAATCATTTACAAAAATATTGACGCCAAAAGGCATTTTGCAGATTGAAATTTTAACTCAACACCAGCAGGAGCAGACAGTGACTAAAGTAATAAATGATCTTCTCTTTCTCCTGAAAACTGGTCTGATGAAATTTGGGAGCAAAAATCATCCCCTTTTCAGGACTCTATGGGCTCTTTTTCTTTTTACATTATGACCGTCATTCATACAGTTTAAAGGGGCCATGGCATGAAAAACCGACTTTGTTAATGGGAGGGGGGTGCATATCAGGGATAGAAAACCGGTACAATCCCCCCAAGTTCGAAAAAATTCCATCCAGTCGTATTTTAGTTATCTCCGTATTTAGGAACTGTGTGCTCAGAGCCGGCCGTTCTGAAACTCCACTGACATGTCGTCATGTCAGTGCTGGCGGGTTGATGGCACTTCCCATGGAGCCGCCAACTGTCCTGCCCACAAAATTATCAAAACATTGCCATTATTCCCGGCCGCTCACTCGCATTGCCTCGGTTAGAACCATGGCGAAAGAACGATCTGAAAAAGAGGCAGCGTTTGCTCTGTTGTTGGCTGCACAAACGAGCACAAAACTCTTTTGAAAACTCCCTCGTCAGAGGATTTGAGGACTCAATGGGTGGATTTTATTTATAATGGGAATGTACCCGCGGCACTTCCAAAATATCTGTACGTATGTGCGCACCATTTCACTTTGGACTGTTTTATCAACGAGGGACAGTTCAACGCTGGATTTGCGTCCCGGATAATGCTGGACGGTCGGCCATCCTATTAATTAGCAAAGGCTTCAGAGAAGTTTTAGAGCACCAAAATCTTACATTGTAGCAGAGCTCTGGTTGTAAATTTTTCTACATTCATATCTTCCTCCTTAAGCGTGACCCTCCTGGCGGTTTTGAATAATACATAGGATGTGTCGACTATGTTGCTTCATGTCGCGTTTGGTCTGAACGCGGCTAAGAGTTTCTTCCGGAGCCTCTCCCTCTGGGTCAGACTCTGGCTCAAACTGGTAGGGTTGTACGAGCGATCTACTTGCAGCCATGACCGAGCCAGTGTAAACATTAGCACATGGCTATGAGAGCACAGCCACAGCCCCTTCCAGAGAGATGGGTGTAAAGTGGACGTGGCTTAGGTGCAGCTCATTTCATTAAAGAGACATGGCCCAAAACTGAGGATTTTGAGCGGAGCTGTTTTTAGCTGATAAAAAGAGCACTAAAATAATTGATCCAAATCGAATTTTGACCGAAGAACGTCACAGACATGCTTTTAACACAACAGGGGACTATTTTAAGTTGTGTGAAATTGGCATGCCATGGGACCTTTAAGATGAAACAAATCTATTTCATGTTGATGACATCTCCTGCTGACCACCACTGCTTGATCTTAAGCACACAGGCATGGTTAACAGACTGGAGTTCGATACTCATCGATTTTCTGTAGAAACACAGAGGTTGAAACATTGATGTCAAAAACAGACAGTTTAGTGATGAGGTTTATAATCTAATGACTTTCATAAAGTTAAACTCTGTCAGACTCTTACAGCAGGTAAATCAATCAGTTAATCATTCAGTGGATCAATCAGTGATCAGTGGTCATTGGTGAGAGTCACAATCAGAGAGCTCTGAGCGGGCAACAAGCCAACATTCGATCAGAAACACAGACCTCAGAGAATACAAAGAAATGAATCAGAATAAATGTACGGAGGCCTGGTAGAGCCAGAAACATGCAGCAGGTGTTCGAGGGCAGAGCTGTGACTACAGTACAGCTGCAGACTCTCACACTATTATTACAAACATGAGCCTTAAACAAGAGCTGTTTAAAATAAAAAAAAGAAAAACAGACTTGAACTTAGTGTGTACAAGATATCAGTGCCTGTTGTCAGGGGGTATTTTAGCATTGCTTTTGCAGAGCTGGAAGAGATGGAAGCATATCATCCATTGATTCATTAGTGGTTGTCCAAATACTAAATACGGTTCTATCTGAGTTTACAGCATAATCTGGAGAGGCAATCAATTCAGATGCAGCCTTCTCCAGGGCCTTAGTGTGGTCTTTACTTCACTGACACTTCCAGCTGCTCCTCATGGCTGACATCAAGATAATGTTAGCTCACATCTGTACCAGAATAGCTTAAGTGGATGATAATAACTGACTTTGTGTTCCAGCCGTAGGGCATATGTCCCTCTGTCTTTACTGTGAAGGAGTCTGGCTGTCTCTCGCGTTTCATATGTTGGCTGAGATCTGGCTTGCTTCAGCTATAAAGACTCTCAATGATCAGAATATGTTTTGTCACGATGGAAGTCTGAATTCATGCACGGTCAGATCTGACAGCAAGGTGAGATAAACAAGGTTTTAAGAAAGACTTTTGCAATTTTCTCACTTTCTCATTCTTTTTTCCACCTCTGTCAAATATGTATGAGTGGAACTGTAAAATATGTCAAATGCAGTGATACTTTAGGTCTAAACATACCAATACTCTTGCAAATTGGCAAGTGAAATCTCACAGCTTTTTTTTTTTTTTAAACCCGTGTTTCTGGCTCTAGTAGGCTTTCGTAAGACGCTTAAAATATCTGAACATACAAACCAGATTGATCAGAAACCAAAAGAAAATTGGAAACAAACAACATCAAATCAAATCCAAACATACGAATAATAAAACAATCTCTTAAGATAGTAATGTATACCCCAGATATCATCACCAACAGGAGGGAAACAAAAGGTGGGGACAACAGCAATAACATGAAACCAAGATGGTTACATTCCAGGTGGAGAAGTTCCGCCCCCCCCTGCAGGTACAGTCATGGTGTCGCTGATAGGGAAAGTGTGTGTGTTAGAGTGTGCGTGTGTGTGTGGGGGTGAGTGTGGGGTAAGGGTGTGGGGGCGATTAACCAAACTCCCCCTACAAACCAGATGACTAAATAGTAACACCATGACATGAACTCAATGATCAAAGAAGACAACAAAAATACAAGTTGGACTCTCAGATGGCCCTGCATTGTACCTTTTAGAAAACGAGAGAGAGAGAGAGAGAGAGAGAGAGAGAGAGAGAAAGAGAGAGAGAGAAAGAGAAAGAGAGAGAGAGAGAGAAAGAGAGAGAGAGAGAGAGAAAGTGTGTAAGAAAGATAGGCACTGAGAGTCTTAGTGGGAGTGTGTGTTCATCCAGTTGTGTCTGGTCTGTTCTTTTCAAAATAAAAGCTCCTGATCAGGACACAAGGCAAAGACATCTGTAAAGTGTGTGGTTTGTTTTCTTTAAAAGTTTTCATTCAGTCATTTTCTCTTCTGACCACAAAAAAGGAAGAGAACACACACACACGCACACAGTCACACTCAAGCAAAAGACCGATTAAAAAATATTGATTGTAACACTGATAATTTAGCCAGTAATATTGAGTAGTTAACCAGTTTGATCAGCTGTTTTCATACTTTGAGCCATGTGGTTTATCTCTGTACTGCTAAAGTCTGTGTGGATACAACTTCTCTACATGGGCTGAAATATTTCACCATCCTTGACCAAACTTTGATTTAACACTGCTGAACCATATCTGATCTCCTGATGCTAAAAGCATGTCACTCTGTGAGGAAATACTGCCTTCATTTACTGTAGAGGAGGTGTTTCCAAATACTTTTGGTGTGTTCCTATTTTTTTTTTTTTTTTTTTTTTTTTTTTGCTAATTTTGAACAGTTCTGACATTTTTTTCTAAAACTCGTTCATCTTTAAAAATACTGTTAGAATTCATTTCATAACACAAAAATAAATCTCTTTATTTACCTACAACTCTGTCTGATCAGCTGAATCTCTGGGTTCAAATCAGTGATACAGAAGCCCAAATATTGATCTACAGCTGATCAATATCAAAACTGATCGGTCTGACACACTCGCTCACTCACACTCACAAACAAACACACACGGTGAGCTCGGCAGCATACGGTAGAGTATGGCTATATCCTGATGGGCTAGACCTCTGACCTCTTTGACAGACAGGTCAGTTGCCATGGAAACAGACAGCAGCTGATGGAGCACAGTGTAGGGTGAACAAGACTTTCTCAAGCTTTGGAGTGCGAGCATCAATCCAGCAGAGTGCCTTGCTCCTGGGCTCGGGTCAGACTGTCTTTACGGTGCAAGTGGTGCACGCCCATTCTCTTTGGGCTTTTCTGTGGCCGTTGCAGAGGGGCAGCCGTGGCATGGGCTGCATCGAAGTCCAGGGGGCGTGGTGAGATGACAGGGAGGTCATGCGGGAGGACGTCTCTCTCCTCAGTTGAACTCTCAGCCTCATCCTCTTCAAAATCCTCCCTGCAGATGTCTGCAGGACCTGTTGCCATGGTGACTGCTGTGTCCCCGCTGCCTCCATCATCCTCCAGGTTCATTAGCAGCCTCTTGCCCTCCTCTGTGGAACCTTCTCCAGCGCTATAGCGTCCCCTCCTGCCAGACCGTTGCTCAGTGTCAGTGTCAGTGTCAAGGCTGGAGCCACGGCTTGGTGTCCAGCTGCGTGCCGAGGAACCTTCCTCGCCATCGGAGTACGCCGCTCTGTGGCGATCGGAGGAAGACGAAGCACCGCCTCCTGGTGTCTGCCTGCTCCTCTGCAGCTCCTGGGCTGTCTGACTGCTGAATGAAGTGCGGTGGACCATTGAGCCTTCGCATGATGGTGCCATCTTCTCCACAAACATCCGCTGCCAGTTAGCCAGCAGGTCCTCCTCTGAGCTTGCAGAGCTCGCCAGAACGCTGGGAGCCTGTAGAGTAGACAAAGAGTGAGGAAATGAGTGAGTGAGTGAGTGAGTGAAAGAGCTGAAGGTGAAAAGGGTAGAAAACTGGTCATCTTTAGTGATGATTTACCCAGAGGACATGCCTGTCTTCTGGGTAACTATGAGCTGTATTCAATTAGAGTTTGGATACTGTGAGATATGATGATGTAAAATAGACTTGATTGTTTAAAAACAATGTAAACCTTTTATTTAAATGAAAAATACTGCAAAATTGTCTTTTTCAACGATGCCAGCATCAAGTTAGAGGGACGCTGGAGCAGAATTACAAAACACCCACTGAGTTGTGTAAAGCTAAGAAACACTGGAGGAAAATCTAAAAACTAATGTGGTTGATTTACAACAGGTTAGAAACATGACTGGGTATCAAAAGGGCTCTCAAAGAGGCTGAGTCTCTCAGAGGTTAAGATGGAAGGAGGTTCACCACCCTGTGACAGCCAATGTGAAGAAATACAACAATTAAAGGATGTTGGTGAGCGTGAATAAAAAAAAAGAATTTGAGGATTTCATTATCTACATTATACAATATCATGAAAAGATTCAGAGATAATCTCTGTACAAAAAGGACAAGGACCAAAACCAAGACTGGATGGCCATGATCTCCGGGTACTTTTTTAAAAAAACAAATCGACTCTGAAGTGCAAATGACCGCATAGGCTATGAATCACTTCCAAAAACCATTTCTACATTGTCACCAAATCTCAAATGCAGTTTAAAACTGTACCATACAAAGCGGGAATCATACATTAACATGATCCAAGAGCATCACTAGCTTCTTTGGACCTGAGCTCATAAATGACCGAGTAAGGACAAATAGAGTTTTGTCCTCTAGTCTGATGAACTAAAACTTTGCATTCTTTCTGGAGATCATGGGCACTGCATTCTGTACTCTATCGTGAGGAGAGACCATCCGGTGAACAGTCCAAAGTCCTCATCTCTGATAGTATGAGGATCATCAGAGTTCATGTCATGGGTATCTTCCACATCTGTGTAGGCTCCATTAGGTGGGCAGGAATCTGTTATAGAAGCATCTTTTTTTGTGGCGTATATACAAAACAGCTTTAATATCAGTCAATAGCTATTAGTCATTGATGATATTTGGTAATATAAAAATATTGCTGTGTTTTGTTATGTCTGTGTAGTCAACATTTAAAATTTTTTGAGCGCTCCACTCTTTCTGACTGTAAACAAAGCCACTCTCCACCTTCCCAACCTGATTGGTTGTGAGGCAGACACTGCTCCACCATGTTGTTCAGGAGCCCAAACAAAGTTAGCGTGCTACAATATCGGACAGTAGAAACCAACCAGAAAGCACAGAAAATTGTCTGAATCCTCCTTTAGCCATGACTGCCAACACAAGCAAGAAAACAAAGTAAATACTGGAGACTCTGGCGGAATAATGGGCACTTAATAAGGAGGTAGACTTGACAAGAGCTAAAAAGCCAGGTCAACTATGACGGGGGACGCTTTGGAATCTTACGGACCCTGTAACCCTTATGCTGGACAGGTAAACCGCTTTAATAAAGTAAGCCAAGTGTAATAGAAGTGTTTCTTGTCAAACGGGACCTGCTGCATGTTGTTGCGCCACTAAACTGTTGACCTCGGGTCCTGGACTATGTCACTTTATCCTAATTGTAGAAGTCCTGCAAACATTGTGTTTGCTGGTAGTCTGCTGGCATCTACAGTAGCACCACTGTTGTTTACTTTCACATTGACTGGGCCCCATTTGTAATTATCTGAAGTATTTATCTGCATTATATCTGAATTTAATCGAAACAATACGAGTGATGACGAGGGTCTGTTTGTGGGCGGGGCTGGCTGGAGTAGAGAGGGAGGGGAGAGGAGGAGCTGAGGGGAAAACTGGTTGGGAGGGGTAGTGTCTACATTCAAGATTTCTCCCCAAAACTGGCACTTCCTCAGATCCTGCCTACCCCACCTTTAATGCTGAACAATATCTATAGGTTTAGGAGCAACATCTGCTTCCATCCAGACAAAGACCTTTTTAGGGAAGACCTTCATATTTCAGCAAAACAATGACAAACCACATTCTAACAACAGGGATTACAACAACATGGCTCTTTAGTGGAAGAGTCCTGCTGGGGAACTGGTCTACCTGCAGTCCTGACTTGAACTGAGTGAAAACTTTTGGTGCATCATGACACCATAAAATAGCAAAGGACCCCTGAACTGATGAGCACCTGAAATTCTATACAAAGCAAGAATGAGTCAACACTTGGAGCGCAGTTGACCGAGCTGTTTAGGAGCCCAACCCTTGTACAGAGACTATGATCTTCACTGCACTGGTCACAGGAATGATTTCCAACCTCAGCCCATGGGTGAGACACGGGGTGAGGCAGAGGAGAGAGTGAAGACAGACCCAGAGTAAGAGACACACAAGCAACAGAGCCAAATGAGCTCATTTAATAGATTTTTCTCCCGTTTGTATAAAATTAAACTCTGGTACAGATAAAAATCAGCCTTGGTTATCATCCAAGGCTTTTTGCTGGTCTATCACTTCTTTGGTTTAAGATATCCTCCTGTAACACATTCCCTGTCAAGAAAGGCCAAAGAGCCCCCAAAACTAATCTGAAAGCATTAGTTTTTCTGAGTAGTTTAGAAATTCCAGAGACCAGTTGGCTTGTTTCCCAAACTTTATCAGAGTGGAAATAAAGGAAAAGGGAAGCAATACAAGATATCCAGTTCCATCACCCAGTTCTATCACCCAGTTCCAACAGCTCTGAAACATGGTAATATAACAAAGTCAAAGTCAGAGTAGGTCTTTGGAAAAGACTATCAAATTTTTTTTAGCATCAACATTTGATATGTGTGTTTGGTCCATGTCTTTGCATTATATTCAATTTGAAAAAACTCTTCTAATTCTGTTTGTGAAGAGTCCCAGCCATCATTGGAGTTATGATTGTGGAGCAGGAGTGCTGGAAGAAAGCGTCAACTATCAGATAAGCATATTCTGATTGGAGGTCAGTTACCTGTGGTGGGCTGCTGAAAGGGCTGGACTGACTGGACAGTGGATCACTGGTGGCGTCCCTTTGTGATGGTGGCGTGCGCTGGTGGGCCCCTCCTCCAGAGGAGGAAGAGGGGGCAGGGCTACCTGTGGCCAGCCGCTCGTCATCGTTCTGGACCAGGCTCAGGGAGATGGCCTGCCGTGTGGCATAGGTGCAGTTGGGTAGTGGAGAGTTTTTGGGGATCTTTACTTTGTCATCTGAGGAGAACTCAATGACTTTGCGTCCAGGGTAAAGGGGATGGGGGGGTGGCGGGGCCGGGTATGGGTTCAGCTTCTCAAATGACGGAGCCCCGCCCACCTCCTCACCAGCCACCTGCCCATCCAGACTGCTCTGATTGCGACAGGAGCCGTTCTGCTGAGCCCCTTGACTATTTCCCCCATTCTCTCGACTGTGGCCCTCGGCCCCTACAGGACTGGTCATGTCCACGTGCACAAAGACGTCCTCAGCGACAGGTCGGCCACAACTGCTGGACTGGGCGGAGTTCAGGACCAGCGGCTCAGGTTTCTCCAAGACTCGAGCGATGACTGAAGTCGGCACAACATCTGCGGGGGTCAAACTGAGGGTGTCTGGGTCCTGAGGGCCAGGGCCAGGGCCAGGGCCAGGGCCAGGGCCCCGCTCAGGCAGGCTGCTCTTCATGTGTTTGTTCAGCATGTCCTGCAGCTCGTAGGGTAGCTGCAACACACACACGCACGCACGCACGCACGCACGCACGCACGCACGCACGCACACACACACACACACACACACACAACAGCATGATGCTGTGCGTCTCACAGCGACGAGCAGAATGAATTTGTGTGTGAACTGTTCTCAAGAGGAACGTTAAGGGTCATCTGGCCTCCATCAGTATTTGAGAAGCTCTGGCAAACAAAACTACACCTGCCTCTCAGAATGTGAACATACACAGTTAACTCGTTTACTACTCAGTGTCCTAGTAACTCATCCATGCTATTAAAGTTCAGGACCAAAGTCTGGCGTGCAACCACTGGAGCCTGCACAGACCACTTGGACCAGTTTCAGTCCTATTGATTAGATTAGATAAGAGATTAGATACACCTTTATTTATCTTTTTGGGAGGGTTCCCTCCAGGAAATAAAAAACATTGAAGCGTGTACATGGTGTTCATGATCGGGGATCAGGTTTTTAGTATCAAAGACTTCAGTGTGTAAATCTACAGACAGATTGTGACCCAGTGTTAACAAAGTCATGATAAAGTTAAACGTGCCAGGTTACTCACATCAGCAAACTTGTGGTTCCTGAAATGTGACTTGTTGCATTTGAGCAGCTGAACGGCCAAGTTACAGTCCTGCCTGTAGCGCTCCTGAGGAGAAAGAGACACCACAGTCACACAAACATGAACATGCTGTACACTCTTCCTGATGATCTGTCACCTACACATTCATCCATAAAATACCAGACTGACTCTGACCTGAGATTGTGAGGGCCAATCAGAGGACAGCACTAAGACTACCTGAGCCAACAACTCATCAGGAGGAAATTCACTTTGAAAAAAAGAGAGCAAAAAAGAACAATTTGATTTAAATGTCCCTGAGTCAATGACTAAATCTCACTCAGTCTGAAGCAGGCCTGACCCCTCTGACAGCAGGTGTAAGGACTAATAATGTAAAGGATAGAGCAAATGCAACCAGTAGGAAACTGATCCCCTCTCTGCAGCTCATCAACAAGATAAACATGAGGTTTTGGTCCCAAAACATGGAAGCAGGGTTTTTTTAACATGACCACAACACATAGAGAAGAGAATAGAAATAGAAGGTGGTCGCCGCCTTCTGCAGGAAGACTGTTACCACGGTAACCAAACAGGCTGGACACAACCTCCAGATGAAACCTGCTGCTTAGTGACACACTGCAACTGCAGCAGCAGCAGCAGCAGCAGCAGCAGGTCTGTGTTCCACATTTCACTTGCAGTGCCTGGCATGACAGTTTTTAATCAGTCTGTAATATGTATCTTTCTTCAAATGTTAGTGTTTTCGTGTAACAGAAATATGTTTAAAGATTAGACTGTCAAAGTCACTGCACGCTGCTGTCAGCCATGCTAACCTCAGTGTTGAAGACTTAATGCACCTCAGTTGTTTCTCCTCAAGCTGCTAAGTGACGGTTGTGTCTTTTTTTGGAAGCTTAATAAAGCCAAATTTGGCATTTTCATAACCTGGCCATTCTTATATTCTGATGCACCGGGACAGACTGAAATATCACAGAGATTATAGTGCTGAAGTATGTGAGTTATCATTATTGGAGAAATGTATCCAGTGGTCAGATAATAAAACAACTGGAGTACATGCAGAAAGCAGACAGATACTTAACTGAAGGTTTGAGATTATAAAAAAAGTGAGGATTTCAGTCTATGATAAAGCTGTGCACCAAAAAAACCCAACCTTTCACGACCAACTTTTTGAAACTGACTGATTTAAACTTTTAAAATCTTGTTTTTATGAAAGAGTTTGGCTGAAAATAAATTCACCAAATAAAGCAAGGTAGTACACTTTCAAGGGAGGGCTCTGCAAGAAAATCCTTGATATCAGACATAATGAAATACAAATTACCATGAGAACCCTGAATCGACCAACTTTACGCACGGGAACAAGAAGACACCAAGACAGACACCTGTGCGCAATTAGAGGAGTGATCCTTACCCTGGCGTTGATTCTCCCCACTATCTATAACACAAAATTCACCTACCTAAACTCCCTCCTTGTCTTCATGCAGTGACTTGCGGCAGGTATTTATGCACTCTTGACCACTGGCCAGGCAAAGTGACTAGCATGCTAGCAACCCCACCAAGACCACAGCCATGCTCCTGAGCAAAGCTTCAACCACATGAACCACAACACTACCAACCCCAATAATTGAACCCAAGGGGGAATGCTGCTACAGCCTGACAGGTGAAAACACCAAATCACTGCAAATGGGCAAAATTACGCACAGTGACTGTCCAGTGGCTGCTGGCCCAACCGAAACAGCATAAACAAAAAGCTGAAGCTCCCTTAACAGAAGCAAGGTAAGAGCAAACTTAGTTATCTTAGAAAAACAAGACTTACCCTGAAAAAGACATCCCAAACGCGCTGTCCTTCCCTTCCAAACAAATCCTACACATGCACGCGCAAACAAACTCCGCAGCACAGGTAGGCAGAACAGAGATGCTAGGTGCGCACACAGACCGTTTAAAACAAATGTGCACCGGATCCAGAAAGTTACAAAACATGAGTACCAAGCAAACAAACCATCAACTAGGCAACACTAAACTGAGCCAAACAATGTAATTTTACCTAGCAAAAAATGAGGGAAAAGGTGGATGGCATAACCTGGCTCAAGGGCCATGACAAATGTGGTAAGGACACCAAGAATACTTGAAAAAAGGTGGCTGGTTTATTGCAAAATAAGTGAACCAAATGAATAATCAACAGCAAAATATGGCATGTGTCAGTCCATTCAGTCAGTGGTGTCAATGCATGTGTGTTAAGTTGAAGTGTAGGGTGTTGTCAAGCAAAACAAACAAATACAGAATATACAAGTGAAGGCTGGGATGGAGGTGGCAGAGTGAGAGAGAGAGAGTAGGCAGCATTAGGGTTGGGCTTTTAACCCTGCCAGGGCCAGACCCAGGTGATCCAAATCATTGTCATGAGCAGAACTCAGGTATCTCTGCAACAAGGGGGAGGAGACAGGACAGGTTAGGCAGAGCCAAGCAGAAGAGTAACTGCAGCAGGGCCGTCACAGTTTGAACTCCTTTCAAATAAAATCATGTTTTTGGAAGATTGAAAATGAAATAGTCTCAGATTGAATAAAATGTGATGGCATGTTAAAATGAGTAGTCAAATTAATCAACTTAATTTGTAGAGCATAAAGTGTCACCATATACAACTACTGCCATCCTCTACATGTTTCACTGTGCCCTGTCTCATCTGGAGGAACCTGGGGTTTATGTGAGGATCATGTTCTTTGACTTTTCAAGTGCATTCAACACCATCCAACCCTCCATACTCAAAGACAAGCTCACAGAGATGGGAGTGGATCCTTCCTGTGTTTCCTGGATCACAGATTACCTGACAGGAAGGCCACAGTTTGTCAGGCTGGGGAATTGTGTTTCTGGGACATTGATGAGCAGTACAGGGGCTCCACAAGGGACAGTGCCTGCACCATTCCTGTTAACACTGTATACGTCAGACTTCAAATACAGTACTGAGTCCTGCCACATACAGAAATACTCAGATGACACTGCTATTGTGGCATGTATCAGAAATGGACAAGAAGCTGAATACAGAGATCTGATAAGAGCCTTCAGTGACTCGAGTCACAAAAACTGCCTCCTCCTCAACACCTCAAAGACAAAGGAGATGGTCATAGACTTCCACATGGACATTTAAGTGGTGACATCATATAAATACCTAGGTGTACATCTGGATAATAAGTTGGACTGGTCTAAGAACGTAGACTTCATCTACAGAAAGGGGCAGAGCCGCCTCTTTTGCCTGAGAAGACTCTGATCAATAGACATCTGTAGTAAGATGCTACAGATGTTTTATCAGTCTGTGGTGGCAAGTGTTCTGTTCTACGCTGCAGTCTGCTGGGGAGGAAGTATCAAACAAAGATGTAAGACGTCTGAACAAACTGGTGAAAAAGGATGGCTCTGTGGTTAGACTCAAGCTGGACTCAGTGGAGGATGTGGTGGAGAGATCTACACTGAGGAAGGTGGAGTCTATTCTAAAGAACATGGATCACCCACTTCACAACACCTTAATTGACCAAAGGGCAAATGGTGGTGGATGGCTCCTCTCTCTTCGCTGCAGGACAGAAAAATTCAGAAGATCTTTTGTACCAACAGCCATCAGGCTTTATAACTCTTCTATTATCTAGTAGATGAGATGAGACTTCAGACAAAAAAATTTCCCTTCTGTGATTAATAAAGTTCTTCTTATCTTCTTATCTTATCTTGTCCCTGCACCCACAGCAATGACTGATTTCCAGGATCTCTGAATAAAGCTGATAAAACTTCAGTGAAAAAGTTCTGTGCACTGTGAGCTGTTGAAGAGTCGGCCATTAGGTATAAAATGAAAGCTGTAAAAGAGCCTGTAGGTACAGAAGAACAAACACCGTCAATGAATGAAAAAGTGAATGCAGAGTGTTGGTTCAAAAATAAACATTGTAAAGGTCAATGCTTGTCAGTTTTCATATGACGAGCAGAAGAGGAGAAAATGATGGGAATGCGCTGAATTCATACTATCAACAACACATGGTTTAAAGCACAGGCAGTGAGTGAATTAATGGTTGTTAAACCACATGCTGTCTGGGTCCAACAAGGTTTCATTCAGTACACTATTAACATCTGTTTTGGGCTGGACTCAAGTCAAAGCATTCATGTTTCATTTATTCAAAAGTCAGGGGATCCTAAAGGAGAGCATAATAATAATAATAATAATAATAATAATAATAATAATAATAAACTTTTCTAAAGCACTTTTCATACAAAAGATGCAGCACAGAGTGCTTTTCACCCCACTACCCCCACCCCCCCCCACCCAGCACATACACATACACATACACATACGCACGCACACGCACGAACACACACACGCACAAATAATGCAATCTTAAAAGCTGAGTACAGAGGGGCCAGGTCAGGAAACGTCAGGAGGCCGACTGCACTGGGGGCTGCTCACTGCCCAGGGCTGGGACATTTCCACCTGGGCACACACCCCGCTACAGGCCAGTAAGGGGCCCACAGCAAGAATTGCTGCAGACCGCCACCTGGCCGAGCTGAGTGCACACCACAAGGCAGAAAATCCCAGACAGAGCCAGTCACAAGCTCCAGTGCAGGTGGCCCCCACTGAGGAAACACTGAAGAAACGGATAACAACTACATAAACTACATCGGCTAAGAGCATCAAAGTAAATGAAATTAAAAAATACCAATAAACAGCTAAAATATAATTTAAAAATAAATAAATAAATAGAGTAAACATAACATGTAAATGAGGACTAAAATATATAAATAAAATAAATTCGATGAAAATATAGATAAGAATTAAACATTAGTTAAAAGCCAAATTAATGGCTTAATTGGTTCGTGTTATTTCTCTCCATTTGTTCCTGTGTACACAGATCACACACAGGCCATGTTTAGAAATACAGCGGTGTTCAGATTACAAAAATCCACTTGGCATCAACCCCACCACAGAAGAAATAAAGGAAGACTCTGCAGCTGTTTACATATAGGCAAAAGTTTCAGTCCATCAATTATTTAGATCTGTAATATATACAAGACCAAGAATGACGTTTCCTCAATTAGCATAAAAAAGGAGGATTGTAGGAAACATGATTTATTTTAATTTGCTTTATTCTCTTCTGTCAGCATATGAGTCTGTATAGATAAGTCTGTGGGTCTGACAGCTGTGCACTGTCTGACAAAATGAGGCATATCATCAATCTACCACTTACAAGGTGAATGTGTATAAGGGATAACGAGGGATCTGCCTCAGGCTGTATATTTTGGACCATTTAGGGCTCCAACAGTAAGTCTCCCTGAGGAACAGAAGGCTGGGAGGAGGTAGTAGTGAATATGTCCTCCTCCTTTAGCATCCCCATGAACTCTACTTACAGAGTCTGTGTGAAAATGTAGACATTTGTACTCAAGGGCCTGGGTTCCTACGATGTAGGTGTTTTCATATTCATTAGAAGAACATTTACAGTCCACCAATCGTGTTATAACCAATCATGTCTCAGCAGGATTCTGTTTTCACTGCATAAATAGTCAGAAAAGAAAGCCATCCATCATCAGGATATCCTGTTCCCCATGGCAGACAACTTTTCATAAACAGCAAACGCTCTCCTCCAGATCCAAATCCAAACATGAGGATAAAATCTTCCTTACACTATGCTGCGAGTGTTACACAGCACTTAGTTTTCCAGATTTCTCAGAATGCCTCAGGAATGACTAATCTGAACTCCATCTGACTAAAAAGCATTTTTTAAAACGTCTTTACTGTCGCTAACATACCTTGATGTTTTATAAGTATACATTAGGATTCTGTAAGTTGAGAAAGTTGAAGACTTGTTACTTGCAAAATCCCAAGAAAATCAGATATTTTGTTGTTTCTTACTCTTTAAGCTGTCGGAGTGAATTATTTAAAGTGAAACTGAGACTAATCAGAAACTAACATTTCTCACTTGACTTTGGATTTGAACACCTGGGTGATAAGTGAACTGTGAACAATGACAGTGCACAGGAAAGGAGGTCTTCGCTTCAAATCGTTTACAGCTTAACACAGCCAACAGTGGATATACAGAGAGATGGGCCATGATCATATAGCATGTAGCATGTATAAATCAATAGCTGATGGGTCTAATATAGGCATCCCATGGTGGCAGTACAACAAACAAAAGCTTTCCCCGTTCAGACAACAAGTCAATGTAACTGTATAAATGTGACGTTTAAGACAATTCATATATATATATATATATATATATATATATATATACAGTATATATATATATATATATATACAGTATATATATATATATATGTGTGTGTGTGTGTGTGTGTGTGTGTGTGACATCCTCAACATCCCTACAACAAAACACAAATATGCACAAGTATTGTTGATCCCTACACAACATAGCAGCAGGCTGTTCAAAGGAAAACTGTGCAAGTCAAAAACCGGCTCCCCTGAATCTATCTGCATCAGCGTTTACTCTCCCCCCTCAGAGAATCAGGGTAATGTATCATCATCATGGACCCCTGAGCTCTGCATGGATAACACATTTAGAAACTAAGAGGCTACAGGTCCTACACAGAGGCCACATTTAAGAGGTTCTTTGCACCTGAATACAAAACCCTGCTTCGAAGACACATAGCATTTCCGATGTTGAAGCAATGCAAAACATGGGCCACAACAATCAGTTTTTACTTACATTGAGCTCCTCCAGGCGGTCAATTGTGTTCTTGGCATCCAGCAGTTTGTTGGTGAGCTCCACAATCTCCTGGTCCATTGTCTTTTTGTCCCTTTCCACCTTCCGTAACTGTTGGAAAAGCGGGTACATGTTACAAACTTTGTCAACCAGAGTGACAGAGCCAATCAGGATCAGGCAGGAGGTGGATCTACATTCAGATCATGTGGGAATGAACATTCATTTTTGTTTAGATAGTTTGGATCTGTGCACTTCAGTTCCTATTAGTTACAGTCTTAAATGTATCCAGAGGTTTATCCTATAAGCTTTATTTAATAATTAACTTCAGAGTTTACACATTCCTTAGCTGGGCTCTGACTTATTTTCAGGGTTTATTTCACATTTCCCAGATCATTTGAATGCTGCATTAACTAGCAGCAGCTAAAGATGCATTATGGGAAGTGGCAATGTGGCTGCTGCTGCAAGATCAGAGATATCCCATAGGATCTTGATCGAAGCGCTGAAGCTGAAATGTTTTAACGGAGTTCCTCACAGAGCGGTGAAAAAGAAGCAAGCAGCCAACATAAGCTTAAAAAGCTCACATAAAGTCAGACTCTTGTTACCATTGTTCTGTTTTCACTGATCAATACAACTGATCAGGAAATATTACTGCACTTAAATGCTTCACAAATGTGCAGCGACTGGAGTCAAGCAAATACAACATTATTTCTGGCACTATCAAAACTTTCATCACATTATCTATCATTACATGAGCTCGGCATATCCTTTCAAACTCACAAATTCAGCTTGAGGCCTGCATTAAAATTCTTCAACCAGTCAATATCTAACTAGTGAATACTGGCAGAGGCAGTGGGGCAGTACCTCAAATAACTTTTGACTGCAAGAGTAGATGTAGCTCACAATGTGCTGTTCAATACTTCACTTGGGTTCTGTAGTTTTAGGAGTCTTTGTCAGAGTGATCAGCTAACACACACTGGCTGTGTCCAAAACACTTGACTGAACCACTGCAGTTCATAATTCAGGAGGGAGGGACTTTGACTATCTTAAATTCCTTCATTCATGTGGCAGTAATATAACTTAAAAGTCATCTAAGAGAAACTTTCCTACAGATTCAATTCAGTGGTTCCAGACAGAACCAATGCCATGTGAACCAAAACTGGCAATCCATGAACATTTTTTTATGGACCTGCACACAAAAGAAGAAGCTGAGTTAGCAGAATGAGACAGATCTGTAACAGTACATCTAAACATAACCCTCAATACAAAAAAAGCGGGCATAGGAGGTGTTTCAAACATAGACAAAAACAGATTGTGATGTTTGTAAACCCTTTACATCCCATGTTTTATTGAAAATGGTGCAAAAATGACCTCAAATGTTGAAACTGAAAAAAAAAGTTTCATAAAAAATATATGTTCCTTTTAGATCTGATGACAGCAACACATTTCAGAAATGTTGGAACATCTGGAGGAACATTTGCAAACTTGTAGGGTCAATTTCCACCAGGTGAGTAACATGAGTGGGCATAAAAGGGCACTCCAAAGAGTCTCTCAGAAGAACAGGTGGGAAGTGGTTTTAGACCCTGTGAGAGACTGCATGAGCTAATCATTCAACATTAATGAATATTGCTCTGTAAGGTAGATAATGAATGGATTTCATCATCTACAGTACAAAATATCATGAAAAGAGTCAGAGGATTTGGAGAAATCGGTGTACAAAAGGGACAAGGACCAAAACCAAGGCTGGATGGATGTGATCTTCACAAAGCCCTCAGGCATCACTGCATTAAAAAAATACTTTTGTGGAAATCACTGCATGGGCAAAAAAAAATCACCTTTAAAGCCCAATGTCTGTAGACTAACTTGCCATCTCATCTAAATGCAGGTTAAAACTGAACCATGCAAAGAGGAAGGAACATATACACATGATTCAGAATCTGCCAGACTTCTCTGGGCCTGAGTCCATTTAGGATAGACTGAAAGGAAAGGGAGAGGAAGCACCCAGAATCAGCATAAAGCATTTCATTCAACGTTCAGCACTGAGGATACATCCTTGTCATGGGTCTTGGATCTTCCACATCAGTGAAGGCCCCATTAATGCTGCAACTATACTGAACAATATCTACATCGGCTGCCATCCAGACAAAGACTTTGTCAGGGAAGAGCTTCATATTTATATTACAACAGCATGGCTCTGAAGTAGAAGAGTCCTGTTGCTAAGCTGGCCTGCAATCAAAATATATCACCCAGTGACACTACTAAACTTGATTAAAATTCAATTTACAGACAAAGGGGGCTGTCAAGTCTTGAGTAGCTGAAACCTTTTTCTTCTAAACTTTTTTTTTCAGTTCCAACCCATCGTTCCGTGTCTTTACATTGACTATAACTCAATAATGCTTTCAAAAGATTTGTAAACCATAAAATCCTGTTTTTAACGACATTTCACTCAGCCTCTGACCTGACAATGTTTGATACAGGCAAAATCTGTCATCAAACCTCATGACAGAAAACTTTCGAGTTAAAAAAGACCTGAAATCATGAGGAAAAATATATTGCTTTAATACATAAAACTCTTTGAAGTTTAACTTTTATCTCATAACTTGGACTTTGGATGTCAAAACTATGACTCCTCCTTTGGTTTTCAGTATTTTGTTACGAGTTTTAATTTATGGGAGTGATTAATTCACATAGAATTGACACCAAAGCTTGATAAACTCAGTGAGCCACAGATTTTCATACTGATCATGTCTCTGTCTGCCTGGAGCAGATTAAAAACATAAAAATAAATATTAATGTTGTTACAATTAGGTGCTGCAACACTTTCAACAGAAAAAGACACCAAAGTCGGGGAAAACTAAGGAGAAGGACAGAAAAATGTAAGACAGAGGGTGAGGATGAGGAGGAAGAAAACGAAATGAAACGCAACTGCATGAACCCATGTCTGACTGACTGCAGCCTGATGAAGGTGATGATGATGATGATTATGATGAAGATGAGTCAATCCATCACAGAGCAGCATGAGAGGAGAGGAGAAAAAAGACAGAGAGAAAATACAGAGATGAAGAACAACATCAGACAAAGCAAATACAAAGCCAGAGAACAAGAGAAATGCTGCACCATCTGAAAAAAATGAGTTTGATCTCATACAGAGCAGTTTTCACATCGTCCTGAAGTGATCGGAAACACCTTGTCCAAAAGTTAGAAGAGTCTGAAAGAGTCCACACTTTTGGCTTAAAATAATCTTCCTGAACTAACCAAAGAAACTGTACAGTGAAGCTTTCTGAACTGCTTTTTTATAAACTGCCTCTCAGCGACTTCTGACCTCCTGATCTATCACCAGTGGCAACCACCCTGCTGTCCGTCAACTCCAGTTTTCCACAGTCAATCGATAAACAGCCTTAGAGGGTGTTTTCATTCAGCCATTGAGCAGTTATTGAAAGTGTCATCGATGAGCCCCCCCCCCCCCCCCCCCCACACACACACACACACACACACACTGGGATACACACAGACACAAACACTTGCTATAAGAATAAGAAGAACTTTATTGATTCAATTGTCTGTTGTCTCACGTAATATGTCTATAAAAGTTATCTATTATTTACATGAGAGTTATTAAGCCTGATGGCTGTGGGTACAAAAGATCTTCTAAATCTTTCTGTCCTGCAGCGAAGAGAGAGGAGCCATCCACCACCATTTGCCCTTTGGTCCATCAAGGTGTTGTGAAGTGGGTGATACATGTTCTTGAGAACAGTCTCCACCTTCCTCAGTGTAGATCTCTCCACCACATCCTCCACTGAGTCCAGCTTGAGTCCTACCACAGAGCCAGCCTTTTTCACCAGTTTTTTCAGACGTCTTGCATCTTTGTTTGATACTTCCTCCCCAGCAGACTGCAGCGTAGAACAGCACACTTGCCACCACAGACTGATAAAACATCTGCAGCGTCTTACTACAGATGTCTATTGATCAGAGTCTTCTCAGGCAAAAGAGGCAGCTCTGCCCCTTTCTGTAGATGAAGTCTATATTCTTAGACCAGTCCAACTTATTATCCAGATGTACACCTAGGTATTTATATGATGTCACCACTTCGACGTCCACTCCACAGGTGTTCACTGGCTGAAGAGGGGGTTTGGATCTACGGAAGTCTATGACCATTATGACTGTAGAGGAATTATAAACCCTGTTCCTCCTCCAGACACACAGAAATGAAGAGTTTTGACTGCTTTGCTGTGAGAGCTTTCACCCTCATCTAATCTTGGCTCTGTCATTTTCAGCTCTTTAGCATGCACCTGCTCCTGTGATATTGGTGCTGGAAACCTGCTTTCAACATCACTCCTGTCCTCACTTCCCTCCCTGTGAGTTTTACAATTGATTTTAAGATTTAACTGATGACGTTGCAGAAATGTCGACACCATTCAAGTCGACTTGCAGCCTTAGATCCTTAGGTGGCGCACTGCTGGTTGTTAAAGTCAAGGCTCAAATCTAAATAAGATTGTGTTTTTCTATCAGAGCTTTATGAGATAAGAGATGAACCTTTATTTATCCCACGGTGGGAAAATTTGCAAACCACCTACCTGAGCAGATAAGGCATGCAGGGTGAGTGACATCTTTTTAATCACTTCCGGAAACAAAACTTTAAAGACAATTTCACATTTTCTAACACAATTCATTTTAAATTTAGGTCATATAAATTTATGCTTTTGTTCAAACTACTTGTCTGCAAGTCCTCCACTGTCCCCCTGTCCTGTCCTGAATCGCAATTATTTATTTATTTTTTTACGTATTTGTTTTTTTTTTCTCTTCCCTATTTGTGTTTTTTTTTATCAACATTGTTATAGTTATTATCATGATTATATTATTATCATAATCATCATTATAATTATTATTGGTATCCATTCAATCATTAGTATTTTCATCAATTTAATTATAAATATCATCAATATCATTATATTTCTGATCATTATGATTATTATTATTTCAATTATTCAATTCTTTATAATGATTATTATCATATTATAAAAATTGTCATCATAATCAATATTATAATAATTATTATTATTGTCTTTATCATTATTTTTATTATTATTTTATTTTGATTATTTTTATCAGTTTTATTTTATTATCATCACTGTCATCATGATTATCATCATAATGTGCATGCTTATCATCATTGTATTGTTATAATCAATATTATGATCATTATTTTAATATTTTTATTAAAGTATTGTAAGTATTATCATAATAATTTCATAATTATTATTATTATCATAGTTATCATTATTATCATCATCATTAAGATAATTTTATCATCATTAATATTATAATCATTATTGTCATTATCCATTTTTAATATTATATTGATAATTATTATTTTGTTACCTTTACATTATTATTGTTTTTTAACTATTATTTTTATTATTCTTGGCATTATAAAGGATTAATAGCATAGACTGTATATAAGATGGACGCCGTCTGTCTCCTCGCCGGGTGAAGCCACTCCGAGAACAGCACCCCCTAGAGCCTGGCTGCAGCACAAGTCATAAACCCCACTTCTGCCAGCAAAGTGAATGGAGCGGCGGACGGCCTTTAGAAATTAATTACACAGAAAATACACTTTTCTTACCCCCGACTGCGATGTTGACATGTTATTATTAGACTGGTTTGTGTTCAGGTCTTTTTTCTCTCTGCAGCTCCATTTTAAAAAGTTATTAGGAGTTGTAAAAACAGGAAATTGCGTCATTCTCTACACTTTGCACTTGCCGCTTGTGCGTCGCTCTTTTTCGTTTATCGTCAAGACCAATCGGGTTTGCTAGCGGAGAAGAGGATTTTTGAGCGGAGCGTCATCGCTCCGAGTCTCCCGCCCAGCCAAAAACGCTACTGCGCAGCTCTGGTTTCAAGGAAGTGGAGAAAAACCCGGAATTACAGAGAGCTTTTTGGCTTCAAATCCGTATAAAGGCGGAGCCTGGAACCAGGCTGTCCATCTTATATACAGTCTATGATTAATAGTCACAAGTTTTAATGTTTGAATATTTTTTCAAATTAATACATCTTTTAATGGAAGTCTTTTTTTAAACAGAATATCTAAAAAAAATGAAGATGGAACAGTTTTTAAAATGTATGATATGGTTTAAACCTCACAATTTTTATAACATTTTAAAATGACCACCATTGAGTTGTCATGTAATAAGTTATTCAGTGCTGTATTTCAAATGCTGATAACTCTAATGTCAATAAACTTGTGAATATAGTATTTGCACAGCACAGTCCTTACATGAGGCTGTACTTTTTCTTCAGTGAAAACTACAGTCAACTCAAAGGTCCATCACAAATTATTTTTCAAAATAGGCAAAATCAGTTTACCTCTTTATCTGAAGAACTCTTTGCTCAAATGATCCCAAAGTCCACAAAGATATCCTTTGGATATTTTTTCATCATCTTTTCTTTTTAATTGTGTATTATTTGTTGCTTTATTGAAAGTAGATACCCAGTTGGTGTCATGGTTTAAAAAGAGACCCCAGTATACTAGCCTCTTTCAGCTGAGTAATAATAAAGGTTGAAACTCTCTAGTTTACCAATATAAAAACAAATGCTCTCAAAGTATTCATCCAAAAAATATTTATTATGTGTCCTTTTTCAGCTGTATTGACAATTGTTGAATATTTATGTAAACTAGGAAGCAGCTGAATGCTAAAATTAGTTGTATTCAGATGCTAATGGGCTGTCAAACATGTTTCCCAACTGAATATATGACCCTGTCTCTCTCCTGATTGTCTTTCTATAGTCTGTGTAGCTGTTAATCAATCTGTGAGCTGGTAAATTACAATGATTTGTCAGATTACCAAGGTTTATTTGACAACGAATTTGAGGAGGGAGGGAAACATTTAGGCTTACGAAGTGATAAGGTACATTTGAATGAATTAACAGTGATTTTTTGGGGGTAAGACCACAAAGACCTGTGTTGACCTGCATTACAATCTTATGTTCAGAGACAGGACAGTGGTTACAGCAGGAATCTGAAAGTCCAAAACCCAGGCTGCCCACTTCAGGGACTACAGTGTTGGAAAAAAGTTTGGAATATTTTCTTCAGTGTTTCTATTCCTTAAGAGTATGCTTATTTTGCGCGGCTCACGGGAGTTTAGAGAAGCGTGTCTTAGCTCAAAATGTAGCTGAGATAATCCCCTTTCAACGGGCATACAGAATTAGTGTCTGCTCCATCAGAGAAAAATAACATGAGCCCGATTACATGACACTCCCATTTTTGACCGACAAATCAGCGTCCACCACAATGGTTATAAAAGGGTGTCCACTTGTTTCCTGTGTCCCATTGCTCCTGATCTTTTTAGACAAGGTTCCTGTGACTATGAGACGTCAACTGAGTGCCGCAATCTGCAACCGTATCGTGGGCATGCGCCAAGCTGGAGCCAAACAGAATGCCATAGCCACTGCTCTGGGAATTACGCAGGGTGCAGTGTCCAAGATCCTGAAGCGACATCGACAGACAGGTGTGCCAACGCCTAGACCCAGGTCTGGACGTCCCCGAAAAACCACAGTGAGGGAGGATCGTTATCTGCACAGGCTGTCTCGTACTGGGCGTACAAAGACTTCCACCCAGCTGCGTAATGAATGGATGCGATTCACAAATACTCATGTCACGAGCCGGTTGGTACGCTACAGACTGTTGAACGTGGGTTATTTTGTGAGGAGACCAGTATGGAAACCTCTCCTGCAACGACGACACCGCCAAACCCGCTTAGGCTGGGCACATGACCACCTGAACTGGCAGGATGGACATTGGCGACACAGGGTGTTCAGTGACGAGTCTCGTTTCCTCCTTTACCGACACGATGGCCGCGTGAGGGTTCGCCGTCAGGCTCATGAGTCTCTGGCTGAAGGTTGTGTATTGCCCAGAGTGCAAGCTGGGGGCGGCGGGGTAACCGTTTGGGGTGCATTCCACAGTACCGCTAAATGTGACTTGCATGTCCTGGATGGTAACATGAACCAACACCGCTATTGCCGGATTCTGGAAAAATGCTCCCATTTGCTAGACAGCACTTCGGGGCAAACTTTGTGTACCAAGATGACAACGCCCCGCCTCACAGGACCCAGCTGATACGCGATTTTCTGGATCAAGAGGGTGTGGAACACATGGAGTGGCCAGCCATGTCCCCGGATATGAACCCGATCGAGAACCTGTGGGCTGAAGTTTCACGTGGGCTGAATAACGTGAATGATCCTCCAACAAACGTGGCTGAACTGACTCAGGCTGTGATCCAATGCTGGCGAGAAATCCCAGTAGAAACTCTTACCAACCTAGTGACCAGCATGCCCAGACGTGTACGCGCATTGTACAATGCTAGAGGCGGTCACACAAAGTACTGACTGTATTGTTGTTATCGTCTTGTTATGTTTGATGTTGCTTTCAAAGATGGTCCACGTATTTTGTGGCAATTTAAAATTACAGCCGTTTATTTATTAAATACCGACTCATGATTTTATGCGTTATTTCTATGGCCTTTTGTGAATCATAATGTGTCCGCCCTACAATTTTTTGAGAAACAAAATAGTTTGATGTGAATTTCAAAAACATATCACAGAGACCAGGGAACATTAAAAAGTCTCAAGAATAATTCTCCAGAAAGCAGCAGACCGCGTTAAACACGAGGCTGGGGTTGAATTGACAAATATTCCAAACTTTTTTCCAACACTGTATATCCTGACACCTCTGTACAGGAAGCACACAGTTCATTCTCTGAACTAAAATAGTGCCCCTGGAAATCTTTTTATGATTGAGCAACAATTAGATCATATCGATAGACTTTGTGATATAAGAGACAAAATATATGTCAGCAGAAGTACCATAAATCAGACCATAAGTCACACCAGTTGATTGACTGCCAAGTCCACATTGTGCAGTCTCTGTGCTACTGTATAGCTGTCTTGATAAGTCAGTATCATCACCTTTTTCTTCCTATTCTAATTAGATTTTCTTTGGCAAGTATAAAAACATATACAACCTGTTAGAATAAGTTACTCTAGAGATGGGCTAAATGATCCCCAGCCTCATTTGAATAATTGACGTTTTTACTAAATTACAAGTTTTGCTACATCTTTTTCTCTTATGGCTGTTGAAACTGAATCGAACATTTATTTGGAGTTTCACTTTGAGATGTAACAAGGAAAATTTAACTTGTAAAGGTCCTAGAAATATTTTAATCTTGTCAAAGTAAATCCCATCATGAAAATTTCTGATCCAGTGATGTGATTTCTCAGACACATTTAAAGAGGCTGGTCTACATTGACTTCAAAGAGGAAGCTATGAGTGGTCAGGAGACTACCTCAAAAAAGTAAAAAAAGGTTACCAGAGCGTGAAGCTTCTCCTCCAGATCCTGATTGGCTCTTTGAGACGCTGTGTAGCTGTTCTGAAGTCTGCAGAGAAACAGAAAGAAAAAAGGGTTACTAGGCATGATCACTGACCTGCTGGGCTGTAGGTGACAGAAAAACAAAGTTGCTGAACTTTAGTGACAAACAATGTAGATGTAAAAATACTGCTCAGTAAATAATGCCTCAAGGGACTTTTGAATTTGTGTCCAGTCATCTGAAATAAGCAAGACAGGAAAAATACAAGGTAAATATTAAGACCATAATTAAACTGCATGACTCTGTAATATGCACTATACATCAGATATTGAACAACAGCCAGTGGCTGCTTTGGATCTGAAATGCTGTAATTTAGGATTTTTTTCATTATCTTTGACAGGTGCAGCCATGAAAGCATCTGATCAGCATGGTTTGTCATTTCTTGTATCACTGCTTGTGTCCTGATATGCAAAGATGTTGTCATTTTTAATCATTTGGAGTATTTAGAGTATTATCATAACCACATGCTACAGCTGATAGGACTGGAAAATCTGACCACCAGGGACCAAGCAAAAGAAAATATGAGGCACAAACATGAGCTATATTCACAGCATAATCAACAATATGCAATCCTTGCATAATATCAACTTTAGAGTTGATGCCAGCAAAATCAGCATTTTTCTGTGTTAAGCAACACTGTTTTTTCAAAGTACTGTGCAACAGAAAGAGTGACTGTGTTCCAACTGCTTTTAAAAATCTCTGCACGCTTGGCAATTTAATACCTGCCTACACGCACTGATAGCAAATGCTGCTTTCACCGGCATTACCCAAGTGTCTGCGTAACAAAGCACTCAGCAAAGCAACACAGTAAAATCACAGTCAAGTAAAGCCTCCTCTCAGTTATGGAGCCTCATTGCTGGGGACTCATCATGGGGACAATTCAGGTCAAAACACACACAAAAAAGTCTCAAGCTGAGAATCATATCTGATTTCCTCCACTCTTCTCTTAACTATGATGATAAATCTTCAGCCTCATTAGGCACAGACTCACTGACTTCCTCTCTTACTTCCAAGCTGGTTATCATCACACAGCAAAGTAAAAGTGATTTATTTTCCTGAAGAAACATTCAAAGCTAAAGATTAAAAAGTTTTTCCTGAACAAAATAAAAGTAGCCTGAAAACAAGAGACTACAGGTGAGCTTAGCAGCACAGTGATGAGGTGGATGAATGAAAGTCTGATTCAAAAAAGCTTCAGCAAGAGGACAAAGTCAGGGAGATGAATATTTTAAAGATATGTTTTTGAATGGAAAACAAAAGGGAGAGCAGCATAGAAACTACAGGTTGTATTGGATCCTCTGCACATTTTATAAACATTTTACTCTTTTTTGACAGCTTACTCTTTATTTGCAGATCAAATATGAGAATCTGCTGAAATACTTTTGAAATTGTCATTAGTTTATTTTGTTTCGGCTTGTTCTTTTTAAGTTCGGTTGAGTTTTTCTTTGTCTTTAACACTGAATTTGAAGGTTAATCAAGTATTTTTGTTTTCTAGAAATACTTTTAAGATTAAGATAAGATTTTTGATGTAAGTTTTAGTTCTAGACATTGAAACATCATCTGTTTACGTTGTCAGAAAAAGGAATTATGTTAAAAATCTTAGTATGTCAAAAATCTTAGTATATGGCCCATGGTTTAAAACAGATGCAATAATCAATGCCGGGTATTGGTATGAAGGCTCTGATACTTAATACCATTCAGTCAAAAAGGTCTAACACACCCCTACTTGTTACATCCCTCACTCTCCAGCATGTTCTTTTAGCAACAGGTGGATCCTGAGCGCTCTGGTGATGGATTAGAGGAGGCTACAATTTGAGACAGAAACTCAACTCACAGGTACAATCTGTAAAGGCTGTATAAACATGTAGAGCATCGCTTTCTTTCCAACTAGTGTAGATTGCCCACCGCCAATCCGTCCGGTAAAAAAAAAAGGTTAATCCATCCAGATCATCAAACAGAGACGAAGTAATGTAATTTGCATGGACACTCAGAGGCAATCTCCTAATGCTGATTTCAATCATGTCAAAGAGCATGATGAGGTCTATCCATTCACACATATTGGATTTCACTTGGGGTCGCAAGGGAATGCAGCCTATCCCAGCTGTCATTGGGTGGGAGGCAAGGTACACCCTGGACAGGCCAGCAGCCTACCAGACACACCCACACTTTAAAGTCATCAGTGACTCAACATGTCTTTATGAGTCTGGAAGAAATCTGAAGGAGATCACAAACTCACTTGGAGAACCTGCAAATACCAGGAACTGTCAGCACTGTCTGCTGTAGCACTGTGCAGCCTAAGCATGCGAAAGTAATAACTATATTTAAGACTCTGTGTAAACTAAATAAAGCTTGGCTCTCTGCTCCTACTCTAAAAAAGATCTTCCTCAACTGCACATCAAGTATAATGTTTAAAATCACACCTAAAGAGAGACCAGCAGTAGACAGTACTTGACCCTCCATACTGTCTGTCTGTCAAAGAGTGAAGTCTGTTAGCAGTCTGACTCATGGAGCATCTTTTATCAAGTGATGGGAACAATCATATTTGAAAGTTCTAGGACATGTAGACCCTGATATTTTCAGGATTTTTCCCTTTTTACACAGCTGTATCACATCGTTCTCAGAGCAGATTATCAGTGTCAGACCTGCTCTCACAGCTCAAAGTACCCTGTTTGATTCAGGTAATGGCCAGGGAGAAATTACTGGGTCACACATTCAGGAAGAAGATGAGATGTCTTCTTTAATGCTGACTATGTCTTTTTTAAATATAAAAGGAAGTTCCTGCAATACCAACACAGCAGATGAAAACAAAACACTCCCAACTGAGGTGAGCAGCGAAGAGATCACAATAATAATAATAATAAACTTTATTTATAGAGCACCTTTCAAGAACAGTTGTCACAAAGTGCTTTACAGTCATCAATTAAAAAGGATAAGACAACAAAACATAAACAACAAAGAGAACACCAGCAGCCGAAGTCCTGGTCACACAAAGGCAAGTCTAACAAAGGGTGTCCAACCGCTTTATTAAAGTACCCACAGTGTCCACAGTTCTTAGTTTGAGGGAGAGTTTCAAAGTTTCAGAGCAAATGCACAGTCTCTTTGAGTTGGGAGTCTACTCTGCTTTGTAGCTGCTGAACTCTTGTAAAGGTGAAGAGCATCATTACAGCACTCACTCCCCTACAGTGAATGAGGCTGACTTACACCAGCTGGGCAATGAGCTCAGACAAACAGTCTGCTTTGGTTGAGAAAAACTAAATTAGCTGTGTGTGTGTGTTCCAGGCTACAGTTTGATATGACAACTTAACATCCAGGTGAGTATGTACATAAAGGAAACACATCTTTAGCTACAGTTAGGGCTGGGCAATATGGGAAAAAGTTTATCACAATATATTTTTTCCATATCAGTCAATATCGATGTGTATGTAAACTTTTGCATTGCGTGTGCTCTGCCACGTGGCACTGCTTCAGGTGGTGAAAAAGATTTGAGGTATTTCCCAACTTTGCGAGAACATGTACTCAATGTAATTTGCAGTGCACGTACAGTTGAAACCAGGGGCTCTATTTTCGTGCCCTGCCGGCGACGTGGCGCAGGCGCAGCGTAAGTCAGGTCCGCCGCAGCGACAAGGCGCTCCCAAGCACAATTTGGTATTTTGGTGAGCAGCGCAGCCCAGGGTAAGTATCCCCCCTCCCTAACTCAGCTCCTCCCAGCAGCATAAGTCATAGGGAGGGAGGAGAGAGGGCATGGAGTGGATTTAACACAGCCGAGACCTGTATTGACCAGTAACATCAGCTCCTCTCCTCACCTTTAAATCCGCAAGGCTTATTACAATTTTCGTGAAGTAGTCAAAGAGATCAAGAGATGTCTGAAGACAGCAATGCCACACGATGGCGACAGAAGGCAGCCCCTCAACAAGTGTCACTGTAAACGCTGCAGAGGGCGTCCTGCACACTGTCTTATATAAGCACATCTGGATTTGTTGTGTATAAGTTGGACCCACTGGTAAGACAAACACCCTTTTCCACAAATAAAGACACTCACATAAAGTTGCATATATTTAAACCTCACGTGACAAAGGTAGGTTGTGCGCACAGATCACAACTTCCAATAATGGCATTAAAATCAGAACCATCTGTGTGTAAATGACGCATCGCGCTCCGTGGTCTGGCTCTTTCTTTCATAGATGTTGGCATAGAAAATAAATTTGGCTCACAAAACTAAATATTATAATATTCGTATGTAGGCTTAAAGTGAATAACTCATCTGATCACTAAAATAAATCATCTGTTCAGCCACCGCAGCAGCAGCTGCAGCAGGACGGCGAGAGGACATGGAGACATGTCCGAGTCGAGCTGTGCAAGAAATAAGAGGAAGAGGAAGAAAGAAAACGAGGGAGACAAATTAAATATCTTGTTAACTTCATCATGTGTGTCTATTTACTAGATATTTAATTTAATTTAATGCGGCTTCAGCTCTGTTAATTCGGTCAGGCTGAGTGTCCAACCGTGTGCTAAATGCGCTCATCAGAGCAGATATTGATCAGAATATATCAATATAGATCTAAATGTATGTGCTGACTCAGATTATTAGTTGTTGTTCATTATTTATTGCACTGAAATGTGCCTGACACTTTGGAAACCTGCCAGTAAGGCATCAGTGACGTATATCGATTCGCCGCCAGTCTACCAAAATACCACTAGACCAGCTGCGCTCCGCCTGTGCTGAAAGCTGACCAGGTTTGAATCAGCGAGCTTTCAGCGCACTTTACATGCCGGCGGCGAGCACAAAAATGTCACTGCGCCAGCTGATTCTGTCGACACCTCCCCCTACCTCGGTGCGGCTCGGTGCGGCTTACAACCAAACTGGCTGTAAGCCGGGCTCCGCCAGACGAAAATACCACTGCACGGGTTCTGCCACCCTCTGCCGCATCTCCGGCGGACACAATAATAGAGCCCCAGAAGTGTACATACACTATAAAAAAAAAGGCACATAACCTTTTTTCCTCACTATAAGGATTTTCAAAATTATTTTTATATGCTAAATGCCAAAAAATGAGAGCGACAATTTATTAGACAATTTTTAAAATCATTTTCTCGAGAGTCAAAAGTTTCCATACATTTCATTAGTATTTGGTAGCTGCCTTTTAATTGTATGACTTGGGTCAAACGTTTTGGATATACTTCCACAAGCTTCTCAGGAAGGAATTTTGGCCCATTTCTCCTGACAGAACTGGTGTGACTGAGCCAAGTTTGTAGGCCGCATCAGTTTCATCAGACCACAGGACATGTCCTCAAAAATTAAGGTCTTTGTCCCTGTGTGCATTTGCAAACTGTAATCTGGCTTTTTATGTTTCTTTTAGAGTCATGGATTCTTCCTGGAAGAGTGGCCTTTCAGCCCATGTCAGTACAGGACTCTTTCACTGATGATAATCACACCCTTTTACCAGCTTCAGCCAGCATCTTCATAAGGGCTTTTGCTGTTGTTCATGGATTGATATTCACATTTCGGACCAAAGCAAGTTCATCTCTGGGACACCAAACCTGTCTCCTCCCTCAGCGGTATGATGTCTGGACATTCCCATGGACCAGACTTGTGTAGGTCCACAATTCTTTTCCTGATATCTTGGCAGATGTCTTTTGATTTTTCCCATGATGCTACACAAAGAAGCAGTGTGTTTCAGGTGTGCCCTAAAATACATCCACAGGTGTGCCTCTAATTAACTCAAATGTTGTCAATAAACCTATTAAAGGCTTCCAAAGACATGATATTTCCCAAACTGTTTAAAGGCATAGTCATCTTTGTGTATGTAAACTTTTGACTCTCAAGAAAGTAATAAAAAATTGTCTAAAAAAATCTCTCTCTCAATATTCTGGCATTTAGCAAATAAAAATAATTTTGGTAATCCTAATTGACCAAAAACAGGAAAAGTTTAATCTGATTTAATGTTAGACAGTGAGAAAAAAAAAAGGTTATGTGCCTGTTTATGTAGTGCAGTGGTTCTTAACCTTGTTTGAGGTACCGAACCCCCCAGTTTCATATGCACATTCACCGAACCCTTCTTTAGTGATAAATCAAATATGATTTTTTTCCAAATTCAAGACATTGTTTATATCCGATGTCTTCTGCTGATATAAACGATTTCTGCCGACTTTGCAGAGTCAACTGCAGAATTAACGGTGTTCTGAATGAACGGGGCTTTGAAAAGTCCTGCAGCATGTATTAGACGTCACCACTACACATGGACCAATCAGGGGCTGCCTTTCCCTGTTGTCTGGGTAACAGTGGAAACACGGTCTCTGATTGGCCCGGTTATTTTCTGATTGGGAATACACGCTCTCTATGGGCCGAAGTCCAGACTGTGGTGGGAAGGAACATCAAGTGATTGACGCAACAGGATGGCCCAGCCAGGCTACCGTGGCGGAGGCTCCGCCGAACCCCTGAGACCGACTCACCGAACCCCTAGGGTTCGATAGAACCCCAGTTAAGAACCACTGATGTAGTGTATGGAAAATTCTGGTTTCATTTGTAACTCTGCTTCATGTCCGACCTCAAAAAACCAAAATACCTCCACACCACTGACATTTTCATGCCAGTGTTGTCGACAATGTCATCATCTGTTGAGCCTTCATCTGCATTTCTGTCGGGGGTAGCACTCATTTTCTTTTTTTCTCACCAACAGTGCTGTCAGCTTCACCTGTTATGGTTGCGTGTGGCTGCAGCCTGCTACTACCCAGTTGTTTGCTACTTGGTTCTAATTCAGCTCATGATTGGTTCAGCGTGAAGCGGCTTCCCTTTTCACTGGGTATCAGTATAGTCTACCAAAACATGGCAGAATGCTGAAAAAAGATATTGACCATTTTTCATATTGATATCGAGGGAAATTAATTTTCAATATATCGTTATTGTTTTATCGCCCAGCCCTAGCTACAGTCATGTTTAATGTTCTTGTGATAACATCCTGCAGCTTAGTAAAAGAGATTCAGACTTTAATCTTATTGAAGAAAATCCTTCAGAGTGTGAGAAGGCCACTCTGCTCCACATACCAGGCGTGAGCACATCACCCCCATGCTGGAGTCCTTACACTGGCTCCCTGTACAGTACAGAATTAATTTTAAGCTTTTAATATTTGTTTTTAAAGGCCTGAACAATCTTGCTCCACCTTATATTTCTGAGATGCTCCAGCCTTATCTGATCAGCTGTTACTGACGGTCTCCAATACAAGGCTGAAGCTCAGAGGTGACAGAGCGTTTGCCGCAGCTGCTCCCAAGCTCTGGAATGAGTTGCCCTTGACAGTTGGACAGGCCTCCTCGTTTCCTGTTTTTAAATCCCTTTTAAAAACACACTTTTACTCCGTGGCTTTTAACACATTGTATTGTTATTTTGTTTTTTATCACCATAGCACTTGCCGTGAGCCTGCTTATTTATATATTTATTTTATTTTTGCATAATCTTGTTCTTTGCTTGTTTTTTTTTTGTTTTTATGTCTCAATGTACAGCACTTTTGCTACCCCCGAGGTTCTTTTAAATGTGCTATAGAAATAAAAGTTGATTGATTGATTGATCTCACTTTGTCAGTATTCCTCTGCTTTAATAACTTACTTAACTCAATGCAATGGGCCAGGATGTGAGGTGAATGTGCTGGCTATATGCTAAGAACATCAACAACATGCCAACAGTGAAACTGAGTGCACACAGGGCATCTCACTGCTAGTCAATTTGATGTTTTTTGCAAGACAAACTACTGGCCCATTGTAAAATTGAAGAAACCTGGACACCAGATTGGTAGAGAAGTAAAATCTCTGGGAGTGTTCTGTGGAAAAGGGCTGAAGCTTTTTGCTGAATGGGGTGAATGTTTGTGTTGACACATTATGGCCATGGTAACCACAAACAACGGGTAATCCTCAGGAAAAAGACCCAGCAACATTAAGAATCACTTGCTCACAAGAGGTCACTGAGAGACTAAAATGTGCTTCTATCAGAACCTGCTGTGTCAGCAGAAAGTCACGTCACTTGTGATGCAGAACGAAAACAGAGCTGTGTGAAGAGGATTGGGTGAGACCTTTCGCTCAAAGACAATGACCCAGCAAAGGGGGAAGCAAGTCCAATGTAACAAAAGATTTACTCCATCAAAGGGTGACTATGAGGCTCTGCACCGTTTGAAATGAGCTGCAGTCTCCTGTTCAGAAAAAAAACAACCTGATCACAATGAGCAGAGCTAGAGGGGAAAACGGCAGAAAGGATGGAAGGTAGAAAGAGAGGAGGAAAAGGAAAGGTGAAAATGGAGGAAGAATGGATAAAAGGAGGCAAAAGAATGCAGGATGTAAAGATAGCGGGGGAAAGGAAGGCAGGATGGAAAGAAGAAAGGACAGAAAAAGGAGGGAATTGATTAAGGACAAAAGGAGGAAAGAAATCAAGAAGGGGAGGAAGGTGGGAAGGGATGAAGAAGGAAAGGAAGGTAGGAAAGAGTAAGAAAAGGGAAGGTAGGAGAAGGTAAGACTGAGGGAAGACAGGAAGGCAGGAAGTAGGGAAGTGTTCATGGATGGATGGATGGAACTTGTGTCACACATCTGCTTAATTCAGGTTCCTGCACTTACCAAAGAAATCCAAATGCTAGCCAATATTAATGTTTAAATCATTTACTGCAGTCTGAATATTTCTTCAGCTCAATGCAGTATCATTTTCTGGGGTTTCCTTTTCAGTCTTTTTTAAAGGTAGGGAGAACAGAGAGGGATGGAGAGCATGGTTGTCAAACCAGTAACTGCTGTGATGAGGACTTAGGCCTCCATGTATGAGGCCTCCCTCTAACCATCACACTCATAGTTATAGCTGCACTCACATTATCAGTCAACTCTGAAGCCTTCTTCAAATGAGTTCATTTAGCTTTTATTACTCACATGAAACAGAATATTTGCACTGAAGGTGAAGAGAAGCAGCTGATCGAGCTTTTCTGCCCCATCACTTCCCCGTCACAACTGTGATATTTTCCTTTGCAGCTATCAGCCCTTGATTACCACCTCCCATGTAATTTATCCTACAGTTTGAAGTTTTTAACCCTTTCTTTACAGTTTCTTTCTCTTTAAATTGTTTTTCGACCACCGACAAAGCAAAAACAAAATAACCCAGACTTCTTTTCTTCTAATAGTAAGTCCCCAGAGTCTGTGACCAGAGCTGTGTCTTCAGACACGGCAATGGTCTACGATCAGAAAAAGCAGACGGATGGGTCTGTATGGGATTTATAGGACAGCCTGAAATACCAGAGAAAAACCCCTCCATCTACAGCCACAGATCTGCAGTAAGGGTGTGGAAAATAATCTAAATTAATCGATGCATCGATGCGCATGTGCGCGATGCGACTGCGTCGGCTCATTCACTGGGTATCGATGCAATTGACGGGTTAAATCTAGATTTAAATCTCTATTTCATAATATTTCGCTCAGTGTCTCACGATGTGATGCACACCTCGCTGCAGCCCTCAAAAGCATTTATCTCATACTTCCAATCCTATATGGCTGGTGAATGTGTCCATCCGCCTCAGGTAGTCCACTCTACCTTAGATAACTCATGCGGAAAGCACCACCTCATTCAAACACCTCTTCTCACTCAAAGCATATTTCGCATTGAAGGCTAGCTAGCTAACCTGATAGATAGATTTGATTTATCTTCTATCACCGGGGCGCGACGTGCTTTGGTTACTCTCCTGCTTCGTTGGTCACACCTGATCAAACCCAGTGCTTTCCGCTCTCCACAGCTTGGCCAGCACTGTCCAAGCCATGGGCCAAGCCCACACAACATGATAATGGTTCAATCTGTCAGCTGTGGAACTCCCACAATGTGTGAGTTCCACAATGCACTCGAGACTCCTTCACTTGGTCTCTGTATGACAGTAAGTGGAGAGTGTTTGTGGAGAGAAGTGGTGTCACAGGAAGAGCCACATTCTCTTACAGTGTCTAGTAGGAGTGACGTTATTCTTGTAGGACCTGATTGACAAACATAAAGCCTTCTCCACGGTTAAAGTGTACTTGGCGGCTATTGCTTCATATCACTTGGGGTTTGGGAAGCTAACAGTGAGCCAGCATCCGCTGATTTGCTATTTTATCAAGGGGACACCCGTGTCCAGACTGCTGGTACCAGCATGGGATCTGTCTGAGGGCCCTCCTTTTGAACCACTGGAGGGAGCAGACTTGAAACACACATCTCTTAAAACAGTGTTGTTACTGTCTCTGTCTTCAGCTAAACGAGTTAGTGACATCCACATGCGCTCTCGGTGCACCTGTCATTTGCACAGCTCTTTCTGGGGCTGTTGCTTCTGAAGCCTAACCTAGCTTAAGGTGGTAGGGTCATGTTCTCCCGTTGACCTTGTGGTCTTTGCTGCCTCACTCCAAGAGCAGCGGTTGCATGCGTTATGTCAGGTCTGTGCAGTGCGCACATAAATAGAACAGACAGAGGGTTTCAGGAGGAGCGATCAGCTGTATGTCTCTTGGGCTAACTCCCATAAGGGCAAACCTATCACAAAGCAGTGCCTGTTCCACTGGGTGGTAGAGGCAAGTGAAGAGTGGCGGGCCTGCGAGCACACTCGACTCATGACTTGGCATCCTGGGCTTTATTCAGGGTAGTTTCTGTTCAGGACATCTGTGCTGTAGTGAGCGGATCCTCGCCTCTCACTTTTGTCTGTTTCTAAATGCTGGACATCTCCGTGCCGTATGTGGCACCAGCGTTTTTGCTGTTCTGATTGGAACAGGGTATTCTTCCCTATGAGTTGATGTACACTAGAGAAGCTTGTCGACATTCTTCGTCTTCTTTTTCTTGTTTGTCTTCTTCCTCCTCCCCTGGTTCTCTGAGTACTATGAGTGAGATGTCTCACCAGACAACCCTTATTGCTTGGGTGGGTGAGAAGAGGTGCTTATCTTGAATGAGGTGCTGGTATCTGCATAAGGATTAAAAGGTAGAGGGGACTACCTGAGGCGGACAGACACATTCACCTGCCAATCAGGGTTGGCGTAATGAGATGAATGGTTCTGAGAGCTGCAGGGAGGTGTGCATTCCATAGTGAGACATCTCACTCATATTCCTCAGAGAACCAGGGTTATGTAAATAACCCAAAGTTTTTAGTGGTCCACATCAAAAGATTCAGAGGGTTAATAAACCTCACCTGCGAAATTTGTCCCTCATCTTGTCTAGGTCGTCTCTGGTCCGGTTGAGCTCCGCCTCCATATAGTGACGGCTCCCGTCAAACTCCGCCTCCATTGCCTCCATCTTGTGGGTGGTAAGAGAGAGACGGCGCTGCAGGTCTTCATTCTGTTGCTGGAGGATTCTGGGTACAGGAAGAACAGGTCAGAGGTCACAGAGGAGTTTAGGAATGTCTTTTCTGGCCCTCCTTTTCTCAGAGCTCATTGAAGGAAGTCATGAGGTCTATGAAAAGGTTTGAGGAGGACTCCTGGTGCTGTGTAATTAGTCTTAAATTCACCAATATATTGCACTTTTAATGAGTTTTTTTTTATCAATGTCATTTGATGGTGATATATCTGTTATTAGGAGCAGAAGTGACTATATAAAATGAGTGTAAACAAAAAGCAGGGGGAACTGGAGAGAGCAGAATAAACAGGTTCTCACCTGATCCGGTCAGATTCTGATAAAGGCTCCTGAAAGAGAAGAAACCCAGCATGACCAAACACACCAAAAACAAAAATACAGCAAACAACTTGACATGTTTCAAACAAAATGTTTATCATGTGCTATGTTGCCCCCTGTGGACAAAGCCACTTATCTCTACTTATCTTGTTCCTAATATACTTAAGGAGTGTCCTGTGACAAAAATAAAAATAAAAAATCTCATCCTCCTGACTTTTGACAGCTAAAAAGAATTGGGGGAGGGGGGGGATCATACCACAAGGGCTGTATCTTCAGCTGCTCAGCTGACACCTACCCCCAACTCAGGTTTCAGGCATTAAGAATGACTCAATGCAAATAGTCCATTTTGTTTCTGACTGCTGGTTTTGTCTGCTTTTGGACATCATGAAAAAGACATCAGCATGAATTTCAGCCTGTTCCATAAACATCAAAATATCATTCACCACATGGTGTTGTTCTCGTCATGTCTGGAGGACATCTGCTGGATCAGTTTGACAGACAGTTGTGCTTGGTTAGATTTAAACTCACACCACTTTACTCTGCACTCAGTTCAACACATATGAAACAGTTCAAAGAATATTACTCAGCTTTACTTTAATACATGACGCATTGTACAAATGAGTTGTAACTTTAATTGCCTTTGTGGAGCCTTGTTATTCATAGTATTACTTGGCTTCAAAAGAGGCAGTTTGTTATGAGGGGAGGCTTTCTGCTCATTCCATCATTTTCACCTGGCTGTGTTTAACTCAACCAACTGATAAGAGCTGAGTATTTAATTAGATTTGAATTTCAATTACCATTTTGGCTCTTCATGATCATAAAAATATGACAATCAGGAATGAATGATCACTGTGCCGCCTGCTATGTTGCCCCAGAGAAAGTTCTCTTTCTCTTCCTCATAAGCAGCTTAGATCAATGTGAAACTGAATTTGGGAGCAGGAGTAGGTTTAATAGTGGATTCAGGGTGGTCCACTGTATCTACAAAATGATGAGCAACAGGGGTACAAACTATCTGACACTTAACTAAGTAATTTTTTTACCACTTATTCTGCTTTTGTGAAAGTTTGACAGGTACCAGCCTGAGTAATAATGATATAAACATGTTTGTAGATGATCATTCAAGTGCAGGACACTTCAATAAAATATTTACTTACTTGCTCTTGTCATCATGAAACTGATGTGCCAAACACACTAATGTAAGGCAGTAAAACACTTGCTCTTCATTTCTCTGATTCTTGGACAACTACACAAGTTCTTTGTGGACAACAACATAATAAGTTACAGCTCCAAACACGTTATAAGATAGTACAAGGGAGAGAGGGAACAGAGGGGAGAGAGGGCATAGCATGGGGTAAAGGTCTGTGTGACAGAACTGAAACCAGGCCTCAGTACAAGAAGAGGGAGACCCTGGAACTATTCATCAACTGATCTTTAGTAGAAGAGACTTAACATCTCCAGCTTCTAGATGATACTGGGGTAATATTTGTTATTGACAACAAAATAGTTAATGAAATGGTTCCTTTGATTTTCTGGTGTTTTCCAGAACAGACGAGATGGAAGTTAAGGGAAAAGACCTGTAAGGTTTACCCAACAGTTTCAGAACACCACTCAGAGAGGATTTATAGTAAATGAGACACAGAAGAGAGCAGGAGACCTTTTTCCCTGTCCAGAACTACCGAGCAGATCAGTGAATCATCACATGACTGATATGTGTCAGTGATGTCAGTTCACACCAATGGAGCAGCGCTGTTCGGATGTTTTCCGTTTCTTTATCTAAATTATTGATCTCTGTCGACTTATGGAAACACACCCTCAACCGGTGTGCACCAGAGTTACCATCGATCACCTACAGAGCCGTATTATTGATGACTCAGCTGCTGTGACTGAAGCAATGAAAAGACCAAACACATCGTTCCATCCTGCCGCTGCAGGTTCCTGTTTGGGTGATTTGCTGTTGACACTATCCCTTTCCTCAAGTGTCAGGATTGGTAATCAATATGAAGAGCATGTAAATGAAAAGCCTGCGGCTGGTTATATTATGATAAAGCCATGACTCATCCAATGGACTCTGTCCTGATGCAGTCTGAGTATTTTATTTGTTTATTTGTTAGGATCCCCATTAGCTGTGCTCTGGAGCATCGCTAGTCTCCCTTGGGTCCACATTTGAAACAATACATTTACGATCACAACATGAAAAAGGACAAGACAGATCAACAGGAACTTCAATTAGATTTAACAAAACATATGTTATTATCTACATCATGAGATGTGACTTAGACACTCTGATTCCCAGTGATTATAAAAAGAAAATATTGATAAAATAAAGGAGTGAAACAGATCAGAAGAAAACCTACCAGCCTACATAGCATCCCATGTGCATATGCATGTGTGTGTGTGTGTGTGTGTGTGTGTGTGTGTGTGTGTATGCTTGTGTGCCTGTGCATGTGTGTGTATGTTATTTACAGATATGAAATTCCAAGCTGTTTTTTAATTTGCTTTTTAAATGTTGTGTTCTGTGTGTGTTTGGCTACTGGCAGTAGTGAGGAGTTCCATGCTTTTATCTGCCTGTATTCTACTGTAAACTTAAAAAAAATTGTGTTTGGTTTGGAAAGCTTGAACCAGTCTTGCCTGACTGGTGACATATGTAAAGTGGATATAAAAAGTCTACACACCGCTGTTAATGTGACCTATTACCTATACAACACAATTGAAAAACAAACAGAAATCTTTCAGGGAGGTGAAGTAAAAATAAACAACTGAGATCATGTGGTTGCATAAGTGTGCACACCCTTTAATAACTGGGGATATGGCTGTGTTCAGATTTAACCAATAACATTCAAACTCAGGTTAAATTGGAGTCAGCACACACCTGTCACCAATTAAAGTGCCTCTGATCAACCCCAAATAAAGTTCAGCTGTTCTAGTAGGCTTTTCCTGACACTTTGGTAGCCACATCTTCTAGCACAAGCCATGGTCCGCAGAGAGCCTCCAAAGCATCAGAGGGATCTCATTATTCAAAGATATCAGTCAGGTGAGGGCTACAAAAGAATTTCCAAGCAATTAAATATACAATGGAACCCAGTAAGGACCGTCTTCATCAAGTGGAGAAAATATGGCACAACAGTGACACTACCAAGAACAGAACGTCTATCCAAAACTGATGATAAGACAAGAAGAAAACTGGTCAGTGAGGCTACCAAGAGGCCTACAGCAACACTGAAGGAGCTGCAGGAATTTCTGGCAAGTACTGGCTGTGTAGTACATGTGACAACAATCTCCCATTGTCTTCATATGTCTGGGCTATGGGGTAGGGTGACAAGACAAGCCTGATCTTACAAAAAAAAAAAAAAAACATCAAAGCCCGGCTTAATTTTGCAAAGACATGTGAAATCTCCCAAATGCATGTGGGAAAATGTGTTATGGTCTGATGAAACCAAAGTTGAACTTTTTGGGCATCATTGCAAAGGGTATATTTGGCGCAAAATCAACGCTGCTCATCATCAAAAGAACACCATATCCACAGTGAAGCATGGTTGTGGCAGCATCATGCTTTGGGGCTGTTTTTCTTCAGCTGGAACTGGTGCCTTAGTCAGGGTGGAGGGAATTATGAACAGTTACAAATACCAGTCAGTGTTGGCACAAAACCTTTGGCCTTCTGCTAGAAAGCTGAAGATCAAGAGGAACTTTATCTTTCAGCACGACAATGACCCACACATCTAAATCGACAAAAGAATGGCTTCACCAGAATAAGATTGAGGCTATGGAATGAGGCCTAGCCAGAGTCCAGACCTGAATCCCATCAAACATTTGTGGGGTGATCTGAAGAGGGCTGTGCACAGGAGATGCCCTCGCAATCTGTTAGATTTGGAGCGGTTTTGCAAAGAAGAGTGGGCAAATATTGCCACATCAAGATGTGTCGCGCTGATAGACTCCTACCCAAAGAGACTGAGTGCTGTAATAGAAAGCCAAAGGTGCCACAACAAAGTATTAGTTTAAGGGCGTGCATATTTATGCAACCAGGTTATTTGAACATTTCTATTTTTTTATTTTCCCCCTTAAAGGTCTCAGTTTGTTTACAATTGCATTGTACAGGTTATAGGTCAAGTTAAAGGTGGAAAAAGTTGTGAAAATATTTATCTTGCTGTCATTTTCTTACATCACTAAAACCTTGCAGTTGAACAGGGGTGTGTAAACATTTTATATCCACTGTATATGAATCATGATTGTTTTTTAGCTGATTGTATTGGTATAATGGAGTTTTGGACTGTAATATTTTCCATATGAAAGAAGCAGTGCAGCACTGATTTTATCCTCTACTTTCAACCACTGTAGACAGGGGTGCATGTTGTTTATACTGTTGTTGTATGGACATCGCAGAACCAGGCGTGCTGCCTTGTTCTGTATCAGCTGAAGTTTATTCATATTCTTTTGAGTAGCTTTTGCCCATACTATTTGACAGTACGGCTGGGCGATATGGGAAAAAGTTTATTACGATATATTTTTTTTATATCAGTCAACATCGATATTTATATCATGATATAAAAAAGGAAATTTAAGAGTGCTTATGGGTGGCATGTCTTTAGTAATACAATAAGCTACTGCATCTGTGAGGTCTGTGTGTCTCTTTGACATTTTGTCGTAAGGCATTGCACTAGAATGCCTGTTAGAAAGCCCATGTTGTCTCGATGTTTTCAAGTAAAAACCATTCAATTATATTACGTTTTATGGTGAGTTTTTGTTTTTCCTACGTTTGTGAACGCACCATGGGCATTCTGACATGATTGAATGCACCGCACCTGTGTGTGAGAGAGTAGGGGGTGTCTGCAAAGCTGGAGAGCCAAGCAGATCCACAACCCTCTTTGCGCCCCTGCTGGACGGTGTAGGTCATTGCAAAACAGATCCATAACCTCTTTTTAACTGCTGTTCCACATCCGTTTTTGTGCCCAGAAATTTAATTTAATAAACAAGTCAATAAATAAGCAAGTGACCGCAGTCACATATTATTATCGAATCAAAATTAAAAGTCTTTGAGTTAAGACAGTGTTCAGTTCTTGGGACTCAACCCACTTCCTTTCAAGGATTTGAAATATGTTTTAAAGTGCCCACAGTCACATATTTAGATATTAATCTAGATTTGATTAATTTTACATATGGTTACTTATTATCATCTTTTTATGTATTGTCTGTCAGACTATAATATTGCGGGTTTATTCTACTAAAGTATCAACTTATATTATCCCAACATCATAGGGGTTGGCCTCACTTTTATACTATTCATTCCTTGGCAATTATTTTGACCACCTGAATGCGATTGTATGTGTCTGCAGAGCCGGATGAATGTGATACTTTGTGTGTATTTTTCTTGTATATTTTCATGTGCAATCTAATGCACATTATTAGTAATCGCACTTCTGTTTCATCCACTACAATGCTAGTAGCCTACGGGTCAGTCAATATATATTTCTGACTTCTGACAAGCTAATGTTAGCATTAGCTTTACTGAGATTGTGCATTTCAGACTACCATGGAAAATGGATAGGGAAAATGTCATAAACAGAGCCTGTCACACATTGACATTTATTTCTCCATCAAATTCAAGACAACAGTTTTATTAATGACAACAACTTGTGTGATTCACGTTCTATACTCAATCATGACGTTGCTGCATTCAAGCCGATAAACTTCGAGAAAGAAGCAGCAAGAAGGGGGGGTCACGTGTTTCAGGTTGTGGATCTGTCATGCAATGACCTACTCCATCCAGCAGGGGCGCAAAGAGGGTTGTGGATCTGTCACAGATGTGGATCTGCTTGGCTCTCCAGCTCTGCAGACATGAACTATTGTATATATACTATGTACTATGTACCACTATTATATGCACTATTGCCACAGCTGAGAAAGTTAAGTTTTCCTCCTAATGCAGCAGGGGAAAGTTTGTAAATTTCCACAGAGAAATTGCCACAGAGCAGGAGCGCCGTTTTAACATTGCGCACACGCGCCACTGTGGAGCGCAGCGTTTGACTCCTAAAAGGCAGGTGTCTCTGTCTTGGCCCAGCAGTGGGGATGTTGTTGTACACTCCTGACAGGGTGTGGGACATCATTTGGGCCGGTACAGTTTTGCACAATGTTGCACCGGCAAATGGAGTGCCGTTGGCTGTGCCGGTGCAACGTGAGGACCTGATGCCCGGAGAACAGTAACGAGGAGAGACTCGACAAACGTGCGGCACAGAGGAGACAGGACCTTACCGATGGATTCTGACATGTAAAGTTTAAGTTTAGAAAGTGCTTCATGGGCAGCAACACACCGTTTAGTGACGTTAATAATAATTTTTGTTCAGCCTCTGTCAGACTCTCCAGTTGGCTCTACATTACAAAGGCGCAAAAAATTCAGACTAAATACTTTCAACAATAGGAGCAACGTACCCCATGTATGAGATATTAATTCATCATCATGAGCAACTTATTGACTAATGATTTATTCAAACTTCAGCTAATGTCCACTATTCCGCAGCAGCGCTGTTCAGCGCCACCATAATCTTGTTCCAGACAGGAGTTTTTCTGGACTGCTTTTATACCAGTTTTGATACTTCCAAAGAGAAAATCCTTGTTAGTTTCCACCACAGATATCGGATTTCCACTTTCAGCTCGAAAAAGTTTCTAATCTTTGTAATATTTCTCCTCTTTCATGTTTGACCTCAGTGGGCAAGGCTTCTGAACCACGAATATTTAAGGGCGTAACATGTTACTGACGATCGATTTTAGCCACCGCATTTATCAAGACCCGACCACACGTATGTTGGGATTGGTCAGATACGAACCCTTTCATAAATCTTACGTATGTCCTATCGTACGATGAATCCTACGCTCAGATCTGTGCTTGAATCTGCACAAAATTGATAAATGAGGGCCACTATATCTCTTGCCGCTCTAAACCTAGCTAAATCCTGGACAACGCCCTTCTCTCCTTTCTAACGCCAACAATCGAAAAAGCATATCAACTATGTTTTATATTGATATTGAGGGAAATTAATTTTCGATAAATACTGCTATCGTTTTATCGCCCAGCACTATCTGACAGTAGTCCAGTTGTGAGAGTAAAATGTTGTTTATAACTATTTTTACTGTGAGGTATTTCCTACATCACCTTACCACTGCCGATGACTTACCCATACAACTGTGTCAATGTGTTTTGACCAAGAGAGCTCATTATCAATAAGAACGCCCAGGAACTTGGTTTCCTCCACTATATGTGCTTTGTTCATAACAAGGTTTAGTTCATACAATGCATTTTGTTTTAGCTGTGTTAAGTATTAAATTGTTTTGACAGATCCATTTCCCAACTGTGCCTAGCTCCCTATTTCAGATGACATTTAGATCATCAGGTGTTCTTGGTGATGCATACACTGTGGTGTCATCTGCATACATTGTAATTCGGCATCTCCAAGTATTAGAAGAAAATCATTTGTAAAGATGGAGTACATGAGCTGGCCTAGGCAGCTTCCTTGAGGACATATAAAGCAGCATCCATTTAAATTTGCAGTTCGTTCAAATGAAGTCTCTTATTTTAACGCTCCTGTGAGGAACTTTGCACTGTGTGAAGGCTTGTGTTCATACAACACCGATCTATGCATGCATAGGTAGAGTATGAAGACAATAAATCTCCTCCTGCTTGCTTGTGAACACAGTGGTGTGTGTGAAAGTTTAGGCACCCGAAACAATACGGGTTGTTTTCATCTGTATATTCTATTTCACTAGCAGCCTGATTCTCGCATATTGTATAACTAATAGAATTACAGACATCATCAGCTGATGTGTTATTACTCGAAAGGAGAGAAGGCATTACTTATTTAACACAGCTAAACAAGTGATCACAGAGTCCAGGGTTGAACTAAATGAAACTGGTTGACTGGCTTTAATAGGAGAGAGGGGGAGAGGAGGGAGGAGGAGAGGAGGCAGGAGAGGTGAAGAGGACAGTTGTCCCCCTCTTACCTACCTTCATTTGGGACAAAGGACCCAGATTAGAATTGGAGGGTTTGTGTTTGTGTCTCTGCAATTCCTCTGTCTCCTGATCTCTCATCTTTACACTTCTGTTCACTCTCAACACTTCCTCTTTAGACCCTGCGCCCTCTGGGATGTCACTTTGCTGTGGCTCCGCCTCCTTGTCCTGCAGGGGCTGGTACCAACTGTCAGGCCTCTGCATCGCTGCAACCCAGTCATCCCAGCGTCGAGTCCTTTCTGCAGATAAATCCCCTTCCTTTTGTCTCCTGTGGGTAGAGCGGTGTCGGCGGCGTTCTGGGGCTGGGCTTCCTTGTTCTTCAGAAGGTGATTTTCCAAGCAGCGAGAGGCTGGCAGGGCTCAAGACCCTGCAGGTGATCTCATCTATGAAGTTGGAGAAACGTACCTTCTCCTCCAGGGCCTGCTTCTTGTAGTTCAAGTCAGTCCTGCAAGGAGAGGGTGGGGCTGAGGAGCGGCGTGAGACTGGTGCCCGCTCTTTTGACCGGTCCAGGGAGCGGATAGGCTTAGATTTGCTCCCCCCCCTGCAGTCATCCAACAGCTCCACAGACTTCGACTTCCTTATAATGTCATAGGCATGCTCCACACCTAACAGAGCTGGCTGCTTTAGGATGCTCTTTGGGATGGTGGCAGGGGCGGTTTGCATTCGGTGAGTCCAGCTACAAGGATCTCCTCTGGGGCTGCAACTGGGGGAGGTTTTCCTGGCTGTGGTTGGGCTCCCGTGTTCTGAATAACCTTCCTCTGCACCGCTAAGGAAGGGACTCATTGCATGGTGAGGGCTTGTGGTGATTCCTGATGCCTTTGTTCTGGTGCGGGTCATCCGGTTAGGCCTGGTGGTATTGCTACTAAAGAGTGGTGGTGGTGGGATGCAGAGCTCCAGACTAGACAGACTCGACATGTCCAGTTCACTCTCAGAGATGGGAAGTGGCGACACTGAGGTGCAACGTCGTGACCCGGCACTTTGTGGCCTTGTAGAAGAAGCACCGCAACTAAAATGCTGCAGAGGTGTGTGTGGAGGCATATTGAGGTTTACCTGATTGATGTCGTGCTGTGGCGCAGTCGGTGGCGGGGCTTGGCGTGTCTCGCGGTGCTGGGGTGGAGCCTTACGGTACGGCTTCCTTGCAGGAGCCGCACTCGTCATCCTGGGCCCTACTTTCTTTCTTCCTCGCTTCCTGTCGGTGTGTCAATCCTGCCAGCAGAAGAAGAGTTTAATGAGGTATGAGGTGACACAGATGCCTGCCAACTGCCCGCCAGAATGCCTTAACCACAACTGTTCCCTGCCACAGCTGTCACACAATCTCTCTCTGTCTCCCCGTCTCTCTCTCTCTCTCTCTCTCTCTCTCGCTCTCTCTCTCTCTCTCTGTGTAGATCGATGCTTGTTCAGCCTTTATTAACATCTAACAGGCCTCTGTCTCTACACACAGCTACATGTGGGTTTGTGTTGGTGTGCTTATGGAAAATGAAAAAAATTCAAGGTTAACGAGCAACAGACTGAAGAACTGCACTGTGAGGACATTTTGAATCTTTCCATGTCTCAGCCACGAAACAAAGTCTTCAAAGTAAAGGTGAAAAGATGCGCAAGTCCCTTTAACCACTTCTAACAATGTTACCTTCGCCTTAGAGCAAAAAACAATTAAAGCAACACAAATAAATACAGTGTGTGTCTGTGCTGTGTTCAAAAACGAGTATGACGAGAATGGTGTACGTGAGTGTGTGTGTGTGTGTGTGTGTGTGTGTGTGTGTGTGTGTGTGTGTGTGGGTGTGTGTGTGTGTACATGAGCCTCAGGCGACACATTGATCTCAGTTTGTTTCCAGAACATGAAGAGCAGCTCCATTGATCAGAATGAGGCCAACAGTATTGTGTCAGCCTGAGCTGGTTAATCAGAATGACACAACTAACTCCACTGTGTGCCCAACAAGCACACTGATGTACCCATGAAGATGAAGAACTACAAACATCTCCTTTCACTTTCACTTTCTTGTCACTTAGATGCAGTACATACATGTGAAATACTTCCTGCTCTGTAGCTCCATAGAGACTAAAAAGTCTACACATATCTAAGAGAATGGCAATGAAAAAAAAAAGGCAAACAGGCAACAATAAAACCGGCGGTAAGAAAAGTGCAGTAGTGTGAAGTGCAGTGTGTTATTGCACATTTAGATATTACCCATCATTTATACTGTCAACATTTATTTAGCAGTCTAATGGCCTGTGGGAAAAAGCTTCTCAGCAGCCTGCTTGTGCGGGCTGGGTGGGTTTTGTAACCTTTCACCCTTTTGGACCTCAGGGGAATGAATAGTCCTTTGTGGGGGTGGGTGGGGTCCTCCATTATCCTCTGGGCTTTGCTGAGGCAGCGCTGGCTGTAGAGGTCCTCCAGACTGGGCAGCTCACACCCAGTGATGTTACTGGCAGTTCGGACCACCCTCCCCAGTGCCTTATGGTTTCTGTCCGTGCAGCTGCCATTCCAGGCTGTAAGGTGAAGGTCAGGAGGCTCTCTATGGTGCCTCTGTAGAAGTCCCTGATGGTGTTGGGTCTAAGGCCAAACTGTTTTAGGCGCCTGAGGCGCTCTTGGGCCTTCTTTACCACTGCTGTGGTATGGCAATCCCATGAGAGGTCTGCAGAGATGTTGACTCCCAGATATTTGAATGTGTCCACCCTCTCCACCGCTGTGCCATTGATGATGATCGGCTGCAGCACGTCCTCCTTCTTCCTCCTGGGGTCGACCACGATCTCCTTGGTCTTGTTGGCGTTCTGGGAGAGGTTGTCACTTTGGCCACCTCCTCCCTGTAGGCTGACTCGTCACCGCCGGAAACCAGGTCCACCACTACCGTGTCATCGGCGAACTTCACGACATGGTTTGATGGTCGTGTCGCCACGAAGTCGTGGTGTACAACGAGTACAGGAGAGGACTGAGGACGCAGCCCTGTGGCGCTCCTATACTGACATACAGTGTGGATGATGTCTGGTCAGCTACTCTCACTGTCTAGGGGCAGTTCGTCAGGAAGCTTAGGATCCATCTGGGCAGCGACGGCCTCACGCCTAGGTCTCGGAGCTTGCCATCGAGCCTGGACAGTAAGATGGTATTGAAAGCGGCGCTGTAGTCCACAAACAGCATCCTCACATAGGTGCCGCTGCGTTCCAGGTGAGAAAGGGCCATGTGAAGGACATGGGCGATGACATCCTCTGTGCTCCTGTTTGCACAGAGGATGGGGGGGGGGTGGGGGGTGGGCATGGGGCATATGCGACCTTTGACTAGGCTCTCAAAACACTTGCTGGCTATGGGGCGCCAGTCTTTTAGGCTGGTCACCTTCTGCTGCTTGGGAATAGGGATGATGGTGCTGGTTTTGAAACAGGTGGGAACAGAGCTGAGGGAGAGAGACTGGTTGAAAATGTCAGTGAATACTCCCACCAGCTGGTAAGCACAAGACCCGTCCATGAATGCCATCTGGGCCAGCTGCTTTCCTGGTGTTGATCCGCTTGAAGGAGCTGTAGCCCTCGCCCCCTTGGATGGTGAGCATGCGGTCATCATCAACACCAGAGATGGAGAGTGGGCTTGGGGATGTTCCAGGAGTGGGGGTCAGCTGCCCCCCTCTCCCCATGTCAATAGGGGGGGGGGGGGGGGGGTAGCAAAGGTGGGTGCTCGCCGGTGGAGGGGGAGAGACCAGCCATGTCAGGGGGTCTAGCAGAGGGGTCAAATCGGGCAGAGAAGGAGTTGAAGTCATCAGGAAAGGTGTGTGATGTGCGTTGGGTTTGCTGTGTGCTCCCCTTGTAGTCTCTTATGGCTTGAAGCCCCTGTCAAAGGTGCCAGGGGTTGTTTGTGTTGAGTCTTGACTCCATGCGTTGACCATAGTCCTTCTTTGGTCGTTTCGTGTTTAGAGAGCAGATCCGTGGAGTTCCTCGAGCGCTGCCTCCTTGTTTGCCTGCGGTGGGATGTAAACAGCGGCTATTGTGACAGATGTAAATTCACGGGGGAGCCATACAGGACAACACTGCAGCAGATTTCACTCCAGATTTGGGGAACACACTGTGTCAACTGTTGAGATGTTATGCTCATGACACCAGGCCCGGTTCACCATGAGACACACACCTCCACCCGCTTTCTTCCCCGAGAGCTCTGTGTCCCGAGCCGCGCGATGGACAGAAAAGCCCATGGGCGCGATGGCATGGCTCGGTGTGTCGGCGGAGAGCCGTGTCTCAATGAGACACAGCACATTGCATCTCTTGATGTCTGGCTGGAAGAAGACCCACGCCCGTAGCTCACAAAGTTTGTTCTCCAGAGACTGTACTGTACGACAGCAACAGGCTGGGGAGTGGGGCTCTGTGAGCATGCCGCCTTAGCCGGACCAGTGTCCCGGCTCATCTGCCTCTCCTTCTCAGTTGGGTCCTCGTCTTCCTCACTTCGGGGAACAGGGAGAGGGGATCTGAGCACAATCAGTGAGTCTGACATGCCACTCTGATGTTTAAAAGCGTTTGTTTCCTGTAGGCAATCATTTCGGCGCCAGGTGTGTAGCCAGTTTTAGTGCCGTTAGTGCCGTTTGTAGGTGCCATCCTACTGCATCCTGCTGCCGATCTGGATACAAAAAACAATCCTAACACTAGTAACTGAAAAAACTAGTAACTAAATCAACTAAAAACTAAGCTAAACCATTATAGCTTCTTGTTACCTAAACCTAGAGCACAGACCAACAGCACAGTCTGGCTAGCTAACTAGTTTGCGGAGCTCCAGCACGTCACCCTCCTCACGGCGCCGCCATCCAAGTAACTTTGACAGTTTGATGTTTCTGTGAGTGCGTTACATATCACATATCTGCTGTCTTAACTGGATACTCTGTTTATGCTCAATGACCTGCTCCAATAGGAGATTGTCCACGTCACGTCACTGTGTTCTGTCCTGAGGGGACACATGATGGGCCATCGATCACTGTGTGACTTTCTGAGTGTTTGTCTTGCACACATGTACACACACAAAGACTTCATTATGATGCTGTCCTGAAAGCAGAAACCATCAATCATTTTATGAAGTTTTTTGCGTCATTTCACTATTAGGGGTTCTTTTTTTTCTGCTTAGTGTAAGTACTACAATACCCATGAGCCTCTGCTGTTGCCATAAGGACAGGGGCTTGGTTAAAGCACACAAATCTATTATCACTAAGTGCTATAATTAACTTTGGCTCTGCTGTATAATTTTAAAAACTCTGTCTTTGGCTGTTTACTGGTGAAATGCACTCTGGGGGTTGTAGTTGATTTCTCTCCCACAGTTTTTTTTTTGTCAGATCTTTGAAACTCAACAGAGAGTTTGAATTTTCAATACAAAAAAAAAAAAAAAAAAAAAAAGACAGTAAAACCAAAGATCAGCCTTCAAACTGTGAGCCACTTTCTCTAACACAACAAGAACATGAAGCAGTCTGACCCTGTCTGAGGCTCCCAACTCCACAAAGACTGAGCTGCATGTGAACAAAGATTTCTTCAAACAGTTACTCGCTGCAGTTTGTAATATCAAACTAAAATAATTTTAAAGCCTATTGTAGGGTTGAGGAAGACCACTGAGATGAAGAGCTCTCAGGTGGCTAAGCTAACCACAAGCAGACAGGTAAAGGCAGCCGCACGTTTCCACCTTTTGTCTGACTGGAGCTTCTGAATTTTTCATACAAATGCCTGCAGCAGTTTTACCCAGCGTGCTCTGCTCTTACGCAATACTTAAAAACACATGTATCTACAATAACTGTTGTTATCAAGACCCTCTGATTACATTAACTGCCTCTGCAGGAGGCCTCTTTCCTTCTTTTTTACCTTTTCTCTGTTCATGTTCCCATCTCTCTGTCCTCTTTCCTTCTTTTGTCCTTTTGGCATGTTTTATTCATGCACTTATTTCTGCCCTCATTCACTGCTTTCTTAGTTTTGCTGTCTGGCAGTGTCCCACTTTCTTCTCATTCCTTCAACTTTGCTCTTTCTCAATCTACCTGTCTTTACCTCCTTGGGTCTATCTATCTTTTTTTCCTTTCCTGGGCGGGTTTTAAATTTTCCAGGTTGATCTAGGTTTACGGCCTACTCACTGAACTTCATAAAACAGCCTACAAATCTGATGAAGGGATTTTTTTAATGTCCTTAATGGCAGATTTCTATATTTGCTAACCTGGGCC